CCTAAAGCTAAATATGCTAAATATTGAGCCTCTTTCCCCATTGAGTAGACAGACCATGTAGCCCTGGGTAGTGTGCCATGACCCTCCCTAAACCCCCAATGGATGCAAAAATAAAACCTATTAAAAAAAACAAACAAACAGCAAAACAAACTGGAGCAAAATCTCTCGTATCAAATGTGTTTGTGATGTTTCAGATTCGTCGTCTTCCTCCTCAACACCATAAATATTCCTTCTCTTCTCCGAGAAGGAAAGAAAACCTGACATTCCCAAATCACTGCAACACATCTGTGAAAACATCTGAGTTTCAGAGCAAAGCAGAACAAAGTCAGCCAGCCTCAGAAGTTCACTTCTGGTTGCTTTGAGGGAACCTCAGTTGATGCTTGGCTTTGAGGAGAGGAATTGTACCAGAAGAACATAGCAAAGTAAACAAAGACTATTTCAGACGTGTTGGCGAAAACAATTGCTTCTCTGAATGCAGAAATGCTAGGAATCAATAAATGGTTTTAAATATTGACAACTGCTGGCATGTGGGAGCTTTTCATTAAGCATAAACCACTCTGTGGCCATGCTGCTTCACAAAAACTTTTAATTTCGGTTGGTATTTTTGCTGGCAACACACATACTAAAGAGCTGAACTCTGGTGCCTCTCTCTTGAGAAGAAAAGGAAATGACATTGAAGATTAAATAAAAGCCGACATATTTCCACGAGAGGTTGGCCTTCAACCAGCAGAAAGCATCCGTGCATTTCATAAGTTTATTATAAAACGTGTGGGCGGAGCAAATGTTTAAATGGTGAATATACAGCAGCTGAGTCAGAGAATCAGGAGGAACATCAGATGAACCAGAGGTGAGCTGTTAAAAGATTCAGCAGGACAGACTCTAACAGAAAAAACTGGCAAGAACTGAATGCTGTGAGGAGATGCTACATGAATGAATGCTACATGAGTGGATGCTACATGAATGAATACTACATGAGTGGATGCTACATGATTGGATCCTACATGAATGAATGCTATATGATTAGATTCTACATGTATGAATGCTACATGACTGGACGCTACATTAATGAATGCTACATAAGTAGGTGCTACATGAATGAATGCTACATGAGTGGATCCTACATGAATGAATGCTACATAAGTGGGTGCTACATGAATGAATGCTACATGAGTGGATGCTACATGTATGAATGCTACATTAATGAATGCTACATGAGTGGATGCTACATGAATGAATGCTACATGAGTGGATGCTACATGAATGAATGCTACATGAGTGGATCCTACATGAATGAATGCTACATAAGTGGATGCTACATGAATGAATGCTACATATATGAATGCTATATGAATGAATGCTACATGAGTGGATCCTACATGAATGAATGCTACATATATGAATGCTACAAGAGTGGATCCTACATGAATGAATGCTACATGAGTGGATCCTACATGAATGAATGCTACATGAGTGGATCCTACATGAATGAATGCTACATATATGAATGCTACAAGAGTGGATCCTACATGAATGAATGCTACATGAGTGGATCCTACATGAATGAATGCTACATGAGTGGATGCTACATGAATGAATGCTACATGAGTGGATCCTACATGAGTGGATCCTACATGAATGAATGCTACATAAGTGGGTGCTACATGAATGAATGCTACAAGAGTGGATCCTACATGAATGAATGCTACATGAGTGGATCCTACATGAATGAATGCTACATGAGTGGATGCTACATGTATGAATGCTACATTAATGAATGCTACATGAGTGGATGCTACATGAATGAATGCTACATGAGTGGATCCTACATGAGTGGATCCTACATGAATGAATGCTACATAAGTGGGTGCTACATGAATGAATGCTACTTATATGAATGCTATATGAATGAATGCTACATGAGTGGATCCTACATGAATGAATGCTACATATATGAATGCTACAAGAGTGGATCCTACATGAATGAATGCTACATGAGTGGATCCTACATGAATGAATGCTACATGAGTGGATCCTACATGAATGAATGCTACATAAGTGGATGCTACATGAATGAATGCTACATGAGTGGATCCTACATGAATGAATGCTACATAAGTTGGTGCTACATGAGAGGATGTTACATGAGTGAATTTGAGTTGGCATGGAGATCTTGCTGAGGTTCTGCTGAGTCTTCATTGTTGGTTCTACTGCTGCTCATCTTCCTCTTGACTCTCTAGACTTTGTATGGGGTTAAAGGTCAGGCCTGTTTGCTCCTCATTGGACCAGCTACCGGTTGCCTTTGTGAGAGTGAATTGATACCAACTCCTGCTGGAAAATGAATCCAGACCTTTTATGATTCATCAGAAGGAAGAGTTAAAATGTCTTGGCTACTCTTCCAGCTGCTCTGCTGAAACAAAACCCGACGCTGTAATAAAATGTCATCTCCACTCGTCTTGTAAACTGAGTTCTGTGTCAGATAAATTCACTGATTACAGAAGAAAACAATGCATCTGCTCAGTTTGATCTGTGTTTACCAGTCAATTTTCATTACATTAAATTGACTCAGCTTTATCTGCAGTAACACAAATCATCATCAGCAGCAGCAGTTAAGTCCTCAGAGGAATTCAGCGGGTTCTACACTCTGTTATCTGACCCAGACCTTCAAAAGGTCAGAGGGCGAACCGGGCCAGTGGTTTTCAATAAAGTCATAATTAAAGATTCTCTTATTTGCAAATGCAAACATCAGCGGGCCATCAGAAAATGGCTTAATTCGTCTACTGGTTAAATTAAAAATGGATTCCTGCACCAGGGGGGTGAAAGGAAAATCAGAAAGAGGTTTATGTTTGGAGAGCTGCGGGAAAGTATTTACTAACTCTGTAGATTTACTGTTTCCTCACTTTTCTGCCACATTTAAATGCATTCATCAGTCAAACTTTTAATATCCAACAAAAGGACCCAGAGAAAAAAAACAAGACAATCTTTTTAAAGATGATCGAGAAAAAAATCTGTTATGATCCTGAAGATTTCTGAGAAAATATTTTGAGAACTGATGAGACAAAAATGTTACATTCTGAAAGACTTTGTTCTTGTCACATCTGGAATAAAATGAACCAGAACATCAGACCTAGAATCAGACACGGTGGTGGTAGTAGGTTGATCAGGGACTCCTGTGTTGCTTTTGTCCTGGACAGCTTGTTCTAACATAAGAAGCCCTGAAGATTGTGATCCAAAGCTCAAACACACTCTGGTTGTGCAGCAAGATAACATCAGAAAATTTAAAAACTGAACTAAAAAGGCCTTTAAAGAAAAACAAGGGAATATTTTAGTGTCCTAGTCAAAGACTTACAATAATTGTTTTTTAGATGTTGTGGCATGACATTCAAAGACAGTTTACGCTTCACACTCTCCTTTATGTTGGGAGTTAAAATGTTTTGGCACAGCAAATGTATGGAGCTAACTTGGGGCCATAAAGTTTGTTAAAAAGAAAAAAATTCAGTTTTGAACTTTTTTTTGGTTCAGTTTCAAATATTGTTTTTGTTTGATTTTTTTCCAGTTTCATTTATCTTTGTACTTTCAAACTTTTTTCAGTTTCAAACTCATTTGCTGTGAATTTTTCTCAAGTTTACAACATTTTCCAGTTATAAAATATTTTTTCAGTTTCAAACTTTTTTTGTTTATTTTTTTTTTTCATTTCCAAACTGATTTTTCAGTCTTTATTTTTTTTAAACAAACTTTATACAAGCTTTCTCCACAGCGATGGTAAAAACTCATAGCCAGTTATCAGCTGCTGCAGCCTGAGGTGGAACAAAGTGATCAGGTCTCGGTGTGTGATTACTTTTCACACAGAACCGGGTTTGTATTAACCCTAATAAATGAAATCATAATTTTACATATAAGTACGGCTCCTAACTTATATACATAAGTTTACGTAGAGCTGAATCACCATGGTAAAGATAAAATTAGAGAAGCGTAAGGAACCAGAAATTATTCACGTCTGGACTTGGAAATTAGCAACAGGAGGCGGCGGCTGTTCCGCAGCAGCGCCCCCTACTGGGATCGTCTGAAACAGGAGAAAAAAATCACAGGCTGGTTATGATTAGATTTCTCCAAGTGGCAAATTGACATTGGTTTCCTGCTGAGGAAGACGATGAGCAGCAGGTTCTCCAGAGCGCAGCGTGAGCGGCGACAGATATGCTGATTGTTTCATGTTTGTCAGAAATGACTGACGCTGGAGCTCAGAGAGTTTGAGGCAACTAAACATTTCAGAGCTATCACAAACATTCAGTTCACATGTTGCTGCGCAGTATTGATTTCAACGAGACGATTTATATTTGCTTAAAATGAATGATTGAGTTTTATCACTTATAACTGGATTATTGAAATATGACATGATTTATCCTTTGAAGTATACTCACATTTCTAGATATTGAGTGTTTTATGTGGATTTAGCAACGGAAAATAGCTTCTAATTAGCCCTTTTACTATGATGCTTCTTTCAGTATTACATGAAATCAACTTATTTTTTTTTAGCTTTCCATCAAAAACACAAAAGCAGACCTGGAGTGTTGCTCTGATTCATTCATGTTTGAGAAACCCATTAATCTCCATGGCAACCATTCAGCTGGGTGGGCCGAGCTCCGAGTTTGAGGCATAACTCCTCCCCCCACTCAGCTCCTTCAGACTAGCCAGCAGCAATTAGCAAACAGCTGGTGGAACTGTATCTGCTGAGCTCATTATAGGAGCTGCTGTTAAGAGCAACGCTGGTCATGATGATAAAGGGTTATTAGAGGAGCCATGTTGGGATGACTTCCTGGAGGCAGATCTTCAGAAAGAGCAGGAGTTTCTTAAAGCGACAAGAGGCCGAATTTCAAGTCACTAAATTGCAAGGTCACATTTGATTAATTTAGCTTTTTTTTAATATAACATCTGAATGTACCATAGTTACAAAATATCACTATGTGGCTGTAGAATATATGATACTGCCTCTTTAAAGGAGAAGTCCAGTTATCCAAGAGTAGGGGTCGAAAGTAACTAGTTACATTAGTTTATTTCAAGTAAATTACTCAGTTTCATTCTAAAATCTGGGTCCATGTCAGGCCAACAGTAAACAGAGACAGAACTATACTGTATAAAATAAAGAATTATCGTATATGTGGAAGACATTTCTCTGATCAGATGAGACCAGATCTGACGTTTGTGTGATGGCAGCATCATGATGTGGTGATGCTGTTCTTCTCTTCCACTTCCAGGTCCAGTTCGTGTTTGTCTACAGCATGAAATCCCTAAAATATAGTAACGGTTTTGAATGTATGTAAATAAATGAAAATAACAATAATTTTGCATGGTGCGGTAAGAAATGCATCTATCATTTATTAAAAACGTCTTAAAATATTTACAAATAAATAAGCTAAATGTGGAGCTGGATAGGTAGCAACGTGAGATATTAAAGAATTTATAAGGAAAACAAAAATCACATGCAGAGTTTATTAGAAGCAGAAAAAAGGTTTTAAAACCGAAGGCCTCATAAATAACCACATTTTTTGTTTGTAGGTCTATGGATAAATGCATAATTGCAAAGCAAAAGTACATTAATTTCTAGTGAAGCAAATTGGAATATAAAATATGTTTTTGCTCATATTTTAAGGTTACTGATGTATATAAATTAACTATATTTGTTTAGTAAAACCTTCCCAGTTGTATCACTGCTGCAATCCACTAGGAAGTAGGTCAGTCCTCTCTTATTCTAGAGCAACAGTGACATCTAGTGGCTGGAAGATGTCTTTTTTTTGAGAAAACAAACTCACCCGCGACAAAAATACAACATTGCCAGTTCCACTGATATATTTTTGTCAATTTCAGCCTGAAAATAATGTCACCTGCCTCTTGAACTTTTACATTTTCATCAATATTAAGGAAATATTGACTTAAAAAAGCTCCCATGTCTTACTCAAATGGTATGTTTGTTTTGTCTTATTTCAATAACATGAGCATGAAGCTTCAAAGCATAAATGACATCCAGGGTTGAAAGGCCATCCTTGAATCAAGAAAACATTTAGAACAACCATCACTTTAATGATGCCAAAAAGGGCATGATATTAAATGGATGTTTTTTACAGTCACACATAAAAATGAATATCTCTAATCTTGTTTTTTGTTTAGCACAGGTGAGATTGTAAATCCACTAACTCAAGTGAAGCACTTGACTCAGGGTCTTACTTATTTGTCTGCTGGCTACAGTCGATTCTTACCCTACATTCACTTGTTTTAACTGCAACAAAATAGTGAGTGATTAAAATAGTTTACTATTTAATTAAAGATGATAAACATTACCTTTGAATAGAGAAATGATTGCAGCAAATGATGGACCTCAATCTTCTCTTTGTCATCAGGGCAGTGTTCTTAGCTTTACATCATATTATGTTATTCCCTCATCAAAAATATACCTGGAGTGTTGCCTTGATTCTGTTGTGAAAGTTTGAGAAGTCCTTCGATTTTCCATTGCAACGGTGTAAAAATCTTTGTTTTACAATGTCGATGAGTAAAAAGCTCATCCTTGGAGTAAACATCTGATTTATCCTGCACAAAACACAAATGTTAAATTAAACTAGGGAGCAACACACTTGACTAGTCAACTTGTCACTTGGAAAAATGGTGAAAACATGTTTTTGTCTTCCGTGATGCTATAAGCAAGTTCAGTTTGGAAATGTAAAAAGATCTTTTTGTTTGACTTTTTCTGTGCCGTTTCACCTTTTTGCAGCTCATTTCACTGTTTGCTGCACGTTTGCACCTGTTAGTCACCGTAGCTGATCCAAGTCATCGTCATGGCGTCACCTCTTCACAATCTGTTACATCCAGTAGATCGGCAGCTCAAATCGTGTGACATAAGTTGATAGAGAAATGAAATAGAGAAAAGATGACAGGGTTAAATAAAGAGAGTACACATGGACAGAAGAAATGTAACTGTCACTGAGGTCAATTTCAACCATATTTTACATTGTTAGGTGGGTAAAAATATGTTTTCTTACTTTTTTCGTCAACTGGGCTCTCTTATCGTCCTCCACCTGACTGGTGGTGTTGAAGGTGGAGGATTCCAGGCTGATGAGGATCCACTTCACATGATCTCTGTCCCGTCCTCAGCTGAATGCATCAGGAAACGTCTCTGGATTTCCAGCAGGATTTTCTGTGTCTTCTCTCTCCTCATTGGTCCAGTGCTGTTGACTTGTTTCAGTCATGCTAGAGAATCAACACATGATCAGACACACATTCAGTGTAAATAATAGATGAATGAAGGAAACCTTTTGATCCAGTCATTATCATGTCCTCACCAGGTCTTCTTTATTTGATGGTCAACTCAAGTCATGTGACATGAGTTGACGGAGAAATGAAATAAAGAGAAAACATAACAGAGTTAAAGAGGGAAATATGCATGGACAGCAGACAGAACCAGTTTCTAACTACGCAGCTACATCTGAAATGTTTAGTCATGCTGTGTAGATAGAAATGTTCTTACTTTTTTCGTCAACTGGGCTCTCTTATCGTCCTCCACCTGACTGGTAGTGTTGAAGGTGGAGGATTCCAGGCTCAGGAGATCCAACCTGGGATGATCAGAACATCAGAGGTCTGAGAAGTCTGGACCTGGGATCAGACTAGTGTGTGCATTTTTTTTTTATCTATTCTCGTTTTTGTGTGATCTTTCTGTATTGCAACACATAAATATGGCCATACAAACTATTTGTTTTATGAGATTAATAGTTTATCTTGCTACTAATAGTGAATTTATTTATATGTTTATTTAGTACAGCTGATGGTCTCCAATGCTAGCTGGCAGTATTATGTGTTGTGGAATGTAAAAACTTACAAGCAGGAACCAGGAGGACAGGAACCACATGGACAACGACCAACGAATCCAGCAGCTAAAACCTGAAAGATTGAAACTGGGAGAGTGCATTAATGGAGGAACAGGTGAGAACAATTTCAGAGAGCACCGTGTGGGGAAGCACCGCTGCTGCACCCTGAAACATGGGAGTAGAGAGGAAAACAGAGAGAAGAACAGGAAGAAGCAGTCTCACTGCGAGCTGCTCTGTCTGGGACTGCTGGCCCTCATCAGTACCTCACAAGAACCTGACCAGAACTTCACCAGAACCTCAGAATATATCTATGGTGGTCCAAGTCACTGGACCAAGCCTTCAGCAAATATTTACCTCAGTCTTTTTCTTTTATCCTTAAAAGATTTGAATTTGTACTCTGCGTAGTTGTTTTTAATTTCTCTACCTTGCAATTTGTCCACCATGACATCATATTAGTCCTGAAAGATTTAAACTTCTCACTACTTGAAAAATTTTATTTGTCCACAGAAGCTCCTTCCTCAGAGAATATGTCCCGAAAAACGTTGTCTCTTCTCCGTCCTAAGAGATTTTAGGTTTGACACCCAGGAGCATTACCTACCTTTAAAACCATTAACACCTGAGTTTAGATGTCTTTGAACATTTGAATTAACTCCCGTTGTTACTGTCCCGGCAGTTGTTATTTAATACGTAAAATCGCGTCACTTCCTGTGGATTTTATAATGTCCAGATCAAAATGGTTATAACTTGCAAACCACTATTTCCATCCGTTTATACCAGAGCTCAACCGATTATATTGCGTCTCCATTTGTGTTTTTTCATGCCTTAAAAATTAGAACCGTCAGAAACGTTGTTTAAATGTTAATGAGTTTAATTTGCAGCAGTGTTGTCTCAATTGTATTGATTCCAGTGTCCCGAGCCCAGTCGTCTTAATCGTTTTTAGGTTTCATTTTTACCCAGCAAGACTGTTTAGATTTAGTATGAATCCTATAGTGTTGTCTCATTTCTTTTGGCATTTATCTTTTACGCACCAGCCATGTCCGACTCCTTTTGTTCAGCAGCAAAAATTTTCTCAAAAATTTTAATTAGCCTCCTCCAGCATTTAGCCTTTCATTGATTAACAGAAAAAAAGTCAGCATTGCCTGTCCAGTCAGAAAACTTAACATCTAAAATGAAAAATCTAGCAGCGGAATAAAGAAAAGCCCCGGTGCAAGACGCTACCTAAGGCATCCTCGGTCCTGCTAGAAAGCCATTGGCTTTAACAAAAACAACAGAGAAGTGATGGTATCCTAATGGGACTTCTCAGTTAGGTCTTCAGTTTTCAAGATCCCAATCTACTCAGAGTCACTTGACACATCATAAAGAGGTCTAAACCACACTTGTCTGGCACTCACTCTTTCTCTAATTCCGTCAGATCCAATCCCAGATGTTGAAGGTTGTGGTTCCTCTTCTATGTCCGTTTGAGACTTCATCCAGGCACACATGCAAGGGAATGACGATCTTGGAATTTTGCAGGATGCTGATGGTGAAGGACTACCGACAGTGGAAGACACAATGGGATCCGCACACACTGTACTTTGTGGTCGACTGAGGACAGGGGATGACAAAATAAGATCTTCACTGACTGGGGGACTGATGGCATGAACTGACTCAATGGGACCTTCACGTGGCGTTCTTGGTGAGGAACTGAAGACAGGGGAGGACAGAGGTGAAAGACTGAAGTTTGGAAAAGAAGGATCCATCCAGAATTGCGCGGCCGAGGACCTGCTTGGCAGAGGGCTTCCAAAAGGCCTCTCCCAATAGGGTATGGTCCTCTTGGAAAAGAGCTCATCTCTAGTTGGATCCTCACATGCACTCTGAGATGAAAGACCGAAGGGTGCAAAAAGTTGATCCACCCAGAAAGCTGAAAAAATGGAGGAAGGGGATGACGGAGGAGAATCCTCATGCACTGTCCATGACAGAATGGGATACCCACGCAACATATTTGTGGAAGGACTGAGAAGAGGTTCCTCTTCATCATCACTGTTCCTGGACCCATGGGCCGGGATTTCCACTTCAGCACCAATGGAGAGGTGCTGAAGAGGAGCACCTCTTGGAGGAGAGCTCATCTCTAGTTGAAAACTCCCTGGTGCTTCTGGGAGAGGGCTCCCAAAACGCCTCTCCCAAAAGGGCTTGGCACTCTTGGAGGGGAGCTCCTCTTCATCAACATCACTGTCCCTGGTCCTCTTGGAAGAGAGCTCCTCTTCATCAACAGTGTTCCTCATCTTCTTGGCGGGGGGCTCCTCTTCAGAGTCACTGTCCTTCGTCCTCTTTTTCTTTATGCCAGCCACAGATGTCACAAGAGCCACATTCCCTACCAAACCTACCTGAGGACGTTGTGTACTACTGGAGCAAGTAGCACAGTCAACAGACAGCGGAGGTGAACTATACCTTGACTCCTCGCCATGATTTCCAGAAACCATGTCATCTGACATCTGAGGGAAAACATCTGACCAGACCTTACCAAGATCCTTACCATCGTCTGGGTGTTCCTCCAACGTTGGGGATTCTTCTGCTGGAAGCGCTACACTATGAGCTGTGAAGGAAAACAAAAAAACTATAGTTCAGTATCAAGACCTTCACAAAAATCCAAAACAATGTTTAAAGAGAACATTGAAATACCAAAATGCATTAACCCAAGTTTAAGAATATCTAAATATAAATTATAGAAGTTTGTGCTGTGGACTTTTTAATAGCTAATGAAATACCTTTAATTTTGCATTATACCATTAGTCTAAATAAAATAAAACACTGCAACAAGTTAGTCAGTTTACCCTCCTATAACTCTCACAAATCTTTGACGCTGCTGAAAAGGTACCTTTAGCTTAATAGCCAAAACAAGATACATATGAGCCATTCATTACAATTAAACTTAAAGTACTGCTTAGATAACTTTAATACTATAAAAGAATTGAAAAATAATGAATATGTTTCCATTAGGATTTTTATATTACTAAAATTTTAACTGTAGTTAATTAAATTCCTCTGAGCTCCACAAATTTTCAGAATCACAAACACAGCTACTCTGACACCCCATCGGTAAACTCTACAGTATGAATAAATATCAATATGCTATATTGATATTTATGTGAGACTTCATCTCAAATAAATATCAAGATGTATTTGAGATGAAGATGTACATTTTACAGAAATGTACATCCGTAAAAAATCAAAGTGGAAAAACTGGGGATCTAAATAAACAGGCCGACACAAGTTTCCAGTCCGTTTCCAGTGAAAAGGGGCTCCTACAAAAATAAAACTAAAAAAAAACTATAGAAATTCATATCAGTGTTAAAATGGCTAATATATTTTGTCTGGAGATAAGCCAGTCAAAATAATTAAAATAACAATCTGCATCTGTATGTGTGCATGATGCCTCGAAGTCTTACTTCAGTTATGGCTGAAGGTAGTGTTATGAAATTCATTACATCAGTCTGAAGATTATGGCTGCACACAACCCAGCAATAAACTCAGATGAATGTTCACACAATTATATTGCTGCAATTGCAATACGAAAGGACAATCATGACCATCCTCTTTATGGGACTGTCTTGAGAAAACAGTATCTTCACTCTGAGTGAAGATCTTTCCTGCCAATAGCTATAAGCGTACAATAACTCCTTGAAGAAGTTTAATTAATGAGTTACAACAACATTTAATTTTCCTTTGGGGTTAATAAAGTATTTTTGAATTTGAATTCTATCAATATACTCTCTCCATTGAGACAAAGAACATCAACAAAACTAATTCTCTCAATCTAAAATAATAGGTTTTCCAATCACACCACTCTTAATATCACTGACTCTTAAAACGTAATCAGTGTGAAAATATATCACTGCTCCAAATATACAAGGGACCAACACAGCATTTCATAAACATCTAATTATTCAAAACTCCTCTTTCTTACAAAAAAAACTATAATAAAAAAAATAAAATAAACTATTCAGTAGTAACATAGGAAAAATGTATATCTAAAATATGTAAAAAATAAATAGAAATATATGTATGTAAAAACTTCTCTAATATTCAAGTATTAAGGTTTTATTTCAAGCAATGTATCCAAAGAGACCAAATGTGTTTTTGAGGCATTTTCTGAAACCAGGAACAGGCACTGACTTCTTATTCCAAAGATCTTAAGAAAACAAAACAGATTCTCTAAAGCCAGAAATAACTTTTTAAACCACAGTTAAACCCCCACAATCCCATCAAAAATATTAACTAATAAATTAAACACAACCGGGCCAACTGAAACTGAGGTCGTTGTTTTTCTAATGAATTTTAACATTCATTAGGAAATTAATGTCAAAACTTCATTTTCAGAAGTTTCAACTGACTTCTGAAAATTATACAATAACTTCTGAGTAATTACAATAAATAATTTAGTTACTTTGTGAACTCAACAGGCACACTTTGTTCTTTAAAGTTTTTTTCTAAAAATAAAGTTGTATGTTGTTATTTAAATCAATGTATCCATGGAGACTATATCCAGTCTCCATGGATACATTGATTTAAATAAATACTTTCAAAAAGCTGATTCCAAAACTTCTTTCAAACCAAAACAACGACAGTCAGCATTACTCGACATTTTCCAAAATTTCAAATAACTAGCATATAAATCACAATACAAATTCAATTTAACTCACAACTATGTTGCAGCCCAAAAATGCTAATTATACCTTCCTAAACAGTCAGAATTTCCAAAAACAGAACACAAAAGTCATCAAAGCTGACTTTAACCAGCTCAATTTTTTTTTTCTTTTCAGATCAGTTCACCCATGTAGGAAAAATAAACAAATGTATTAAAGTCTATCATTAGGAAATAATATTTTACATTCGGCTTATTTATTGCATCCAGATTAATGCATCCATGGAAAACAAACATGCTTGTCAGGGCATATTTTCAACAATCTAGTTTTGTTTATCTGCTTTAGATAAAATATAAAAATAAAATATTGTCTGAAAACAAAATAAGATAATCACCATAAGCATTTGTGACATTTCTAAAATTAGATCTAAAAGAGATAAACTAAATAATTTAGGGACATTATAGGAGGTACATGTTTGAAATGTTTTTGTCTTTCTTAACTTTGTAGAAGTCATTTTATATAATTTCCCCAATGAATCCATGGAAACTAAATATGTTTGAGCATTTTTCAAAAAAACAAAACAAAAATGGACAAAAAAAAAAAACCATCCAGTTTGTCAAGAATTGGACACCAAAGTCATAAAAGCTGATATTCACAAAGAAATCATTATCATCACTACGACACAGACACACAATGCTTAATTGCTGGGGCGACAGTGGTAGGCGTTTGCACTGCAATGGCCCGCCTCTGTCGTGTCCTTGGTCAGGACTCTTCTCTCACTTCCCTGCTGGTGATGGTCAGGAGGGCCAATGGCTTGATATAACAGCTGTGGCTACAATCCAGGAGCTTATCATCATCATCAGTGTGTGAACATGTGCATGAATGGAAATTACTGATTTTATGTAAAGTGTTTATTAGGACACCGCTAGTGTCCTAATAAACTTCTACAAGTCTGATGTCTTTGCCATGGAAACCAAATATGTTTTGTCAGGGCATTTAAAAAAAAAAAAACAAGATAGTCTTCCTGTTTTGTTTTTTTCCAAACCAACATAACAATTTTCCCCCAAACACTAGTGCTAACATCCCAGACATTTATCCACACATTTCAATTCACTCACAAATTTGTTTCATCCCACAAATTCAACAGAGCTATTATTATATTAAAGCTATATTTTTCAAAGACCTCAACAACATTTTGAAGTACTGGACTACAAAGTCATCAAACCTGATACTCTTAGATTAATCAATCAAATAATAGACTGTCATAGGGAAAATACATTTTTAAAAATGTTTTTAAAGTAATATTAAATATTTTATGCATTTTATTCCGCGTATCCATGGATACCGAATGTGCATCGCGGCATTTTTCAAAAAATAACGGTCAAAAATAAGCTGGAGAGAAATTTAACTGTTTTTTTTTCCTCTTTCTTTTCAAATCAGCACAACAGTCATTCTCAAACACTAGTGTTAATTAAAGCATTGGACGCAAAGTCATTAAACCAGATACTGTCTGTATAGCACCTCTGTTTCAATCAATTTGCAGATTTTAGCATATGCTAATAAAACATGTTCCCTTCTTTAAAAAAAACAACAAAACTAAACAATTAAATTACAGGCTATCAAAGGGGGAAATACGTGTTGTTAAATTTTTTTTTTTTAAGTAACATTAAATTGGTAATGTATTTTTATTTAGGGTATCCATGGAAACTGAATGTTTATCATAGCATTTTTCAAAAAATAACGGTCACGAGTAAGCTTATTTTTCAAGAAATTTGACATTAATTCAACTAATTTGACTATAATTAACTGACATACATACATTTCTTAAATTACTACCCCACAGTTTAACATTCTTGACATTTTCTGGAAATTCAGTCAAGAAAAAGGCTCAATTAGTTTAAGAAAGATCTATGCTAGCAAGAATGCTACTTGTCTTTTCTTGCACAGCAGGCAGTATTTCTTCAAGAAAATGCACACAAACACAAAATACACTAAACAATTGATTGTTATTTTCGTAATAACTTGTTTTTGTTTATTAAAAATAGTAGAAGAAAGACATTAACCTTCCAGCTGGTCCTCCTCCTGGCCGGGATCCATCTTCCGCGGGTGTCGGGCTTCTTCAGCAAGTGCTTTCTTCAGCAAGAGCTTCTTGAGAGAGTTTTGCAAAGTAGACTTGTCAACAGGGTCAAACCTTCCGAGGCGTTATGCTTCTTCTGGCGTCTCCTTCAAAAGTCTCGTAGCAAAGGGGAAGATTCTAGAAAGTCAGCGTCATTTATAGGGTTGCCGAGGCTAACGTCGTTTCCATGACTTTCAATGACGAAGGCTCAGTGACGAAATGCACGCGCTGGTGCACGAGATAAATTGGACCACGGAAGATGAGTAACGAGAAAAGTCTTCTTTTTTTTTACATTGCCTAATGAGAAGATGATATTCATCTACAAACAAAACTTCTCTCCTCACCAGTACTTTATTTGGAATAATAAGGACATCTTATATAAGAAGAAAACTATGTTTTTGGACTCCTGGTTTAATCGTAACATTGTTCTGGTTCACCAGTTGTTTAACAGTGATGGTCTATTGTTGACTTATGAAGAATTTCTTTGTAAATTCAATTTTTCTGTCTCTCCTGGAGAATATGCGAAAGTTTTTGGTGCCATTTCTACAAAGATCTGTATGCTATTCAGGCAGAAGCCGAGAGTCGATATTCAGTCTCCTTTTCTGTCTCCTATACATTCTCCTGTTGGCAAAATATGTCTGAATCCTTTTCCTCGTAACAATAATAAGTCGATCACATCCCTGTTTCTGAAGGATGTGACCTCTGTTCCTGTGGTTGTCCATTATTGGAATCGCTTTTGTATTACTCTGTCTTGGAAATTTATCTGGCTGCTCCCTAATCACTTTCTTGTGACTAACAAGATGAAATAAGTTTCTTTTAAACTCATTCACCGAATATACCCCGTTAAAGTTTATCTAAAGAAATTCAATTCTAACATTGATGTGAATTGTTCCTTCTGTAACGTTTGCCCAGAGTCGCTCACTCATTTGTTCTGGTTGTGTCCTCATTCTAAAGTCTTTTGGCAACATCTTTGTAACTTTATTGATTACAAAATATCAACAGGATTTCAGTTATATTGGAAAAAATGTCTTATTTGGACTTCAATAAAATGGAGGAATGAATATGAAAAGTTTTCTTATCAATTTAATAATTATTAAGGCTAAATTTCATCTACATAAATGCAAATTTTTGAAGAAAAAAAAACTTTTGTTTTTTTCAATTAGACTTAAACATTATTTATTAACAATTCAATTCTCAACCAACCAAAGAGTGGAATCAACAATATGGGCTTACAATCAACTTGGACTTTTGGATTACCTCTTATGTTAATATTCTGTAATGTCATTCTCTTATTTTAAAATTTCATCTGAGGCTCCCCCTGGTCAAGTATTATTATTGTCTTATTGTGTTATGTTCACAATACAATTGTATTGTTGTTTATTGGAATAAATAAAGTTAAAAAAATAATAATTGGACCACAGGAGTTGCAAATTGCAGCTGAGCAACGCTGCGTTCACTGAGAACGAGCTAGAGTCCAGAGAGTCCATGTAGGTTTTTTGTGTCTCGCTGCTCTTTTCACAATGAAAGAATATTTTTATTAGCGACAGAAATTTAAACAATCTTTATAAAATGATCGTGATGGTCCGACCAGCAAACTCAAGGACAAAGGCATAAAAAAATAACTATTTAATTTGTCAAAAAGAGTTTAAAGATTTTTTTACAACAAATTTCAAAAAGAAACATAAGAAAAATGGGCCCAAAAAATAATCAACTAAAGCATACCAACTCAACAAACAAAAACTAACTGACTCTTCTCAATGAACACACAGGGGAATTTATATACAAAGGCTAGCCTACATACACACACACAAGGAGGGGTGGGGGAGCAAACAAAAACAACCAATACATAAACATAAATAAATTCAAATCACAACATTTTATTTTAACACAACTATAAAACAAAACAACCTAACACCATAAATATTATAACAATAGAGTGAGAGGAAGATGTCAACAGGGCGAGAGGAGGAGTCTTCCACATCAAATTCCCTGCTTCCCGCAGCCTGATGGTTCGTTCCAATTACTGGTTTGAGACAATCAACTCCTCCCAGCCAGTCCTTCAACTCAACCAAAAACTAAATATTAATATTCTAAATAAACCAAGCGTTTACTAAAATGTGTGCACCCAATCTAGTAAACAACTTAATATCAAAACCCACCAAAGAAAAAGTGATATAACCAATATAAATATTATCAATATAAAACATTAACTAAATACTAACACTAAAGAAAAGAACACTTAACACTGAGAAGATGGAGGAACCTTCCCACATTCCCCCTCTTCTGGAAACTCCATGGGCCAGCGTGACAGGTAGTCGGGAGTCGTGTTCAGCTTCCCCGGAATGTGATGAACGTCAAACCGGAATGGTTGCATTGCCAGGTACCAGCGGGTTATCCTGCTGTTTGAGTCTTTCATTCTTTCAACCACTTTAGAGCCTTATGGTCCATTTCTAGGATGAATCTTGCCCCCAATAGATAATATTTAAGTGAATCTAAAGCCCACTTCACAGCGTGGCACTCCTTTTCTATGGTGGAGTATCGAGTTTCCCTTGGGTAGAGCTTTCTGCTTATAAAAGTAATAGGATGACGTCCCCCTGGAGGTCCTTGAAAGCAGCACTGCACCCAGCCCACGCCCGGATGCATCAGTTTGCAAAATAAATGGCTGGTCAAAGTTAGGGCAGTGTAATGTTGGAGGTCCACTCAAGGCGCCTTGGATGTCCTTAAAAGCTCGGTCCGCCTCCTCTGACCACTGAAGCTGATTAGATTTCTTGGGACTGGTCATATCTGTAAGAACAGCAGCTCTGGTAGAAAAGTTAGGAATGAACTTATGGTACCAACCCGACATCCCAAGAAAGGATTTTAGTCGTGTCCTGGTCTGCGGTCGAGGACATGACTGAATTGCTTGAACCTTCTGGATCTGAGGTTTAATGACTCCATTGCCAATAATATGTCCAAGGTACTGAACTTCCTTTTTGGCAAGGGTACATTTAACTGCATTAACAGTCAGGCCTGCAGCATGAAGAGACTCAAAAACAGCCTTAAGATGTTGGAGATTCTCCTCCCAGCTGTCACTGTAGATGACAATATCATCTAAATAAGCAGATGCAAAATTTGAGAAGCCTTCCAGTACCTTATCCATAAGTCTCTGGAAGGTTGCAGATGCTCCATGGAGCCCAAAGGCATGACAGTGAACTGATGGAGGCCCCAAGGTGTCCGGAAAGCTGTCAGCTCACGAGACCTGGTGGAAAGGGGAACCTGCCAATAACCTTTAGAGAGATCAATGGTAGTAAGATATTTTGCTTTCCCAAGACAGCAAATCAAATCATCGATGCAGGGAGTTGGATACGAGTCAAACTTGGAAACAGAGTTTAAATAACGGAAGTCTATACAGAATCTCATGGTTCCATCCTTTTTTGGTACAAGGACAATAGGATTACACCAGTCACTATGAGAAGGCTCAATGATACCCAGAGAAAGCATTAATTCAATCTCCTCTTTTAAAGGGCCAAGGAGACGCTCAGGGATCCTGTAGCTCCTTCGCTTCACAACTGCATCCTCTTTTAAACGAATCTCATGTTCAATATATGTTACAAAGGGCTCTCACTTGTAATTGCTGCTCTGGAGAGATGATTCAGGTCAAGAGCAGAAGCTGACGGTAGAGGCAGGTATTGTTCCTCCACCTCCTCGTCTGATATACTTCTAATAAAAAATACATCTTGCTTCCCCTCAGGCCTTGAGACCCATTCCTTTAGCAGGTTAATGTGAAGAAATCTAGTACGGCGTCTCTGATCTGGAGTACAGATCTTGTAAGTGGTGGGACCCAGTTTTTGAACAACCTCATATGGACCTTTCCACTGAGCCAAAAACTTACTGTCATCAGTAGGGAGTAGTACCAACACCTTTTGACCTGGCTCAAAACTTCTTTCCTGAGTAGTTTGATCATACCAGGTTTTTTGCTTTTGTTGCGAGGCACGCATATACTCCTGAGCCAATGAGGTCATCTTTTCCAATTTCTCATCTGGAGGACATAAGAAATTGTATTAACAGGTTCCTTTGCAGGTTTCTCCCCCTCCCACCTTTCCTTCAAAAGGGCCAGTGGACCTCGGACTTCATGCCCAAAAAGCAACTCAAAGGGGGAAACCCGGTAGAGGCTTGGGGTACCTCCCGATATGCAAACAAGAGGTAAGGGAGCCACTGATCCCAATCAGACCCAGTTTCATTGATGAACTTACGAAGCATGTTCTTAAGAGTCTGATTAAATCTCTCTGCAGCTCACTAATATTATCAGGAATTTCAAAGTCTAACTGCACCTCAGGTTCAGGTAACACAGGAAGGGCTGTGGTATGTTTGAATTTTTCTCGCTTGCGCTGTGCACGAGACTTGCGTTCTTTAGTTTGACCTTCTTCAATCTCAGCCCCAAAAGATGGCAAGGCTCTTAGACTGGACTCATCTTCCCGAAAGGTCTTTGCTTGGGATCGTGTCAATACAACATTGCACATTTTAAAAACATTCACTAGGTCAGGGAGAATTGGAAGATCATTTCCCAAGACAACAGGAAAAGGTAATGCATCCATAACACCCACCTTTAACAGGTAAACATGTCCTTGCACTCTCATATAAATATCTGCTGTTGGATATTGTTTTTCATCCCCATGGACACAGCAGATGGGTATGGTTTCAGAGGTGCAAATAATATGCGGTGGGACATACCTGCGGTGTACCAATGTCTGGGTGCTTCCTGTGTCAATCAGGGCTTTGACCTTTTGCCCCTCTATCTCCACTGTTGTCTCTATCAGTGGCTGGTTTTGTCTGTTCAAAACACATCTGAGAGAGGTTTGCAGGATTTTGAGGACACATAGGCTTTGTGTGGCCCTCCTGGCCACATAGATAGCAGATGAGTTTTTTCAAAGTTTTTGTTTGACCGGGGGAAAAACCTTTTTCCAAACTGCTTACTCACATTTTCAGTTCGACTGGAGTTACCTGAAGTTGGAGTAAACTCCCTTTTTGCAGTTCTAAAAGCCCATGGTTGGGTCTTCCTACGGGCGGCCACAAAGGCATCCGCGAGGGAAACTGCCTCGGCTGCATTTTTGGGGTTTCGTTCCTTAATCCAAACTTGGAGTTCTGGGGACAACATTCAGAAATACTGTTCAAGAATTATGACGTCATTTATCTCTTCAACAGTCTTACCTCGGGGTTGAACCCATTTGCCATACAGTTCTTTAAGTCTCACATAAAGTTCCTTGGGAGACTCATTCGGTTCCACATGAAGAGAGCGGAACCTCTGACGATAAGTCTCTCTGTTAATTTCATATTTCTGTAAAATAGTAGCTTTAACATTATCATAGTTCATCGATTCCTCCATATCCATATGTACATATGCACTCCTGGCTTTACCAGTCAATAGTGGAATCAATTGAAATGCCCAGTCACTTTTTGGCCATCTGCAAACACATGCTATCCTCTCAAAAGTTATGAGGAAATGCTCAATATCATCCTCCTCACTTAGCTTTTGCAGTTTTGGTTCTTTATAGAAATGTGTAGAAATTGAATCACCTGATTTAACAGCCGACAGAGCAGGTTCTGCAAGTGAACGATCCACATCAGGCTTCAATCCAACAGATGAGGAGGCGTGGTCTTGCACAATAGGCCTCAGACCTGCAGAAGACTGGGCCTGAAACTCCTCTTGAAATAAACTGAACTGGTGTTGGAGAGCCTTAAACCTGTAATCCTGACGTGACATTTCTTGCTCCCAGTGTGCCTCTTGATCTTTTTGCTGCCCAATGTAGGCCTGCAGGATTCCTGCCAAGTCAGATATGGTTGGCTCTTTTCCTTCTTCATCCGCTTCCTCCTCTTCACAAACTGCACCACACCCTTCATGCTCTGATGGAGCTGCCTTGGTTTTACCACCTCCACCTCTGGCTCCTCTCATGGTTTAGGGCTTTTTAGTTTCCAAAAAAAAAAAGAAAAATGATAATAAAAAAACAGACTCTTGTCAGTCCAGATAGTCCTCCCTCAGCCTGCATTTAAATGACTAATTTCTGTTGCCACGTCCCTCCTGAAATTAAAGCTGCAGTATGTCACTTTTATAACAGAAAGTACATATTTGTTAAGACGGTCAATATTTTGAGAGATTATCTGAATGTGTTATGTTAATCCCATCAAATTTGATTGTATTCACACAGTTCCTGTGAGGTATTTTCGCAACTGTGTTGATTTCTTTGGTCATTTTATCGTCAGACGCGTTTTTGGGTTTCAAACTTTTTTTTCACATCCACAATATTTTTGTTTTGTTTTGTTTAATTTATGGCCACAATTTAGCTCCATACAGTGTAGCTTTATAAATTTGACTGGAAGCCAATCATAAAATGAGCATCAAAAATACCATTTTAAAAAATGATTTCGATGCATATCTTATATTTTAGAAAGAAAAGTTAAAAAAATGAATAACAGAAAATAAAATTATGATTAAAAAAATCAAGATTGAATCCTTTTATGGTGAATAATTTTAGTTAATTGTCATTATTTTTGTAGAAATCAGTTGTCACTTTGACTATAAAAATCATTGCTGTAATTGTGTTTGGTCACAAAAGTTTTGTTATGACTGATTTGCAAAGGCTATAGATATATCAATTACTGTTGGTGCAGACAATTCACTGTAAATCACAATGTAGTTTTAAGTCATTTAGCTTAACTGCATGTTTTTAATACATATATATTATTCTATATGTGGACATTTTTGTATACTTATTTAAAGTAATTTAAATAAGTATCTATCTTTCACCACCTTTTTGCGTGTTTTTGTTTATGTTTTTGTCCACTTGTCGTTCCGTTTGTAACGCCATGATCAGATCCTCTTCGTCGACCAATCACAAACGAGAAAAGCCCGACCATGGGTGGCTTGCTCGACGCTGATTGGTCTATGTTCATGCGAAGCACTGTTTAGCTGTGTTGTAATTGGTCCGCCATTTTCCTTTAGTCGTCCGCTCACGCCCCTTACCTTTGATACAGGATACAAGCAACACAGCAGCAGGAAGGTGGGTAGCTCCTAAGAAACTTCTCCATAAGTCTTAAAAAATACTTTGCCAAACCGCAGCTCGTTTTTAATACATAAACAAACGTTCAGAGAAATCTTTGGTGCCAGTTGTTACCGGAAATGTTACGTTTTTCTCGTCCAGTTTTAAATCTCAGGTGCTCAGCGGATAGTTTTCTGTAAAATAATAGTTAATGTCAGTATATGCTAGTGTTGACAGTTTTTTTCTCTTTAATCGTGAATGCATTTGTACAAAACTTTTAGTTAAACGAGTCTTGCTCTGTTTAGGGCAGTGCTTCTCAAATAGTGGGGCGGGCCCCCTTTGCGGGGCGCGGTGCGATACCTGGGGGTGCGTGTGATCCTGGGGAACAGGTTTTTTTTTTGGCCGTACTAGTATAAAGTGTAATTGCGCACAGTAGGCGGAAGTGGCGCTCTCATTGTTACTTCTGTCACGTTTGCGACAGTGCAACATTTCATGACTTACAAGACAACAGGTTTGCCTTGGTTAGCAGTGTTAAGTCAACAAAAAGCTCCGACTGCGTTCTGTCTATGGCCTCGTTATTCAACAACCCCCAACATGAAAAAGTTTTTCACAGGGATGAAAAAAAAGCGGAGAGAGACAAAGATAATGAGACAACAGAAAGTCAACCGAAAGCTAAGAGGAAATACGACGAAGCGTATTTCGCGCTTGGCTTCACTGTGACTACAGTTGGAGAAGAGGAAAGACCGGTGTGTTTGCTGTGTCTAAAAATGCTCGCGGCGGACAGCATGAAGCCAAATAAATTAGCGCGTCACTTGAATACGTTACATCCCAATCACGCCAATAAGCCGCTAGAATTTTTTCAGCGAAAAAAATGTTAATAAGGAAAAAATGTTATGCAGAGATGGATAGTCACGATGGGGAATGGGGGGCGCGAATAGTTTTCTTCTTGCTAGGGGGGCGTAACGGAAAATAATTGAGAAGCACTGGTTTAGGGGAACAGTAATTGACCTACTTTCAAGACGGGTTATGAAATGTTTTATTCCCGAGTCCAGGAATTAAACTACATCAATATATTAGTGAAGTATGGCTTTTAAAACCATAAATTCAGTCAAATTTTGCATTAAAGTAATTTATTTTGGTAGCGAAATGTTTTCATCTGATCTCGCAGGGGAACTGACTGAGCACAACAGTTTCTTTATGAAGAAGCTGACAGCTTACAGAATTAATGGAAAGTTTGGTGGAAGAAAGACGTTTTCATATTTCTCTGTTTCAGTGCCTCTGTCACCAGAAGCAGCCATGGACCTTGTGCTGAACGTAGCCGACCACTACGTCCTGACGCCCTACGTCTACCCCGAGTCGTGGGCCGAGGACGGCGCCCTACGACAGATTATCAGCCTCCTGGTGGTGACCAACCTCGGGGCAGCCATCTTGTACCTCGGCCTGGGAGCGTTCAGCTACTATTTCATCTTTGATCACAATCTGATGAAACACCCGCACTTTCTGGAAGTATGTCGCCTCATGGTTGCTGTATTATTTCATAATTTTGACGCATGTTCAGTGAAACAAAAATTATTTCAATGCTTTATATTTGAAAACTGATTTTTTTTTTTCTGTGACAGCCACAGTATTCAATATAAATCTAAATTCCTGTGTTTTGTGACAATTTGAGCATCTTTTTTCAATTGCAACTTTATTAATGTTTTTAGAAAGATGTTCAAAACTTTATCTTACAAGGAATCATTTCCACTGTTTAAGTTTTCATACAATAAAATTTGGTCTAACAGAGTGTGAAGATTCAAATTATGATATTAACAATTTCATCCTGGCTAAGTTTTGTTCACAAATATTTTTATTTAACAAAAATGTTCCTTTTTAATCTGACCCATACTGGCTCCATCCCTGATAAACTAAACAAGTCCTTAATATTTGACTTTGTTGTTGACCTGCTTGATATTGCAGTCACTTCCACCAGTACTTCTCCGAATGTCCCGAAAGGCTTCCAGTCTGAACACTGCATGTCGCCTGTCAGCAGTGTTGTAGTACTCGAAAACGGTCTTGGTCTCGAGACCGGTCTTAAGACCATTTTTTGATAGTCTCGGTCTTGTCTCGGACTCGACCACATTTGGTCTCGGTCTTGTCTCGGTCTCGGACATTGAGGACTCGGTATTTTATTTCAAGACCGGTCAAGACCACAACTGTGAAAATAACGCTAAATCATCAGTATCAATTTCTTTAAGATCCTTCTTTTTATTGGATGCACTCCTGATTCAAATCCAAGCAATAACCCGTCTCATTGTAAATGCATGTTGTTGTTTTTTTTAACTGCTGTCGCCCCACCCCCTTTCACCTTGAGCTGCGGACTGCAGCACTTCGATTGAAAGTTACAAGTGGTTGTCTGGGAAGGGGATAAGATGACGGCCAAATCATCGGTTATAAAATTTGGCTATTTAAATCACAAACAATACATTTGTAAAGCAACATTGAGAAAAAAGCATACAGCGCAATGTAAGTTCTGCAGTGCTTCACTATCAGAGACGGTGGGGACTACGTCCAACTTTTATCGACACCTTGAAAGAAAGCACAAAGAAAGGTAAGCTGTGTGTAAAAGTGATATTAGGAAAGCTAGCAAGTTAACATAAGCAATTTCCTCGGTATAAAAATTATTCTACCCGGCCATCACACAGTTCTTATTTCAATATTCGCTACACATATTAAGTTAGCTAAAGTTATATATGTATGCTTTATCTTTTAGGGTGAACGTTCTCCTTTCTTTTTCAGTTTTACACATGTGCACATGGTTTTGAAATAGCACATTTAAAAACAACATAAATGTATGTACTGTTCATGAAAGGCAGGGAAAATACTATTTTGATCGACTTTGATTGTTTGAAATTCTGTGATTACAACATAGAAGTACTAAATAAAGATGTTTGTTTATTCCAGTTCTCTGTGTAAAATATCTAGGTGTTTTTACGTGAATGTGGGTCTTTTAGATTTTAGTGATTTTGATCATGTTTCACATTTTATTGTCACATACTGGCGCTGGTCTTGGTCTTGACTCGGTCTCGACTTCCCTCGGTCTTGGTCTTGACTTGGTCCCGGACCCTAAAAGTCTTGGTCTTGTCTCGGTCTCGATACACTCTGGTCTTGGTCTTGTCTTGGTCTCGGGTTAGGTGGTCTTGAACACAACACTGCCTGTCAGCGTCCAGCCACACTGAAATAAACCCACTCAAAGCCAGGCAGCCTCATCTCTACACAGCTGAATTTCTGTCAAACACGAGTTATTTTCCTCTTGTTTCCCAGAATCAAGTTCAGAGAGAAATTAAGTCTGCAATGACCTCCCTGCCCTGGATCAGCATCCCCACCGTGGCCTTGTTCTTCGCTGAGGTCAGAGGTTATAGCAAGCTGTATGACAACGTCAGCGACTCCCCGCTGGGTGAAGAAAGCAGCCTCCATGTTGTCTCTGTGTCCTCCATGTTGTCTCGGTGTCCTCCATATTGTCTCTGTTTCCTCCATATTGTCTCTGTTTCCTCCATGTTGTCTCTGTTTCCTCTGTGTTGTCTCTGTGTCCTCCATGTTGTCTCTGTTTCCTCCATGTTGTCTCTGCATCCTCCTGCTGTGGGACTGACGTCTCCTCTGTGCTCTCAGGTTGGTCCGGTCTCTTCCTCAGCATGATCTCCTTCCTGTTCTTCACTGACATGTGTATCTACTGGGTCCACCGCTTCCTGCACCACAAACTTATTTACAAGGTGGGTAAACCTCTGTTGAAGGTCATAATATTATGAGAGTAAAATTAATATGATACAAGAGCAACTCCTACATTGCGGTAAAATGAAGTTATACTTTGAAATATTTTGCAAAGAAGAAAAAACTAACATCAGCCCTAAATTATTATCAGCAGCAGGACTTTGAAAGGAGTCGATTTAGAAGAAAGAACCACAGACTGGCCGACCTTGTCTGATCTTAAAAACTCTATTGAAGTTTTTTCCTCATAAAGTGACATTTTTGTCGTCATTTTATGACTTTTTCCTGGTAATATTGCATTTTTATTCTGCTAAAGTTATGACTTTATCCCTGCAGTTTTAAAAAAGACAATCTCTTAGACTAACCTTAATATTCACTGCCTGAAAAATCTGAAAGACGCTGTGTTTGCAATGCAAATACAAATTCAAAAATACTTTAGGAATCCCAAAGGGAAATTAAATATTGAATATAAATGAAATTATAATTAAATTAAATAGTTCATATTAAATTTAAATTAGACTATACTTAAATGTAATTAAATATCCTAAGTGTTTCAGTTGATCTAAAACGGGGAATGTTTAATCTAATTAATGTCAGGCAGTGAGAAAAATTTGTTATTAATAAGTTAATTGGATTTCTCAAATCTTTTCTTCCTTTTTTAGTAGCATATTCATTTCAGGTTGAATACATAGTTCTCATGTGACGTCACACTTCTGTGAACTTTGCAACTGACGGCCATCAGTTACAAATGGCAGGCATTTGCAATGGCGTTGCTATGACAACAGTAAACAAGCCACAAGTTTAGAGCTAACTTGTGTCTTAGTTCCGTGTTTCTATGCAACTTATGAACTGCAACTATTACTTGATCACAATCTTTGAGTGTAATACTCAGATGAATATCAGTGATGTTTACTATAGTACCTGCTGCCGAGCTAGAAAAATTAGCTTAGCTAATGTAGCTTTTAGCTGCTAGCTGAGATGGCGTAGATCACTTCCTGTTCAGACCTATGGGAACTGTTTGTTGACCTCTGTCCTCTTTATTTCCAACAGATGTTTCACAAGCAACACCACATTTGGAAGATCACCACGCCCTTCGCCAGCCACGCCTTCCACCCGTTCGACGGCTTCCTGCAGGGCCTGCCCTACCACATCTACCCCTTCCTGTTCCCCCTTCACAAGCTGCTCTACCTGGCTCTCTACGTGTTCGTCAACATCTGGACCATCTCCATCCACGACGGCGACTACCGCGTCCCCGCCGGCCTGACCGGCGTCATCAACGGCTCCGCCCACCACACTGACCATCACCTCTTCTTCGACTACAACTACGGCCAGTACTTCACCCTATGGGACCGGCTGGGAGGCTCCTACAGGCAACCGTCAGCTCTCATGGGGAAGGGCCCCATGGAGCTGGTTCGGAAACTGCAGGCAGAGGGAAAGTTGGGGAAACAGGAAGTGAACGGACACGCTCAGAGGAAAGAGGAGTAGCATAGTTGGGATTGATTACAGAGATCAATCAGCTGCAAAACTGAGAGGAAATATTTCCAGTTCATGTTCGCCAGAAAAGCTAACCCTGATGAACAAGCTTCAACTTGCTTTGTTGTTTTCCTTTCAGCGGTGGAGTTTTGTGCACTTTTTAAATTAGGGATGAAAAACGTATCACGATAAATGCGTCTCCTCATGTCTTAGCTAGCTGTGAGAGTTTAAATGACTAAAGACTTTCCTCTGCCTACATTCCCCAGAATGCTGTGTGGTTCTGGATCAGAGTTCAATGAATATTCTATATATAGAATATTCTATTGATATAGAACGCCAGGTGTCTTTAAAGCTCTCTGAGAGAGGTCCTCAGGTTCTGGACAGCCCATCTTTCTTTCGTTTTTGTGTTGGACTCTTGTAAGGAATAGCTGGTGATGGACAATTAATCTGGGAGTTTATTTCCTTTCAACTCAGATCTTTGCTCCAGTGACTCACTGGGCGTAAATCTGGAACCAATGTTGCCGAAATGGTACGCAACGCGAGCTGTATTTCCACTGCAAATGTCTGCAAAACTTTGTGGCTGTTCTGCTAATGTTGAAAAATATAATTTCGCAATTGCGCTATTTTCATTAAGTGCACTGCAGTTTTGCAAAATAAACAGATTTCAGCACGGCTGAAAAACCACATCATGCCAACATTGACATTTTTTATTGAAAACCTGATATTTTTTCTAAATTAGCTTGTTTCAATTACTCAAATTTATTTCTGAAATGTTAAATTGTGCAATTTTATGGTCAGTGAAACGCAGCTGCGGTAACAGTAACCGTAAGGTACTGAAGGAACATTTATTCATGAGATCCTTCTTGTTTGAAGAAACCTTTAAATCAACCACTAAACCAGCAGATATTCCTCTGTGCTCATAGGAAAAACGATTACTTTCTGAATCATGACGCATTTAAGCTGCTTTCTTGACTTTCATTTATTTCACTTTATTAAACATAATTTATGTACAAACTTAGGTCACTTTCTTTCTCTGGTTGTTAGCAACATGTAGTATGAACTTCCTGCCTCTCTTATTAGATATATTCTCTGCTGCGTAGAAGTCAAAGGTCAAAACACAGGTTTCCAGGCACAAACTTGATTGCAATGTGCTGGACGAAAAATTTTCTTCTTTTACCACATTTGTGACAAAAAGAGGATTCTGGTTCTGCTGGAGATTTTCCTCTCCACTGTCACCACAATCCTTAATGCATCAATTCACTTATTGTGAATTGGTGCCATAAAATAAACTAAATTGACTTGAAGCGGCCTTTAGCTTGAATTTTAGCTCACCCTGCAGAAATGAATCGATTAACTCTAAACTCTCTACTGATGCTGTTTGAACTCAAAACAAAATCAGTGAACTAATCGAGAGTATTCTCCAATATTCAAAAACTTTCCACATGTTCGGTTGTCAACTTTAACACAAATATATCAAAACGGGATTTACTTGACTATTCTTGTTTCAACACATTTATTCTTCAATCATTCCCAGTAAAGATTTATCGACTGTGAGTACTTTCTTCTATAACGACATCATCCTGCAAAATTTACAAATTGAAACTGTTCTCTTTTTTTTTTGACACAAAAAACGTCTAAAAACGACAGTGAAAATATGCAAAACTTACAGAACCTGTGAATTTCACACTTTAGTGTGTTTTTTTCTGTAAAGTTGTTGCCGGTTTATTACAGTAAAAATAACAGATTGTAGTTTTTTAAAAAAATTTTATAGTGTCCACCTGCCCTAGCTAAGTGACTGTTCCCATGGTAACTTACAGAAAGCAAAACAAGTTAGGAGAAAATGAGCGTTTGTCTTAATTTATTGATTTATCTTCTATACACAGAGCAATGCTCAGAATGAGCTAATTTTATTTTATAAGCTTGTAAAATGTAAAACAGTGATGCAGGAGCATTGAATACAAAACTGGCGTCTTGTTTCAGAAATGTCCATGGGTAGTTGTAATGTCCTGAATAAATGAATGAAATAAATACACAGCAGCCTTCTGGCTTCAGATTCAGAACTGCTCCTGAAGAGAAAAGCAAACCGTGATGAAGAAGAAGCTTTTCTACACGTTTCCTTCAGCGGAGGAGACGAGCGACCGGCGTCTTCAGCAGAAGAAGAAGGGCATCCAGAGGAAGGACCGCATGGCCGCCCCCGCCGCCACGCCCGCCAGTAATCCCAGCGTAACGCTCTCTGCGACTCCATCAAACGGATCCCTCTGGACGATCACCTGGTGGGTTCCTTCAACACAACACAGCAGCCGCTGTTACAGGTAAATCCTGTCTGTTGCCTCTCAAACAGGTCTTTTTCTTTTTTCTTTTTTTTTCTTTTGCTTATCAGACTGGTTAAGTTTGGAAGGGAAATTGCTGTTAAAATCTTCTACATGGAATATAAAAATCCAAACAGCTGGATATTTGCAAGAAGAATAAACTCAGAAATCCTGAGATTAATCTCAGAAATGTTCCAGAAAAACGAGGGAAACCTTTGAGTTCAGATAGTTGTAAATCTAGTCGGAAACAAATTCTGAAGTAAGATTGATCTCAGGCATTTTCTAGAAGAAAACTAAATTTCAGATTTCAAAATGTGTACGTTTGGAAGAACAAATCTGAAATTCTCAGATTAATCTAAAATTTTCTAGGAAAAAGAAGCTCATAAATTTTTTAGATTGATCTCAAAGTCCTGGATTGACTTTTTGAGGATCAGAAATGTCTACATTTTTGGAGAAAAATACTGAGTTTAAATTCAGAATTGGAGTTTTTTTCTTTCATATGTACAACTTTTTAAACTCAGAAATGTTCTCATTTTGTCTAGAAATGTTCTGAGGTTGAACTCAAAGTTTCTTGTTCTTGCATTTTGACATTCAGCCATCTTACCTGGCCCCGCTCCAGGTGTGATGTACACAGTGTGGTATCCGTTCATGGGGACGGCCTGATAGGAGTCGTCATAGGGGTCGTATGCAAACACCTGCACAAAAAAACCAACAGAAAAACATTTTCATTATTTTCAGCGGCAAATTGTCAGGTGAAGGTCCAGATCCGACAGGGAACACACAGAACTCACCGGGTTTCTTCTGGTTTCAAGCAGAGTCAGTTTCCATGCTCTGAATGAGAACAAAAACCCAAAATCAGAAGCTGACAAATGTGTTTAGTTTAAATTAAAGGCTGAGCCAGCAGGTGGGAATGTACCTACAGAGACTCATCTTCACTGTTTGCGCACAGGTTGAGTGTAGAGCCTTCTCTGAGATGAATCACTACGAGGTTTTCCCTGGGATTACTCTCTGGTGGGTTCACACCTACAGACAGACAGTCAGACAATTGGGGTCTTACTTTCTATTTGCAGTGACTGTAGCTATAAACGTATTTCTGTGACGTTTACCTCCACATTCCAAACCAGACCGCACATCGATGCACGTTGTTTTCAGGGTGACTCGCTGCTCCAACTCCCGCCGGCTGTCGCTCTTGTAGAAACACAGGCTGCCGTCTATCCAAAGGTCACACCAGTTCAGCTTCCAGCGCTTTAAAATGGCGGCTGCAGAGCAAGCATGCAGAGTCATGCTACCACTTTTCTGTAAAGGGATTTGATGTACTCTGGAAACCACTTTACTTTCACTGGTGATGATAATTGGTCACTACTGAGCCAGCTTGTGGTGTACCTCTAGGATCAGTACTCGCTCCCCTTTTATTCTAGAACTTGAATTAGACATAATTTTATTGAAATAATTTGGTATAATCCCATATTTTTCAAAAGTAAATGTGTAAATAGATTGCAGAGATATACAGTGTCTCTCAAAACACCTGTAGAAAAATAATCATAGTCGTTTAATATAACTATTAAAGGGGAAGTATTATATGTTTATAGGCATATAGTGCCATTTTATAGCATTTCAAGTGACTGTTGCCTTCAAAAATTTTAAAAATGCTACACATATTTCAAAAATTACTAATTTGACTTCCTGCTTTAATGCCTTGAAACTGGGTCTGTGTCTCTTTAAAAAACCCTGCTCTTTCTAAAGCTCCGCCTCCAGGAAGTCATCCAAACATGGCTCCTCTATTAACCCTTTTAGCAACGTTTTACCAGCAGCAGCAGCAGCTCCTATAACGAGCTCAGCTCCAGGCTTTTGCTAATTGCTGTTGGCTAGTCTGAAGGAGCTGAGTGTCGGAGGAGGTATGCCTCTAAGGTTCACCCAGCTGAATGGTTGCCATGGATTTCTCAAACATGCATAAAGAAATCAAATCAACACGCCTGGTTATTTTTGGTTGAGGGAAAATCATTATAGCATAAAGCTAAAAGATTGATTTTATGTAATACTACCCCTTTAATTACAAATAAATGAAAGGTCTGAGCAGTTGCAAACCAATAATAAATAAAAAAATTTAAAACTATACAAAATGTACTGATTTTAAGCATAAAATATTGTAATTAAACAAACAAAATAAAAGGAAAATGTGATTCAGAGGGCCCTTTATTTGAAAACTTGCTTCTTTTAGCCAAGTCTTATTAATAATTACATTCTCTCTCTCTTGCTATAAACTTTGACTTCAGCTTGAGGAAACAAATTTCAGAAAAATCTGGTATGGCAAATTGACTTAATTTCTGTCACATTAGAGGTGTAAAATCTCTTAAAATAACTTATTGTGAATCATTTCCTTTCCAAAACTCTGCTTTCGACTGGCTTTCTCTCATGATCTGTGAGCCACTTAAAGACACTGCCGGCCGAGGACAATTAATAGGATTAAATGCTGCAGAGGCTGGAGTTTCGTAACCAGCATGGTGGCTTTCTGGAATATTCTGAATGGAGAATAAAGAATATACAGAAACATGATGTTGGTCAGTTAAAGATCAACATGTTAAACCTTTAAAAGCTCAGAAAAAACAAGTTCCTCAAAATCATCAAAAACTGTTTTGTTATTTGACCCTGAATATGAGTTGATTAGCAAATCTAAATTAGAAATGCCTAAAACCATGCACATTTCTCTGCTTTGATGCTTTGAGGCTGTCGCTCTTGTAAATATGTAAATAATTCCAGATTTTGGCATCAAATTTGGTTTTTGTTTTGTTTTTGCTAGATTAAAGGCTATTCTTCTATATTTGTCTGAAATATTACTGCATCTTTGGAGTAGAATTTTAGTTTTGTCAAATTTTATATATTTTTTTTAGTTTTGATCATATTTTTTCCCTCTCTCCAACTCTGATTCTGGAGGGGACATTTGTATTTTTCAGATGAAGCAAAAAATTAAAATTAGGTAACAACACACCTATATCTTAAATTCCTTTTGTATTGTTTTTAAATTCCTTTTGTACTCTTTATTTTTTTATCTAATTATTTCTTATAATACTGCTATTTATATTAGTTTAAATAATATTAAATATTTCAATGACTGTAAATTTATGACCTTTCAAAAGTTGAAAATAATCAACTTTTCGAGCTCACAATTTCCAAATCTTTGTAGAAAGCTTGAGATGAATCCAAAAACTTCTAAGTTCTTTTTGGTGGAAATTTACTCGTTTTTTCTTTTCCTGTTACGCTATTTTAGGGAATTTTTAGATCCATAATCTCTAAATAAAAATATTTGCTAATATATAATTAAGATTGGGACTGTGTATATAATGTAATGTCATGTATTTAAGATACTTTCCAAAATGTATGTCAATCATTCTTTTTTACATGATTCACACCTTTGAAATAGTTGAGAAAATAAATAAATATATTTACTTATTGGATTGTGGTACTTTTTGATTTCTGTATTACTGGTATAAATTTCAAATGTAAATTAAAGAGAATTTTTGAGTAAAATATTCCAAATTTACCTTTATGTTTTGGGGTTACATGATCAAAAATAATAGGAAATACTCACTCTGTCTCCACAGCCAGCCTGACTTCAGGAGCGCCATGTTCCTCAGCTTCAGTCAGCTTTGTTCTTTCTGTTTCAATAATATTCCAGCAGAAGTTAAAAAGGGATATTAGCTTATTTTATCGGATGATTTAACTCAGATTCCTCCCCTGTTGTCTGTTTGTATTCTCTGCTCCTGGCAGATTACTGTGCATCTGACTCACAGGATCCTTCTGGATTAGAATGCCACGCCTCCCACCCAGTTTCCCCTCACTCTTTCTGGGCTGAGGACCTTACCGCCATGTTTTTATGCATACATTGAAATAACACAATAGATGCCCAAAAACAGAAACTACAGTTTCTTCTGCCTCTGATTTCTGCTTTAAATTGTAGTAGTTATAGTACATTAATCTCTGCTCTGAGATAACAAATGAGGATTAGCTTAATGGTCCGCAGGTCACAAACAATGACATCATTTCCTGCTGGGAAGAGTATTTTCTAGAACCTGTCCAGATTTGTGCTCTCTGTACGTAAATGAAACCTTTAAGGGATGAGGTGATGTCACTCATGAAATAACAGTATTCCATAATAAAATACCATAATAAAAACCTTAATCCCTTAATAAAATATTAACATGGCAGCAAAAGTTTTGGTTAGTGGAAATACATCAAAGATCTGCTGTTGTTGTATCAACCTTCCCGACCTCTCAGGTCTTCTGGTTCTGGTCTGCTTTGTATCCCCAGAACCAGAACCAAGAGAGGAGAAGCAGCTTTCAGCATCTATGCACCAAAAATTTGGAAAAAACTTCCAGAAAACTGTAAAACAGCAGAAACCCTGACTTCCTTTAAATCTCAACTAAAAACACACCTGTTTAGAATTATATTTGAAATGTAATATGTATTGTTTATTCTATGTTCCATGACTTTTGTGTTTATGATGTAAAGCACTTTGAAATGCCTTTCTGCTGAAGTGTGCTATACGAATAAAATTTGATTTGATTTTGATTTGATTAGTGGAAACTTGTGTCAGTGTGCAGAAGAAATGCTGCTGCATATAAATTACGCTTAATAACTCTTCAATTAAATAATATTTTTATTTACTTTTGGGATCAAACAAGTATTTTTGAATAAAATTGAATTCACTCACAAAAGCACTGATTCAAGAAGTAGAATACAAATGTAGGCCACACTTTTCAGATTTATTTTAGTTGAAAACAATATTTTTTTTCCCCCACTTCCAGTTTGTGTTGGTTTTAATAATAACGTCTCAGTAAAATGCACTGTGATTTTTAAGCCATTTAAATCAATTAAAAAATGTATTTGTCATGTTTGTCTTTTTAATTAAATAAAATTTTCATATTCTAACGGAAAAGCCTCACGTGTGCTCTGCTCCTTTAAGTCTGGCAGAGAACCAATCACAAACGAGAATGTTTGTCGCTATGGCACGACGTGATCAGTGGCAACAGGTAGTCCGAAAATAATGTTACATATTTAAAAGCTAATTTGTAGTTACGCATTTTACATGTTTCTATGTTTCATGCCTTTTGTTTCTTGTCGTTTCATTGCTCTTTTATCTGTAAGGAAAAAATAAAAAAAATAAAACCTGACATTTAAACAACGTAACTTCCGGTAGAAGAGGCGTGTCCTAATCTGTCAAACTAACCGAAGAACAACAAACACAAACCGAAGGTTGAGAGGCTCCGGTGGTCTACGAGTGGACTCACCTCTAACCTTGTTACTGGGACACAATATAGCTGTAATGTTCCGAAGAAAGGTCCATAAAAGGGGCTGAACACCTGCACCAACACCCGTTACCGGACTGGATGTAAGAAACACCAAAGTACTGATTGTTCTGATGCTCCTTTTGTCGTGTTTACAGTTTATATGGCCTGTTTGCTTCTGAAACACCTCAAAACGCCCGAGTTTGCTCTATTTTTCCATGTTTTTAGTTTGAGCTGCGTTTTCCAAACAGGCTCCGTTAGTCTGCAGCTCCCACAACAACCGGTTTTTGGTCGACCTTCTGGTTGATTTGCCGAATTATGTTGAAAAAAGCTCTCATTTGATTTTAAATTTTTTTTCAGAGAGTGTATGAAAGCGGAGTATTAAATTATGTGATATTGCTTTTGTCTTTACTTGTTTGAAGTGTATTCGGCGTTATTTATCAGTCGATTCTTCTCGTTGTTTAATAAAAGGAAGAAAAAAATGCTTAGAATTCGCAATGCCAACGCCGAACAGTAGAGGGAAGCAAAGAGCGGCGTTCAAAGTCAACTTTTATCATAAAAAATAACTTCCTGGAATTTTGTTTATATCGAACTTCATAAACAAAAATCACCCCCCCCCTTTTCAAAAAACTGACAGGTGCCTCTCTGCATCTGAATCTTTATGTCAGATATTTACTTCAGAAATCTAAGCTGACATTTATTCATAGTCAGAATGTTTAGGTGTTTTTTTTCTGCTGGTTTTGATCATTTTACAGCTTACAGTCGATTAAAACACAAAATTCAGTTTCTCAGAAATGAATAAAAATATTACTATGTTTATATACCAATAAATAAGTACTTTCATTCTAAAATATGGCTGTTTTTCTTATGATTTTCTCACAATACCATGACATTTCTGCATCACAATCCCTTTTTCATTTACCTAATATAAAATTTTATTTCTGAGAAACTGACTTTTGAGTTTTAATTCGCTTAAAATCATAAACATGAACTGAAATAGATGTCTAAAATGTTCTATGGAAGGACTCTATGTAATATGTGTTTCAGTACTAGAATGAACAAACTTTTTCTTGATCTTATTTATTGAGACACACAGTCTACATGTCAGACTTGTGCTACCTTTTTCTAAGAAACAGCATTATGTATTTTGTGCATGAATGTTAGTTTATGCACAAAAGTGCATAAAATTTTTCTGGACAATAAATTATCCCAGAAATTATTGCGATAAATAATAATATTTTTGAAACTATTTTCAAGTAATTTAATGACAATGGCACAATAATGCAAGTTTGCCCTCTCAATCATCAAAAAACTTTAATTTTGTTAAAAAAGAAAAACGCTCTTAACACTGGAAATGGAATTTTTTAAAATATTGAACAAAAAAGACCAAAACCAATAAAACGGAAATTAAAACCTGCACACAACTAAAAACATAAGTAGAATAGATTATAAAGTCTCTGTAAAAAAAAAAAAAAAAAAAATCACCCTTTACAAAACATAATGAAAATGATTGAACTCATTGTAGTTTACAAAGCGATTCATTGATTTATTGCAAGAAGCTTATATGCTTCAAAACATGAATTAATCTTCCACCATACATGGGAACATATTTAAATAAAATGTCATTTTTTTTCCTGGACCACCTCATGATTCTTAATGGGTCCCATCTGGCCGCCCGAGACAAAACGTCCTGCAGGAGCCCGTTCTATTCAAAAGTCAAATTCCCCAGACACCTGCTTTCTTTCTGGCCACTTTTTTTTTGTTGCTCCGTCACGTTAAATGATCAGACCCAGAACCGTTTCCATTTTTACTCTTCCCTCTTTCTGCTTCCCTCAGCAGGAATGGGGACGTTGGGTTGTTGAAAACACTCTTTCCTCCGATCTCTGCTGCGTCTGAGGTAAGAACCAGGAGATCTGTGTCATCAGGCCGAGTCCTGACTCCAGACTCAGACATTTGGCAAACGCGTCCACGGACAGAACTTTAGATAACTGGACCTTTGTCTATCAGACACCGATAGGCCTGATCGGACAGGACCGGGTGGGATCAGATTTTTATCGCATCATGACCTTGAGGGAAAGCTCCGTGTTTACACAAAATGTTTAAGATAAACAGATAGATTTTATTTGAAAGGTAAAAATACATTTCATTTCTATTGCTGCTGAATTATAGCTACACATTAGTTATGCTTGATTATAAGTGAAAACAAAAAGCCGTCCTCACTGTAAGATTGGGGGTGTTAATGTTTTTAATTAGATATATCTATCAATCCATCTCCATGAGTGTTAAGGTCAGAGGTCATGATCTAATAATAAAAACGGCCTCCATGGGATTAGTTTTCTCACAGTCTCAGGTTTGGACTGCAGAGCAGAACCAGAGAAATTATTGTTCGTTCTAATGGTGAACTCTTGTTGTTATTTTTTAATTCAATTTTTTTTCTCTCTCCTCTTATTAAATGAAATAAATTTTAGAAATATGCGATTTCTATTTTTTTCAGGTTGGTGATCTGAAACATTTAAGTGAGAGATAACAGAAAAAAATCTGGGGGGATATAAATATTTTCTTCACAGGATTGTATTTAACTGATTGAATAGCACTTGTCTCTCCTGGAAAATCATAATACAAACCACGTAACATCATGTAGGCGCAGGTTCCTACACCCGCTGAAAGGAAACAAATGTACCCAGCACAACACTTTCGTTCTATTGGCTGAGAGGTTGCCAGGCGACTGTGCCAAAAGGCGGTTCCGTGTTTCGTAAGCGAGCAGAGAATCTGAGCAGAGACTAAGTGTGAACGCGAGGAGAAGTTTTGAGTACAAGCGTTACAGGTGTTAAGCAGAAAAAGATGAAGTCCTACTTTCAAAATAAAAAAGCAAGCAACAGTATTAAGAGTTTTGCAAACAAAAAACATAAAATCCTGCTTTCAGACTGAACATATGTGCTCTTGGATTATGGCAGAAAAAGTCCCATATAAACCTGCTCCCATAGTTTACTCAGACTTCACATTGCTTTGTTGTCCTGTGGTTGTCTAGCAGAACAAATTCATTATTTGATCTCCCAAACTGTGTGCAGCCACCAAGCACTGCCTTTTGTTGTAGTTTATTATAAGTTTAAAGGAAAACCGTTGGTGCACTTCTGACCCCACCTGTTGGACTTCTGAGCACCAGCAGAGAAACTTTATATAAAGCTCCCATTGTTACACATGCAGCTCTCTGCAGCTGCACAACACGATTTAAAAATATTCAAAGATTAAAAACCTTTATTAAAATAGTTGCTTATGAGTTAGAAATAATTTAAAGAATTTTCACAATTTTAAAATTCTTTAAGTGTTTATATAAAGACTTTTTCAATACCTCATATATTCCAGCCGCAATAATCTCACAATAGGAATTTTAGTCAAATTTATTTTTAATTTTATCTTACTATATGATTAAAATTTTACAGAATAATAATTGATTTTAAGCAAAAAGAAATGTCCTTTTCTGTGCCTTTTTCACCCCATCGTGAATGAACATTCTTATATTGCAGTTTGTATTTTTCAAAATTCTTTTCCGTATGAAATTTTTCTACTGTAAAAAAAAAAGTAAGCTTATTGCACAAATTTACCGGAGGAACTATTAAGAATGTATATTTATTTATTTATTCTTGATTTTAATTTTATTTCTATGTGCTAATTGAACACACTTAGCTTATTTTCTTTAGTTTTTCACCCTTTAAAATGTAAATTTATAGATAAAGGAATTGATTTCACTCATTTAAACCATTTTTATACCTCTTCTTTCCACAGTGTCTCTTAAAAGTGTAAAACAATTATTGTTTTTGTTGAAATCTGCTGAGTTGTTGTGATTGAGTCAAACCTACCAGCCCACACTGGTTGACCTCTGAACTTTATTTTAGCGCAAAAGCTACTTGAGAGATAGCAGAGCCTGTGTTATCGTTTAATAAGTGCTAACAGCAGGTCTTTCATTTCCCCAAAGATCTGCAGCTTTTACTGATGATTCTGCTCCTAAACTCTGACATGTTGTACCACGCCTGCATGTAAACAAAGCGGCTCAATTATTTTACAGTTCTCTGGTTCCCAAACCAGTTCTGCTGGTTACTGTTTGATTTTGTGAGTTGTTTTTTTTTTTCTAATTTCTAAACCACAGATTTTCGGCATCTTTTTTCACTAATTAAAGTCAGTGTATTATAGTTTTTACTGCATTTTTTAGCGTTTGCACCAATCTCTTAAAAGATAAAGCTCTTTTTTTTTTCTTTATCTTTTTTAGGTTGAATTTGATCAGTTTCAGGTTTGGGCTGCAGATCAGAACCAGAGAAGTCGTTGTTTGTTCTAATGGTGAACTATTGCTGCTTATTTATATATTTTCTCTGGATTATTATGAAGCTGTGCAGCCATGGATTCCTCTGATGAAGAGGAGGAGCGCACCTTCGTCCGGGTCCTCAGTGAGAAGTACAACCCGGAGAATTTCCCCTACGGCCAAGGTGTGGTGGTTCTGCCCAGCCCTCCAGGATCTCCTGTTAAAGGTAACAGAAAAAGCAAAAAACACTTCATAACCAATTGAAAATTGCAGAAATGAATTGACATTGGTTTTGCTGTGGGACAGACCGACTGTTCCTGCCCAGCATTCTGGTTCTGAACGACTGCGGGATCAGCAAAGCTGGCGACAGATCCGACATCGAAGCGTTCTGTGCTCATGTCCTGGAGCTGGACCTGGCCTACAATCAGCTCAAGGACTGGGAAGAGGTAAGTCCTCTTCACGAATCCAAAACCATTTACGTAGAGTTGGTTGGACCCACGTTGGGCGCCAGATGTTGGTCGATGACAAAAATAAATCGACACACAATTAAGAAAGTCTTTCTACATCTCATAAAGTTTGAGTTGCTTTCTGACTTTTGTGGTCAGAGTGACCTGATACTTTACACACAATGTGTGTGTGAGGGGGGTGAGCAACGTAAACACAAGCTTGATTGACAGCGCTACATTGGCAAAATCTACCGAAGATTCCAAAACAACGAGTTAAAAACAAATGTCAAAAAATACTAAGGATCGTGTTATTCGTTGTGTTCATTGTGGCTTTGACAGATCAGCACCATCGTCTCCAGCATTCCTCACCTGGACTTCCTCAACCTGAGCATGAACCCGCTGAGCGGCGTGCAACTGCAGCCCAGCGTGGCCGATGTGTTCTCCAGGGTGCGACGACTCGTCCTCATCAACACGCAAGTCAGCTGGGACACGGTGCACACTCTCACGCAGCATACGCCAGAGTAAGTGAGGCAAGAAGATGTTCCCTGTTGCTGTGCTGCAACGCGTTCGAGTTTCTCAGACTCTGCTCCTCCTGGCGTCCAGGCTGAAAGAGCTCTTCCTCTGCCTGAACGGCTACGACTCCGTGTCCGAGTCCCAGGCTTCCTGTCCGTCACTGAACCTGCTACAGATCACTGGCAACCAGCTACAGGACTGGGCCGAGGTCAGGAAGTTTGGGCGGCTGTACCCCAGTCTGAGCACCCTGGTGCTGGCCAACAACAGCGTCAGCTCTGTGGGTGACACCAAGGAAACACTGGAGGGTCTCTTCCCCAACCTGCGCAGCATCAACCTCAACAACTCAGGTTTGTTTCCTCTGCCAGTTCAGTTGGAATGTATTTTGCTAAAAGACCAAGAAATATACCCAATGCAAACATATTTATGTGTGGAGAGAAAATCATATTGGTCAACCATAAGGCAGGACAAGATGGCTGAAAAACGTGTCACAATAAAAGCATTTTATATCAGTCAGTGTAGATAATTATTGATCATTAATTATTGGTTTTAAATATCTGAAATGCTACCCAACTGGTGGCGTAATATTTTCTGCTTTATTCAGTTTTCCCTCCATGCCATTGTTTTTTATTTTTAACCATTTATGAGGCACAGTGGCGAAACATGAAATCACTGCTACGCTTGTTGCTCAACAGGTTGTTGCCAGATAACCAAACCTTGCTAAAAAAATGTTGTAGGATATTTAATTAATGATATTAATTTAAAAAACTTAAAATTATGGCCCTTAGATAATCAATTATGCAGAAACTGATCATGTGATTCTTATTTTCTTTCTGCTTTGTTCTGTATTGTGCTGTCTGGCATTTTATACGTAATCCGATATTTTTTTATGCTCTTTTTGATGGAAAAGCTAGTTAATTTGTCTGTATTGTACAGTACTGTATTTATATTGCTTATACTTTGAGGTTCTACAGATGAAACCTGCTTCTTTGGCTAACTTTGGCATACTGTTCATGTTAAGGAATTAGGTAATTTAAAGATTATATATATTATATAATACATTTTGAATCGATTCAGAATTTCCAGGATTTGGATTCCATATAAAAAATATTTTTTCAGTATCTACATTATTCTGTGATGTGCATTGTTCCCTTTGAAATAAATAAACCTCAACATGAACAGCAGTTCAAAGAGAAGAAATGAAGCGTTTTCCTTGTGAACTGCAGGTCTCAGCCAGTGGGAGGACATTGAAAGGCTGAACTTCTTCCCTAAACTGGAGGACGTCAAAGCTCAGGGGATTCCTTTGCTGCAGTCGTACAGCACCCAGGAGCGACGCAGCCTCCTTTTAGCACAGTTCGTTACGATGAAACGCTCCCTCTTCATGCATCATGGCTGTTTTTAATTATTTAAGTATTTAATGAGCTTTTGTTCTGTTCCCCAGGCTGCCATCTGTGATGGTTTTAAATGGGAGTGCCATTTCTGACGGAGAGAGGGAGGACGCAGAGCGGTTCTTCATCCGATACTACCAGGCCTGTCCTGAGCGGGAGCTTCCTCAGAGGTACACTCTTCACACCATGCAGCGCTTTGTCCAAAGCAAACGAAGGGCTGCTGTCCTCATCACTGGAAAACAATTAAATCCAGTTATCTTGTCAACTTTAGAAATACAATTCACTTTTCTTTAAACATTTTTTTGACTAAAGCATGTTTGGCCACTGGGTGACTGGCATGGCGCCCCCTCCCACTGGGCTTAGCAAGTTTTCTGGGGGAAACCCTGAGTTGCCACATTTAATTTCCCCTTAATCCATAAAGTATTTTTGAATTCGAGTAAAGTTTCCTTCTTCAGTAACACAGACTGCAGCAGCTGACGTCATTTTACGCTTCGAACCATGAAAACTTGTGATGTCTGTGGTCGTTTCTTTTATTTGGGGACAAACTTCAGATATCCAGTCATCGTCTCCAGTCTCAGTTGCCTTCATTCCACTTAACCTGAGCAGAATGAGGTGGGGGTGGGGGGCTTTCTGAAGGAAGGTGGAGTCCTTCGCTGAGGGAAACTAACCTTTTGGGAGACAATGCCGCCACTCTCCGACTGCTCAATGAACTCTTTGTAGGGGGAATTCTCTGATTGGGAATCGGATACGGCAGGTAGCTGCTAGATGCTGCTCGATGTTTCTGTCTTTTATCTGCACACCAACGCCGTCAAAATCAAAACGGGAAGCCTGGAGATTTTCTGATGGTTTCGGCAGCGCTGCATCTCCTCTGACGCTTCAGGTGACGAGCGGCGGATTATGTCTCCTTCCTTCTCTCTGGTTTGACTGGCGCTGGTGGACCTGGTTTGGTGGTTTGGTCTCTATAGGTCAGAAGGTCAGGGGGCGTCGGTGTGAGAGCGCAGGTATCCCCTTTCCTCTCAGGTAGCGCGGATCAAACGCATTCTGTAGAGTAAATGAGTTATTTAGATGTTGTCATCCTTAAAACCACCACTTACCAGATGTTGCCAGCTGAAGTTCTGCTCCAGTACTTCACTGATTCGAATCTTACCTAAAGAACAGGAATTATTTTTTGTGTAGCTTCTCATCAAGATACACAAATCACAAGACAGAAATCACAAGTCCTATTTAATGTCTACATCCTATCCCAGTATCTCAGATTACAACACTGCAAAAACATCTTACCAAGTAAATTTGGTCTAGTTTCTGGTGCAAATATCTTAACTTTTCATCAATATATATAAGCTTCTTTCAAGACAATGATTTATTGATATCTAAAATCTTTTTTTTTTTTTTTTTTTTGTTGCTTAAGTTACATGCTGTAGTTTTAAGCAGATGTTCGGTGTGAGAGTTTACTGTCTGGTGGAGGTTGAGCGGCGCTCCGTCTGTGAAATATCACCACCAGTAGCGGCGGTCCCAGAGCGAGATCAGAACCGGCGTCTCACACCGCCAGCTCGAAGACTTGAATTATTTTTCAGTTTACTTGTTTAGCTTTCTGACTGTGATGCTAATCCGGGTGAGTGTTGGTAGTTGAGTCCTGCTGTCTGGCTGCTCAACTCAGGCTGAACTTTGACCTGAATCTTCAGAGTCACATAAAGACAGTTACAAAGTCGGCCTTCTGTCACCTAAAGAACATTTCCAGGATCAGAGGACTGATGTCTCAGCATCAGAGAAATTCATCTTTAGTTGCATTGATCACTGCAGCAGGGTCTTCACAAAGTGATCTAATAAAGCAAATCCTCCAGCTGCCGCTGATCCAAAACGCTGCTGTTGGCGTTCTGGCTAAAACTAGGACGGTGGAGCACATCGCCCAGTTCTGCAGTCCTTCATTGAGGGAAGTTTAGACTTAAAGAAACTACTGGTAGTTTATAAATCACTTAACGGATCAGAGATCTGCAGATTTGTTGGATCAACCTTCCGACCTCTCATGTGTTATCAATACATCACAAAAAAATGGTCTCAAAAACACAATATGAACATTTATCGCAATCATTTCTGGGACAAAATATCAACCATTAAAATTTGTTATCAATTGATCAACATATTTGTATATTTGCTCGATGATTTTGATGATGGCATTTGACTAAATCTAATGTTTATTGCTTGTTTGGTATCTGCTTTATGCCTTTTGGGGGGTTTTTGAGCGTAAAGTGCTTTGAACTGTGTTGATTCTGAAATGTCCTTCAATACACACGTAACTCATATAGAAACTTTATGAAGTCCTGCTTAATTTAAGGTGTAGTCGACCCAGCAAGACTCTGTCACTGGAGAAGTTTTGAAAAATAACGTAGAAAAGTGGTGAGTTTCAGGCTGGATGTTGGACCTGGACTGGACAGAGTCTCCAAACCCACAATCTCTTTCCTTAAAAACACAATTAGAAAGGCTGACATGTTATCTGCAGCAGTGTTTCACCAGACGTGCCGCCTTAAGCCCTGCTGTCAGAAGGGCACTTTGTGCGCCGCGAGTTCCCACAGAAACCTTGGGTCAGGCGGATCGGCTTTGAGGACCAGTTTTTAGTGGGGAAGTGAAATTGGCTTGATTGGACCAGCTGTTACAGACTCTTTGAAAACACTGCCTCTCTTTTTTTTTTCCCTCCTCTCCTTGATTTTATTTAATCGTTCCCGGGTCTTTATCTCGAGCTTCGGTTCCCCTGAGACGACTGAGTGGTTTCTCACGGCCGACGGTTGGGTTTTTTTTCTGCTCCACCAGAACATTTCCTTTCAGCAGCCACCAGAACACAACCTGAATGGAAATGAAGCTAATGATGATTAGGACTGTTTTCCTTCAGCATTTAGAGCAAAAAAACATCAGAGCTGTTTAAGCTCATAACAATAAGGAATCACGAGATGTAAGGTCCCGTCTATCAAAGGTCAATAAATATGTTTGGTTTTGAACCAGATATTAACTGAATCTTTATGAAATACATAACTCAAAATGATATTAGATTATAAGATCCCACATAACAAGTAATAAACAAATCCCGTTTAAATCCAAAACAAATCCTGAACAGTTAGTCTGCGCTTGTACAAGTTTGAATGAATTAATCTCATAAGAAGAGTCTCATAACTAGTTTTATCTGATTTTTCATATCTTACACCTATTACATGTGAAAAAAAAAGTTTTATTGCTGCAGCATTAAAACATGCCATAAAAAATAAATATTTTTGTAGTTTGCACAATTTTCTAGTTGATGGAAACGCAGCGACTGACACTGACGTACTATAGTTTAACCCCCTCTGCTCGTCCTCGCACGTGGCCACGCTCCTCTCTGCGTCTTGGCTCCGCCCACTTGTGGCAGGACAGTTGAACTCTTCCACAGGGAGGTCAGTCACGTTTGAACTGGAACGATGTGGGTTGGCCTGAGTGAAGTTAACCCCCCCGTGTTTGCGCAGCGAAAACTTTAGTTTGTTTTAATGATTCATATTTCCAGCCTAAATTAAGAAAGTAAATTTGTCCTTCAATCTTGTACGAACCAAACACCAACACGTGCCCCGTTCTGTTCCAGGTACCACGCCCTCGTGTCCAAATATGGCCGCCTGGCCCCGCTGGCCGAGGTGGACCTGAGCCCGCGCGGCACCGTGGTGGAGGTCCGCTGGGGGGACCGGGTGGAGCCGGTCACCCTCCGCCTGGAGCAGACGGTGGGCGACCTGAAGAAGCAGCTAAAGGCTCTGCTGCAGCTGCCCTCCAACGGCATCCGCCTCTTCCACATCGACAAAGAGATGAGCTCCGTGTTCGGACCCGAGGAGCTGAAGTGCGGCTTCCGGGCGCTTCACTCCTACAGCATCCAAGACGGCGACGAGATCCTAGTGGTGCCCAGAGAGAAAAACCGCTGCTGCTCCTCGGACTTTTGAGGAAGGACGCTCTCGTGCTTCGGATGAGAAATTAAAAATGAACAGAGACAAAGCTTTTATTTGATAAGAAAGACTTCTCCCAGTGCTGAATGTAAGGAAGTTTAGAGAAATAGCGCAACATTAAATTTGCACATTGAAGCTTTTGACCCAAAATAGCTTTAAAGGAATTTAGTAAAGTTTAAAATTGAGCTGTTTTGTTTCTCTGGTGGAAGCTGGGTCTATACTGAAGACCTTTACTTTAGCTAAACATGAAATCTGGGCCATAAAATCGTCAAATGTAGGTGCCAAAGACGAGACAAACTATGCAAAACCTGTCCAGGGTTTCCCTGAAAAAACCAGGAGTGCAAGAGCTGCTAAAAATGTTCATAGTTGACAAGAACTTATCTAACTAGATAATTATGTGTAATTGGAAAACATTGCTGCCAATACCAAAACACACAATTATAGGCTTTAAAAAAGGCAAAAATACAATCAAAGTATTTTCGCTTAAATCCTAATGAAATAATTAGTCAGTGAATCTTAAAACAACTTTCACATTTAAAGCTTGAATGAATTTAGAAAAATATTACCTGAAATAGACAATAGCTGTGTTTCCATTGACCATATAACTTCACCGTTTGACATCTGGAAAATCATGTTGTTTCATGGAAACGTGCTAGTTATCGTTTTTCCATGAAAAAGCTTTGCCGTTAGGATCATACAGGGTTTGTTCAGACGTATCAAAATGAGTTTATTTCACAAAACTGCAATGGAAACACTTTTTTTTTTTTTTTTTTTTTTTTTTTTTACAGTAGTCGGAGGATGACATGTTTTTTAAGGATTTACCATGTGAACAAACTTATGTTTCTTATTTAATGGAAGCGCCGCAAATGATAAATAGTTTTTTTTTATCTGACATTAATGGAATATTGGCAAAGTTTTATGCACATTGGTAATGGAAATGTAGTTAATTATGTATTAATTCCTGCAGAAGAAGCCCAAACCAACTATACAGCATGCATATTTAATCATTCACCAACATACTTTTTACATTCTCTTATCACTTGAGCATAAATTTCTCCTTTGTCCCTTTAGAATGACAGGTTATCTGCAAATTTAATGAAATATCTGTTTACCTGTTCAAAGCGACGAACCTGAGGGCGTCCAGCGGAGGAGAATACTGTTTAAAAAGAAATAACTTTGACCATTTCCTCCAGGATCCAACGTTTAAATCAATGCCCCAAAAATCAGACAGAGAGTTTTTAGTCAGGTAGATCCATTTCACATCAGAAAAATATATAAATATAAGTTAAACATGTAGATTGGGATGCGGAATTGACAGCAGCCTCACGGGTTTCTGGGCTCAAAATCAAGATGTAGCCCAGTTTGTTGAGAGGAGCAAAAAATATTCTAGTTCCGTTATTATGCAAAAGTTTATTTAAAACAACATCTTTTTTGAAAATCAACTGAATGCACAAGTTATATTAAAGAAACCACCGCAGGTTATCAGGGATTAGATCCACAACAGAACTTCAGCAGAGGTTTGATCATTTAAATTAATGCACAAATACTAAAATCTAAGGTAGAGTTTAAAAATATTCACCATGCAGTTGCAGTTCTCCTGGTTCTTTTTCTGATTGTGAATCATTTTAGGAGCAAACATACAGTGAGGAGTGAACTTTATTCTGCAGCTGGGACTGCAGTCGGCTGAATCCAGGATGTTTAGGTGTTAGAATGCACAGAAAGACTTTCTTTTTTTTTTTTTTTAAGTGCGTCGGCCTTGAGAAAGCTCCGTTTGTCTGAGTTCAGCTGAGCAGATTTAGATTTGAAAACGTTCCTTTGTTGAGAACGGATCGGCTCATTCGCTGGGAGTCCTGGGATAACCCTGGAGCGGATGCAGAAGCGCCGCTCCACTTCGGGGGGGGGGAACACAGACGCGCACGGAGCCGCCCTCCTCTCCTCCCCGCCCTGGGGGAAAGCCGAGACGGCGGCCAGGGCAGGCCAGGCCCGGTGCCGGACGCTCCGGTTACCGCCGGCCGCAGGCTGTCGGGCAGCTGAGAGGCGGCGAGCCGCTTTCTGGGGGAAACCGAACACCGGCTGCCACTGGTGTCACACAGACTTCCGCTGCTGTTGGGTTAGACCGGGTTCAGACGGCCGGGTCTCCCGCCCAGACTCTCCGTTACATCCGACACTCTGAGACGTTGTTAAACTTTACATTTCCACTCAGACTCAGTGTTTCGCCAACGTTACCAACAAGTACTATGTGTCATAACCTCCTGCTGGATCCTACGGCAGCGTATTACAGCTATTGCAGATGTCAAAAGGAAAGGAGCAGGAACTGTCCCCCCTAAGACTCAGACAGTTTTGGATCAAATCTTTGACATTTTCTAGGAAACACTTGGAGATTTCTGAGTTTGATACGTTGACATTTTTAATCTTCTGAAACTCAGAAAATTCCCCAAAATTGAAAAAATGTTGATGTTTGAAAGTCAGAATTGTCAAACTTTTTCCAGAGTTTTTCTAACACTTTTTTGACCTTTTAGTTTTTTGTTTCAAATATTCGACTTTTAGAGTCCAGAAATGTTCTCCTTTTTTTTGTCTTGACTTTTGGCTCTCAGAAATGTCCATTTTTTATGGAAAGTTTCTTATTAATCTCAAAATTTTTGAGTTTTGGGTCTCAAAGTTTCAACTTTTGGAACTCAGTATTGTTCTGTTTTTTATTTCTTAATCCAATTCCCAACCCCTCACACTCACATATTTGTAACATTTCAGGCTCAAGATTTGTGGTGTAAATATTTTCCTTTTGCATTTTCTATCTGCAATGGCGCTAATACGCCGTTGTTGGATCCAAACTCCCAGGAGACACTTCACTGCCAAGTATGAAATCTATTAGAAGAATGTAAGATGCAGGTTTTTACACTGATGGGAGAATATTTTGCATGTCGGGTTCATTTCGAACCGCGCGTGTTTATGGCTCTTTGTTTTTCCCATAAATCTCCCAGAATTCCCTTTGGTGTCACTTTGGGAATCCTGCTGAGAACATGCTGCTGGTTGCAGGAGTTTCCCTGTTAATCTGTTCACTGTTGCCTGACTGTTGCTCTGCTTCTAACTTTAGTAAGAAAAGAAAGTCAGTGGAGGTGTACTACCAGCTTCACAGGAGGGATAAATGTGACGGCGGCGATCCAGAAGGAAAAGTACATATGAGAACAGAGGAGGTTTTGTTGAGCCAGTTTTCTTGTTTCCTTTTCTTTTGCTTCGACTGAAATCTTTACATGCCAGGTCACAAGTGTTTTCATGAAAACTGCTCAACTCTCACCTGTAGTTTCAACTCCAGTGTGTCTACTTGTCCTAAAACCTGGTTTCGTTCTGGTTCTGATCCGTGTTTGGACTCCTATAGGTCCGGGTTTGAATCCCTGCCGAACCTTCTTCCTGCGCATGCGTCGGTTCTCTCTGAGTTTTTGGCTTTTTAGCTAAACGGCCTTCTGGTGTGAAAATCTGGGTTGCCATGGTGACCTGTCCAGGTTGGACCCCGTCTCGAAACAAACTGGTACAGATCGCTTTATAAGAGTCTTACAGCCGCATTTCCAATCAGTAAAATAAGAACTATTTATGAAATGTGACATTTTAAATTGGATTTTATATATATAATGTGTGTGTGTGTGTGTGTGTGTGTGTGTGTATATTTAGCACAGTCACATTCAGTAAATACATTTCAAATGCAGCTGCAGACATGAAACTAACAGCTCTGGTAATCCACACCGAGAAATTCATCTGTAAGTCAGGCCCTGTTGAGTGGTGTGTGTTTGCAAATGATAACCTATAGTTTACTCCCTGAATGCGTCATAGAGCGTGATGATGATGATGATGATGATGATGATGATGATATGCATCACTGGTCTGTGCATGTTTGGTTCTTTGGATTTTCTCCAATATCAGAACAACAACATTGTGGGTTTTCATTGTAAAATAGGATTTTAAAGCGTTCTTGCATTTTGTGGTTAAACAGAGAAGAAGAAGAAATCTTCCTCTGTTTGAACGTCTTACCTCATTTTGAACCGGCAAAGAGCTGCTTCGCCCCGTGATGTCATCGGCCATATGTGGTAAAGGTGTTTTCCAAATTTGGGTTGCAACGTAATTAAAAACTATATATAGATGTAACTCTATTTTACATGTTCTTATTTGTTTTATGGTTCTAATTTTTTGATTTTCTTTCAAAGATAAAAGCGAAGCAGATGTTGATTTTTTTTTCCATAATGTTTGAAAACATGTTCATAATGTTCATAATTTTTCATAAATTATGAAAAGTAGAGATTTTCATTTCAGCTCCTTAAATGAGGAAACCAGGTTGCAAAACACCTAGTTTTGTTTTGTTTTGTTTTGTTTTTTGCTCATTTGAAGGCAAAATAAGAGACTGATTCATGTGATCATGGAAATGAGGTTGGCAGTTGAATTCCTCGCGTCCTTTAATTTAGTTTCTAATTTTTCTCTGAGACAAAGTTTCTTTCTTCCTCTGGCGGTAAATAACTGGAGGTGTGTTTACATGTCTAACTCTGATGGGAAGTCAGGTTTTCATGTTGGCTTTTTGTGGGTTGTTTGATTTGCACGGCTGGAGTTTCTGTTCAAAACATCCGATTTTAGGGAAACGTGATTCTTTAATGGTGATGCATGCAACACGTCGTCTTCAGTAGCTCCAAATACGAATAAGATCGGCCGATTTTCACGATGCAGTTTGTCTGTGTGGAAATAATTGCTTCTTAACTTATTTCACGTGTGCTTTCGGTTTCTTTTTGTGGATCTCGACACTTTAATTCAGGTTTGGTTTCTTGAGGTAGTGATGCTGTTTCCATATCTGTACTGTGTTTTGATGCTTTTACTTCTCCTGAATAAATAAATCTGAATGATGACAACCGCAGTCGCTGTTCCACTGTTTGACTTTAGCTGAATATTTACAACCTTTTCCAACATCTGGTGTCAAATGGTTCAAATCCTGAAACAAATGTTAAAAACACGACTCAACAGAGAGCAGTTGTCTAGTAACTAGTTGCATTTACTCAGTTACATTTAGCTGAGTAACTTTTTTTTTCTTTTAATGCACTTTTATATCATAAAAATAGTCATATCTATTTAGATGGTGTGATAGGGATTGGGTGGCATTTCTACATTTCTCCTGAACAAAGATGATCTAATTAAAGACTTACTTGAATCATTTTATTGCAAAGTATCTCGGCTCTCACTGGAGTAAAATCTCTGGATTTTTGACCCACTGAGTGAAAAACAAACGTTTTAACCAAAACATTCACCGGACACAGAAGTAAACATTCAGTTTTTGCATAAGTTTTATTTTTGTACTGAAAGAAACTGATTTGGGGGAAAAAAATGTAAATATTTTGCCAGATTTTGTTACTTATTTCAGCTATTGTCATTTTTGTCCTTAATATATCAAAATTATTGCGCAGCTTTTCCAGGCAACAAACTTTTCTTTTTATCTTTATATATATATTTATATGTATAACATTTAATTTTTTCTTAGATCTTGAGTGTCCCCACACAAAGAAGAAAAGGAACAAGAATGGACCAGAAAAGGTATTTTCCTACAGAAGCTTATTTATTTTCTCTCTGTGTGGGTGAATGTATGTCCAAGTAAACTATCATATTTAGTGTAACTTTTGGGATCTCTATCCACCTCGTTGGGTAAATAAATATGCAGCTCCTTATTTTATTTTACTGAAAAAGCAAACACTTTGGAGGGAAAGTGTGTCCTTTAAGAAAGGAGACTTGTCCCTCTGCTCTCGGTGCTTCCAGCCAGGAGCTGCTGAGATAACCATCTGGGTCCCAGAGTGTTTGCTTCCATGTTTAGTGGACCGGTCCAACGTGTCGGCTGAAAGACAGCCACGAAGCGGACACGTCGGACACGCAGCGCTCTGATTCGCAGGCTCGATGCTCGGCCAAGGAGGAGATGTAACGCTGCAGACCTTCTCTCTTTCTGACAGGCGCTTCGTGCCATATGCGCCCTGGGTGTCGCGTTTCTGGGGCATTTCTCCTTCCCTCCTCCTCTAATCCTGTGTGGGATCCATGTGCCGCCCGCTGCCGTTGATCCTGAGCACGACCCCAGGACGCCAGGCTGTTTGTAGACCTGGAGTCCTGAAAATACTCTGCAGATGCTGCTTTTTTCCCCAGTCAGGAGCATCGATCTGATCAACGAGCATTTTGTGTTACTCTCATTCCCCAAGCACCTAACACCAGCACGGGGTTGGCGCTAAATGCCATGACATTTATTTGGTGGACCGGCCCGAAACCGATACGTTCGTCCTTTATGCACGAAAGAGTTCTCCCTTCAAAATGAACTTTTTTTTTTTTAGTTTTCTTTAGTCTCAAAAAAACGTTTAAATTTGACCTTCATCTGAAAGTTTTGCTGATGAATCAAATTGGCTTTTTTCAGAGCACACTGCAAAAAAAAAATAATAATAATAAAATAAAACCTTACTAAACATTTTTGGTCTAGTTTCTACTGCAAACATTTTAATAATCTTGAAATAAGACAAAACTAACATACAAGTACATTTTCACTTGTATGTGAAGCTTGTCTTAAATCAACAAAAAGTAGACGTTCCATTTCACCTATTATCTTATGCAACTTTTCATCAACATTCAAGATTTATTTACTTAAGGCAGGATCATTGATCTGATCAATGAGCATTTTGTTTTTTATTAGCATTTTTGTTGTGACAATAAACAAGCCACAGGATTAGATTTAGCTCATGTAGGTACATTATAACCACCTCTGTGTGTAATCCTAACATAAATATCACTGATATTTACTGTAATGTTTTCTGCCTAACTCGCAAAATAAGCTGAACTAATGCAGCTTTTATCTGCCAGTTCAGACAGTTTTAAATCTGCTTAAAAGTCTCTGGTTCCTGTTTACTCCACATCAACGTGAGCTTAATGTCTGATGCTGACTTTTCTCAATGCATGTTGGAATGAAGGTCCAGTTGCATCTGTTGGTTGCTCTTGTTGTGCAGATGGTTCTCGAATCGAGCTCAGACCTATCTCATTGCTTCATGGAGTGAGAGTGGGGGAGGGGGGCCTGAACGGCGCTTTTTGTCCGCTGAGGTGAAGGAGTCATTTAGGTAGAAAGGTTTGGGTTACTGGAAGGAGGTCCATCGTTGTGAATGGAAAGAAGACAAGGAGGCTGAGGCTGAGGCAGGGCGCAGGGAGCTGAATCAGAGCGGCCCACTCCACAGATTGGGTGACCGCCGGACAGAGCTTGGTGGACACGCAGCCTGCGACCTTTCTCCTGAAGGTCAAGCTTGACGGGTTCGGGACTTCTGATGCTGGACTCTCACATCCAGTTCTCACACGGCCCTTCTGTGTGAAAAGATTTCACATTGAGAAAGTCTCTTTTCTGACACTTCCAACAAAGAAAGCAGAAAGATTCAAACTTCTCACACGTTACATTCAGGACTAAATAGGAGTTAGCCTGATAACAAACATTCAGAACTGAGAGGCCTTTTGGGAATTGACAAAGTTTATTGCAAACATCATTTGAAATGTGCTCAGTTTGTGAAGACGGATTAGAAAGAAATCTGTAACGTTGTAGACCAGTTTCTGTCCTGCGACTCATGATTTACGTAGAAGATCTCGATCCTCAGTTACTGATCGAATGTGACTGCAGTCGTCCTGTGTGAACGGTTTGCAACCTCAGAGAGACCTGCATGCGCTGAAGAAGAACGTCGCTGTCCCCCAGCAGCGCTGACTTCACAGAAGTAAAGATGGGGCGTGAAGCGATTAGATCTGGGCCGTTCAGACAGACGGCCATGAAGAAGTTGGATTCGGTCGGATTGGGCTGCTGTGGGAACGCAGCCTGAAGGCTCCCACACTCGGCCGTACTGTGGGTGTTCTGTTAGCCTCCTGGATTTCACCATGGAGGGTTGAGATTTTACGGTAAAGTGGACTGATTGCCCTCATTTCTTGTGACAGGTTCTTTCATTTCCCACAATCCAACTGGATGCTAGCTAGTTTGATGAGCTAGTTGGGCGAATAGCCCTGTTTCTTCTCAAACCATCAGGCAGCACAGGCAGCGGCCGCCGGGCGTCATTGACATCGTTGCACAGACTCTCAAAGACACCGATGAGCAGATTACAGTGTGACATAGACGGTCATCATAAATGACCTTAGTTCACCTCAGTATGTTGGGATCCTTTAGAAACATCCCTGGTTAATGACCAGGCGTTTGCTAAACTTGCTGACTTGCCAAGGAGGTCATTCTTCTTTTTGATTCAGGCGCGTTGGAGGATCTAGAGATTTCCAGACAGTGGCGTTTGAGGGATAGAGTTGCTAAGCCGTTTTGTAGACTGTGTGACGAATGGCAGATCCTCAGAATTAGCAGCTTCATTGACGCAAAATACAGATAAATTTTTTTTTAATTATTTTCTGACCTTAACAAACAGAAGCTAAGTTTTGCCTCCATTCCTTCACTGTCTCATTTCCCTTCCTACCATCAGAAATCGCTCCCGGCCCACTGGGTCATCGTTAACATCCTTCCTCATCCATCTTGGCTCTCACAGGTCGGTTGGAAGTGGGCGACCATTTACAAAAGAAGAAAGCTGCCTCTGCAGAGTCTTTCTGCTGCTTAATGCGACCCGGGTCGGCCCTGAGCGCCGGAGCTTTTCACACGTCTTGCTCCTTACCTCTCCAGTTACTCCACTGTCCCCCTGCAACAAAGAGCCAACTGACTGCGCTGTCCTTCCCAGACCCCTTCAGCGCGGATCCACCCGAGATTTCTCTGGGCTATCGTTGCAGCATCTATGGAAATTAAGTGTCTTGTAAACGAGGCTGTCCCTAATTAAGAAAGGGGCTAGTCAGAGTGTCCAAAGCGGCTCATGTTAATGTTGTAACCCTAGCTGTTGCAGCGCTTAGAAAAGACGGTTTCAGGCTGTGTGTGTTCCTGGGTTTTGTCCCGAAGGCCCTTGAAGAGAGACTCTGTGGTACCTTGGTGATCGGAGGACTTCAGCAGTGACCCACACCTGTTCAATTCAATGTCCATTTTCACTAAACAGCACAAACCAGCAGGACACAGCCACTTAGCACCATCCTGTCGGCCAAGCAGGAAGTTAGAGGCTCACGGGATCCAGACGTTACAGCTGCAGTATGTAACTTGTATAAAACAATCTTTTAACATATTTGTTCAAACTGTCCTTTTATTGTGACAGCATGTTATGAGCCAGATAGTTTATAGAAAGATTGATCTCCACCCCTTCCCTGAGCTGCGATTGCTGTCTGCAGAAATGCACAAAAAAGAACCAATCAGAGCAGGGAGGAGGATCTTAGCGCTGTCAATCACCCTTGTGTGCTCGCTGTTAAATGTGATAATGGCGAAGAAACAAGTTACCGTTACAAGAAAGTCATGCTAACTAGCCTTAGCATTCCAAAACATACAAACAGAAAAAAAATGTAACAGAGAAGCAAAGCAAATGGACCGGTTCTGTTCTGTGGATGAACTGAACCACACAGTGGTGGATGAACACAAGACAGACGGAGCAGCCAGCGTCTCTTTAATCCTGAGGTTGTCAACTTGACTGATGTGACGAACAATTTGTTAAATTTTCTTTTCAAATAAAAATCAAAAAAGTGTGGCCCAGCACCTTTAACACCGATTCTGTTTCTGGCCTCAAAGGTCTTTTAGCGAACAAATGCACGCCACACTTTTCAGATTTGTAAAAGCTGTAACAGGTGATTTTCCTTTCTGGTCTGCCACAGCAAAAGCCTTTGACGATTGTGGTTGGATCGTGACAAAATGAGAAGGAGCTGAAGGGGTGTGAATACTTTGAGTGAATTTCGTTTGAATGTCATCATTCCAAGAGTGATAAAAGCCTCAGTGTTTCCTCAGATTCTCTCATTTTATCACGGTTTGGATCCTGACGGGAAGGATTGCTTTCATTCCACCTGAGAAGAGAGTCTTTGTACAAAAACATTCCTGTTCTCCCTCATTTAAAACATTTCTATCATTCCCTTTTATTTCTGCGTTCCCAGAATGCTGACCTCCCCTCTGCTCTTCTCACACCTCGCTCTGTTTCCACTCCCACTCTTCCTCAGTCTCCCCCCACTCCCCTCACCTCAGATTAACTTGAACACTGCTCATGTTTGCACCCATTTCCTTTGGCTCCATTCAGTTTCTAGCGGGAAGTCTAGATTTTTTTACGCTTTGCTCCTGAAGTTTGAAGTCGTGCCAAGCTGCTGGATTGTTGTTTGGTTTTTTTGCGTGGAGAGAAGACTTTCTATCGGCTCCATCGGGACATCCAGCTGCTCCGCATTCCTCCCATCACCTCCACTGCCTCCATCCCAACCATCACTGGTTCCCAGCTGGATGGGACCGTGCTGCTGCTGCTGCTGCTGCTGCTGCTGCTGCTGCTGCTGTGGAAACCTAAAGGTTGGACCTGGGAGGTGCTCGATGTTCATCCTCTGAAAGCAGGTGAGTCTTCTCCCTCTCGTTCTGTTTTCATCTGTTTAAAATCAGTAAACAGCTTTTGTTTTCAGAGCTGGCCGTTTATTTTCATACTGATTTTTTTTACCAATTTATTTTTCTTGCTTAAAAAAACTACAAACAACAGAAAACAGTGCGTTTCATTTCAATGATCCCTTCTGCGAGTTGTGCGATGGAGCATTAAAGCCAGGCTACTAAAATGTCTAAGAATGAGAATTAACAGAATAAAGACACAATTTTAGCAGAAAAAATGTCCTCAAATTACGAGAAACATGTTGTTTTACGGCATAAAAAGCTGTTAAAGTTATTAAGTTCTGTTATGAGTAGATTCAGCCGTTGCATCGTTCTAAATTTCTGCTACTGATAATTTGATGTGATGAAAATGAAGTTAAACTTCACAAGATGATCATCATTCCTCGTTTTACATTATTGTGATTTTTGTTACTTCACCCTACTGATATTATGTCTTCATCCTGGTGACATTTATGCTTTATTAATAAAGTCATAATGTTTTGACTTTGTCATCAGACAACTACATTCTTGTGATTTTCTCACTTTATTCTGGTATTTCGACTTTATTTTTGTAATTAGACTCTCAGTCTGGGGCTGACGCTTCGTCGGAAACTTGACCTGAATTCAAAATCCAATTAAACAGAAGCTGTAAAACTTTATTGTGAAACAAGATGGCCGCCCCTCACTCTGAAATATGGAGACCCAACAATTGAGCTGGTTGAAAAAAAATTGAATCTTCAAAAACTCAAAAATCTGATTGATCAATACAATCGATTTATAGTCAAGTCCTGCTTTTGCGCTTGGAATTTCATGCTAATGTTGTTTTTATTTATTAACTGGAGAGTTCAGATTTCCAATCGAAATCCCAGGCGTCCAAATTTTCACTGAATTAGTCAAGCTGAAAGTGATTGAGGGTCACAAACTGCAGCTTTGTTTATACTTTTATTTGAAAAAAATGTGATAATAATCTTTTATTTATTTATTTTTTGGCAAAATGTTTTCACTCAAGCTTGGGAAAACGTAAACAAATCGTAATATTTTTGATAAAGCAAAGAAGTCTGATTTCTGTAAAAAATAAAAATAAAAAAGGAGCTTCAAATCTGCAAACAACAGCCTTAATTTTTATTGTTTCCCACTATTTTTTCAATGGATTTTATTCTCAGCAAGATGAATGGAAAATCGTCTTGCTCTCAAGTAAAAAACACTGGAACTATGAGATAGAACTAATGCAGGAAACAAGTCTTGCACCTTCCACTTTTAGAAAGTGTTAAATTGACTTTACTTTGTTAAAAATCTCTGTTAAATCATTTTCTTTGGCTAACTTGAGCTGGAAACCAAGGCCTCGTTTTGGCACCTGTTGTCTGGAGGAATCTGCTTATTTATGTTTCTGTTGATGTGTGATGAGCGGCCGATGACATCACAGCAGATCTCTATCAGCGGAGCGCACTAATGCTGGCACACCTGTGCACCATTTAACAATCAGTCTGCAGAGATTAATTACAGACAGATGTGATCAGAACGACATGGAGAAAATCATGTCAAACAATTGCATTTATTCAGTTTAGTATAGAACCAATTCACAACAAATGTCATTTTGAGGTGATATTAAAAAGTTGGGGGGGGTTTTGTGCCAATATTCAAGAATTACTGATATTTCAAAGGTACTGACATGTTTCAAAAGTACTTTTTTTCTTCTTGCCTAACTATCTGCGTTTCCATTACAAATATTCTGCTAATGTCAAAAAAGCACACTTTTGTAATTGTGTTGTTTCAATTCAAATAAGAAACACAATTAGAAATCACATGTGAATAAGTTTGTTCATGCAATAAGTAAAAACATGACTGTTGTCGTCTTCTGTGTTGTTTCCACCAGCGGCAACATACAGCTGTTGATCATGTGACTCGTGTGAAAAACAATGTTTCCATTGCAGTTTTGGACAATAAACCAACTTTGATACGGCCAAAAAATCCACTTTATCCCAGTAAATGTATTTTTAAAATGTCAAGTAAATGTATTTTTAAAATGTCAAATTGTGCTATTATATGCTAATGCTAATGTCAGCATTTCTAAAGATGTTCCTTGAATGATCAGGAGTTTCTTTGCATCAGTTTGACGGTTGAAGAACCTTAAGAACCGATTAAAACCATAAATATCTTTGCTGTTGAACCCATATATCTCTATATTTAATAAGTTAGCAGCAAAAAAGGATAATTGAATTGAAAATGTTGCTTATTTTGTTGACATACGGTTTGATTAAAATAAATTACACAACTCCGATTAACTAAATCCAAACTTTGAAGCGAGTCCCATCGCTAGACGAAAGGCATCAGAGATGAATGTAGCACTAAGTCAACCGTATGCTGGAGCCCTTAAAGGATCCAACCTACGAAACCGTTTCAGCAGACTTCCCAGTGAGGCAGAACGACCCGTAATGTTTGCTGTGATCTATTGGTCCATTACCGACTGTACATGCAGCACCTTTAGGAGTTTGATCACAGGAGTTTAAAGCTTCGTATATGGTGACAGCAAAATCTGCCAAGTTGACTTTGCGTCCGACTTCACCAACGGGAAGCTTGCCAAGCCTGACACTGAACAGTCCCAGCGGACCACTGTGAGGTCCTTGGCACCTGAAACCTTCTCACTTAAAGCCATTAGTGCCCCTGTGTTTACACTCTTGTTTCTCCAGCCAACACTGCATGGATGGGTCCCAAACAGAGGTAGTAATGAGGTCCTGAGCCGCTTCACAGCTCCGGGCCGAACTCCGCAGCTGCCGGGAACCCGGGCGCACAGAGGACCCCATGTCTACCAATGTTGGCTCACATGAGACCGTAGGCAAATGTGATCCTTGGACATTGTTCCGAGATGCATAATGGGGCCTTTTGAGAAAGCCTCATGGGACACCTGGGAGCCTGATCTTAAAGAAGCAACGTGGCGCTGGTTGGATGGTTCCCCCTCCTCTCTGCTTTGTTAAATGCTCCGGTTTATGAGAAGCTGTCCTATGACTCACATCTCCCCACATTTCCATTAGCTCTGAGGGAAAGGCAACACCGGTTAAGTAACATGACTTCAATATAATCTCTCTCCTCATCGCCCTCTGCTTTTTCTGTCCTTATTTTAGGATGATCAGACGTTGCTGTCCACTCACGCTGCTCCAACTCTTAAGTGTTTTTGCACAGACCAGAGGTACTGACCTGTCCCAAATATTGCAATAAAACAAAGTTTCTTATGCTGCTTAGTAACTCTACAGAAACACAAAGTCATAGTTTCTGGTGCAAGTATCTTGAAATAACAGAAAATTAACGTTATCTGCTGAGATATAGGAGTTTTTTTAAAGTCAATAATTACTCAAAATGGATAAAAAGTACTAGTTCCACTGATCAGATGGGAAAATGTTTTGTTAGAAGTTAAATAATCTGTCACAGTCAATATTATGGAAGTATTGGCTTAAAACAAGCTCCTACATCTTGCTGAAAACAAAACTAACTCAGTTATGTACTAACTGAGTTAGTTTTGTCTCATTTCAAGTGTACTAAGGCATTTGCACTAGAAACTAGACCAAGAATACTTGGTAAGACTTTACATTTTTGCAGTTAAGGTGACATAAACCTTTTATTTATCCTCTTTCCAGCTCTCACTCAGGATCTTTTGTACCCGTATGGACCGGCTCATCGGGATCTTGAAACTCCGAAGATGGATGACGGGAGTTCAGTTGAAATTCCTTTGCTCATCCCCTTCATTTTCTTCAAAATTCCCTACCGTTCCATCTACGTAAGCCCTCTATCTGGAATCCACTCCACTCCTCACGTACGACGCTCAGTTACGACAGCTTTCCGTTCTTCTTGCAGGTCAACAACAACGGCGTGATCTCCTTCAACGTTCAGGTTAGCCAGTTCACGCCTGAGGCTTTCCCTCTGAGCGACAGCAGGTCTTTCATTGCTCCGCTATGGGCAGATGTGCACAACGGCATCCGTGGAGATGTCTACTACAGAGAGACCACCGATCCCGAACTGCTGGAGAGGGCGACGCAGGATGTCCGCAGGCACTTCAAAAGCATGCCCAGCTTCACAGCCACCTGGGTCTTTATGGCAACGTGGCACCAGGTCACCTTCTATGGAGGGAGCCAGACCACGCCGGTACACGCAGCCATGATTTGGTCATTTATTGTAGCATATCAAAATTACATACAGTATATACTCAAGACAGCTGAGGCATGCATGTAGCAACTGGTTCTGCTTCTTTCTCTTAAAAGGGAGATTTTTCTCTCCAGTGGTAAACTACATAGCTGTAGTTTACCACTGTAAAAACTACAGCCATGTAGTTTACCACTCGGTAAACTACAACATGTGTGTAGTTTACAAACTACAGGCATGTATTAGTTTACCAAATGGTAAACTACATGGATTGGATTTATTGGGGTCTTATTGGTAGGTACAGCTAAGTATAATCAGCATAGTGATGGAAATTCTTTTTCATGTGGTTTGATGATTTTTCCCAGCATATGTATCATATGAAATGGTCCAAGCACAGAGCCTTGTGGTACTTCACAAGGCTCGTGATGATTTATTGTTAACATGGCCAAACTGGAATCTGTCGCACAGTTAAGATGTAAAACAGCCTGGTACTGTGATATGCACTGTTTATCCCACTGTACCATCACCTTCTGCTTTCTAAATTTTTTTTTATATCTAATATATTTCTCATTGGATTGTCAGGTGAACACTTTCCAGACTGTACTGATCTCAGATGGTGCAGCTTTCTTCAGCATGTTCAACTACGGGGAAATTACATGGAGCACAGGAACGGCCAGCGGGGGAGATCCTCTGACGGGACTCGGTGGAACGACGGCTCAGGTATTCTACGAAGGTTATCTAATTAGTCCAGATACGACGTCGACAACATGGCTGACACCTTTCCTAACTTTCAGGCAGGTTTTAATGGAGGCGATATCGGTCACTTCTTCAACCTACCGGGATCCCGGTCAAATGAAGTGGTGAACATTGAACAGACGACCAACGTAAATATTCCTGGACGCTGGTTTTTCCGTGTTGACACTGAATTGATCGATCCTGCCAACGGCTGCAGCTACAATGGTTAGTCTGAATCTCAAACATGAGCCTGTTGTTACTTTAGTCTGGACTTCACTGAGAGTTTTTTTCCACTGATCTGAAGTCAGCCAAAATCTTCGAAGACTCTTCCGGCGTGAAATCTCACATTTCCTGTGTGATTTCTGCTTCACCTTCTTCAGGACGGTATTACAGACGAGGGGAGATCTTCTGGATGTCTGACCAGTGCTCCCAGCGCTGCCGATGTCTTGACATAAATAACGAGGTTCAGTGCCTGGAGGCCCCATGTGGACAGTTTGAGAACTGCGAGCAACAGGATGGGGCCTTTTACTGCCAGCCGACCCGAACCAGCACCTGCGTGGTATTTGGAGACCCTCACTATCACACCTTCGATGGCTTCCTCTACCACTTCCAAGGCACCTGCTCCTACCTGCTGGCCCGGCCGTGCTGGGAGATGGTAGGACTGCCCTACTTCAGCGTTGAGGCCAAAAATGAGAATCGCGGCGTTACCACGGTGTCCTGGTTACGAGATGTGACAGTGGAGGTCTACGGCCATAGAGTGACGATACCTAAAGGCAGTTTGGGAAGTGTCCAGGTGAGATAAACCTGGACAAAATTAAGTTTGAAAGATTTTTTATGCCTATTTTTGTCCCAATTTTTCAGTTCCCTCAATCTTAAGGTCGGTCCAATTATTGTGATGGTCTTAAGATAATCTTTGGCCGCATTCCTGCTTGTGTGCTCTGTGTTAAGAGTGATCTAGTCCTTTGGGAACGATTATCTAACATGTTGGATTCTCTTGGCCCGATATAGCAGCATGTGTTTAACCAATCAGAAAGCGAGGTGAAGGCAAATGGAGGGGAATCCAAAACACTGAAGACCAAACCACTGCCGAGGCGCACCAAATGTCAAAACTATTTTGCAATTTAAATAAGAAATGCAATTAAAACCACATGAATAATTTTGTTCACAGGATAAGTTACTATAAAACATGCTGTGCCATCATCCTCCTTGCACCCTCTGTGGTCTTCTTTGTCTTTTTTGCCAGTAGTAAAATTGGATTGTTGATTACGACTCATGAAATGCAAAAAAGAAAGTTTTTCCATTGAAATTTGGCAAAACAAACCAATTTCAATACTGATGAAAAACCACGTAATGAAACCAATTTTGAAAAAAAACAATGTTTTTTGAAATTGGTTTGTTTTTAGAAAGCAAATTTATTTTTGTAATTCTAGTTTGCAAAACTATATGGTCAATGGAAATGCAGCGATGGTCTGTTTTGTCTGCATCAAACTGAGGCAGTCTGAGTCTTTTCTGTCCTCAGAATTGAACAGAGTTTCCTTCTTCAGGTGGACGGCTTGATGAAGGCCTTGCCGGTCCAACTGGAGCTCGGTGCCGTAAAAGTCTACCAGTCTGGAGTTGCTGTTGCTTTGGAAACAGACTTTGGACTGCTGGTGACCTACGACGGCCAGCACTACGCCTCCATCTCCTTACCAAGCTCCTACTTCAACAACACCTGTGGCCTTTGCGGAAACTACAACGACGACCCTGCAGACGATCCCGTGCTTCCGGACGGCTCTCTTGCGGAAAGCGTGGTGGAGTTGGGAGGCAGCTGGCGAGCAGAAGACACCGACTGGAGGTGCACCGATGGCTGTGCTCAGAACTGCAGCGTTTGTGACCCCGTGACAGAAGCCATGTACTTTCGCTCAGACTACTGCGGGCTTATAAACAAAACCGACGGGCCCTTTCGAGACTGCAGAGCTGTGGTGGACCCCACGGCGTTTGTATATAGCTGTGTGTATGACATGTGCAGCAACAGGGACAACATCACCACACTGTGCTATGCCATCCAGGCCTACGCTTTAGCATGTCAGGCCCTTGGAGTCACAATACGACCCTGGAGAACCCGCACATTCTGTGGTGAGATGCATTTGGTTAGGGCTGCAGTTAACAATTACTTTATAAATTAGTTATTCTATTAAATTCATAGATTATTCTGACAATTAATCAGATTTTAAAAATTGGCAATTGGCCACTTACAATAACTTAAACAAAAACAAAAACACATAGAAATGCAAATATGTAATACAGTTCTTTTTTTTTTAGATAAGCAAATTAACATTTTATTGCCCAAAATGCAATAACTGCACTCCATAAGCGAGCGCTGAGCTGCAAAGGATGCAGCTAAAAAATACTTGAGTGAAAAGCTCAGCTCCTTCTGCTTGACTTAAAAAAAATCAGCACCGCATTGATGTTGATTAACAAATTAATAATCGGATAGAAAAGGGTGTTCAACAGGAGATTTTATTACAGAATTACAGATGAACCTAAAATTGCCACTGAAAAAAGAGAATGGGCCTCCAAATAAAAAAAATGATTTAATTCTTACATATAAAATTAAGTTTGTCAAACTTACTTTGTTTCCTTTTGTCTAACTTAATAGATTTGGTTGGATAAACTTAATTTGATTCCATGTAACAAATTAACTACTTTTTTTTAAGTTGGATTCCCTGTTTATTCATTGAACATTTTTTAACCTTAAAAATGTGAAATTAATCTACTTTTTGTACAGTTAACAATTAATCGATTACTAAATGAGTTGACAACTATTTTAACAATAAATGAATCACAATTAGCCGTTTCGGTCCCACATCTGTTTTTCCTCCATTCTGCCTCATCTTACATGTTTTCTCTCATCCAGCTATGTCCTGTCCGGAGTTCAGCCATTATGAAGTGTGCACCACTGCGTGTCCGGCGTCCTGCTCGGACCTCACCGCGCCCCTGTACTGCGCTCACCCCTGCACCGAGGGCTGCCAGTGCGAACCCGGCTACGTCCTCAGCAGCAACCGCTGCGTGCAGCAGGACGACTGCGGCTGCGAACACAACGACCTTTATTACCCCCTCAACCACACGTTCTGGGCCGGCCCCGGCGGGCAGGAAGGCGACTGCTCCCTCCGCTGCACATGCGGGTTTGCCGGGGAAGTCTCCTGTTTCAATGAGTCCTGCAAGGAGGGCGAGGTGTGTGTGGCCGAGCTGGGCTTGCTGGGCTGTTACCCTCGGAGGGAGGGAGTTTGCTCGGTCAGCCAGAACTCGGTGACGTCCACCTTTGATGGCACCTTCCTGCTGTTTCCGGATGACAGCTCCTACTACTTGCTGAAGCTGTGTGGTCCGGTTCCGGCTAACGGGTCAGTGGTGGAGGTGAAGATTGGCAGGCGGCTCATGAACAAAGGTCCCACTTGGACGAGACCTGTGATAGTGACCGTAGCTAACCTGGAGGCACAGATGGGTGGAACAGATTTTGACACAGTGAAGGTCGGTCTTTTCACTTTTTATTAGTATCTTTCTGTTCAGTTTTTCTAACCTTTGTGAAACAAAACTGAAGTTGTGGTCTTTGGACCTAAAGAGGAACAACCTCGAGTCAGCACACAGCCTCAGTTATTACAGCTGGAAACTAGAGATTAGGCCCAAATCTGGGTTTGAACCTTCAGAACCACAAAACAGTTCGAAAGTGGGCCATGTATCAGCTGAAGAACATTTCCAGGATCAGAGGACAGATGTCATGTGAAGTGTCTTCAGGAGTCTGTCTAACAAATCGATGGTCCAGCTGCAGCTGATCCAGAACTCTGCTGCTGGAGTTCTGACTACAACCAGGAAGACAGAGCACCTGGTTCTGAAGTCCTTCACTCAAAATACTGTTAGTTTATTTATCACTGAACGGCTTAAAGATCTGCTGCTGTTGGATCAACCTTCAGGCCTCTCAGGTCCTCTGGTTCTGGTTCTGCTCTACGTCCCCAGAACCAGTTTTTATGAAAGTAAAGCATTGTGTTGTCAGCCTTGTTGCAGAACTGGTCTATACAAATAAACTTGATTCATTCATTCATTCATTCTGTCTTTGTGTCACAGGTGAATGGCGAACCGGTTGTTCTGCCGTTCGTCCATCCGATGGAGACCATGATGATCTACAGGGCACCGGGAAATGCAACTGTGGTGGAGTCCAGAGGTCTGCTCCGTGTCCACTACACCCGCCTGGGATTCCTGAACATCTCCCTCTCCACCATCTTCTACAACGTCACCTGTGGCTTATGCGGCGTCTTCAACAGCAACGCCACGGACGACCTGCGCCTGCCCAACGGGCGCCTGGCTGAAAATACCGAACAGTTCACAGAGGGCTGGAAATCCATTGCGGACGACCTTACATGCAACGGGGACTGCGACGACCTGTATCGCATGTGCACAGACCTGCGCCTTTACCAGAGTCCCTGGATGTGTGGAAACATCAACGACCCGGGGAACAGCTCCTTCCTGGCCTGCCACTCGGTGGTCAACCCTTCGCCGTTCTTCAGGAACTGCCTGTACAACATGTGCATTAGGGAAGGGAACCGGTCGGCCCTTTGCTCCTCTCTGCAGGCGTACGCCACGGCCTGTCAGGATGCCCAAGTGGGCCTCGCCTCCTGGAGGAGTTCGACCAACTGCCGTGAGTCGATATTGCTTTACTTGAAGGAGATCGTTCTTCATGGGGATTTCCCTCTGCTTTGTATGCTAAATGTCAGTGTTTCCATTTCTTCTTACCCACAATGTTTAGTAGGTGAGGTAAAAAAAAAAAAAAAAAAAAAATATCAAGCTTACTGTTCAAGAAAAATGGTCACCAAGATCATCCAAACTGTAAAAGTAGAAGAGTTATTTTCATCCAGATTTCCAAAATATTGTTTATTTCACTGCCCATAATTATAAGATATGAAATGTTGCTTTTTGTAGACCATGATGGAAGCTACTATCTACAACTGTTACCAGATAGTTTAGCCTGACAGTAGCTTTGCATTTTAAAGGGTCTAAATGGGGCTCACCAATAAATCGGCCCAGATTTCCATCATTTTGTGATATTAATAATCGGCTGATACTTGCATCTGAAACCGATCTTATCCACAGATCTTATCTGCTTTCGTAAAGGTCTGAAAATCAGCCACTGTCCTCTTCCACGCTGCCAGGTCTTAACATGGATTTTAAAAAAGTACCAGTGCTGGTGAAGCCCGTACTCTTAGTCAGTGTAAACAAGCCCCTATATCTTGCTGACATGTTACTTGTGAGTTAGTTTTGTCTTATTTCAAGATTACCAAGATATTTGGACTGGAAACTAGTCAGAAATACTTGGTAAGAGTTTGTGTTTTTGCAGTGTCTTCTAAATTTTCAAATTTTCCAGGAAAAACAAGGAAATTTCTTAATTATTTTGTTCTACAACAAAAGATTTCTTAGAGTGAAAAGTCAAAAATGAGCAAAAAATTAAATAAATTTTCGATTTTTGAAACTAAACATTTGTAAAACTTTTGTTTTTTTTTTCCATAATTTTTTAGTAGAGTTTTTGGCGGTTTTGGAAGTATTTAAGTATTTTTTTCTTTCTGCAATGGCTCATTCTAAATTTTTCTGCTCCAGCTGATTAAAAAGACAGGCTTTGCTTTTAAAACCCAGTTCTCTCTCTTTTTCTGCCTCTATCCTGCCTCAGCTCTTCCTTGTCCAGAGAACAGCCATTTTGAAGAATGCACCACCGCTTGCCCTTTGACCTGCACCAACCTGGACGAGCCAGAGGAGCCGTGCCCTCTGCCGTGCCAGGAAGGCTGCCAATGTGAAGAAGGCTTTGCGATGCGGGACGGCCTGTGCGTGGCCCGGAGCGACTGCGGCTGTATGTACCACGGCCACCAGGTGGCCACCAACCAGACCTTCTGGACTGACTGGGAATGCCAGGAGCGCTGCTACTGCAACGGCTCCGACAACAGCGCGTACTGTCAGCTCGCCCCCTGCCAGCCCGAGGAGTACTGCCAGGAGAACGACGGCCTGTACTTCTGCCAGCCACGCACCGAGGCCCTCTGTGTGGCCGCGGGTTACGGCCATTTTCAGGCGTTCACCGGCGTGCCGTTTGAGCTTCAGAGCTCCTGTACTCTCAAGATGGCCACCACCATTTGTAGGCGCAGAGAGCCGGCGGGGACAAGTGGAGTTTTCCCTCTGTTTAAACTGGCGGTTCGCAATGAGGAGCGAGACACCGGGCAGGCCATCTGGGTGAGGGGCTTCGTGCTGGAGGTCTACGAATACGAGGTGGAGGTCTCCCGAAGCTACAAAAACACTGTAACTGTAAGTATATAGACAGTACAGTGTAACCTTTGACCTTTTTCATGTTGTTGCAAGAGGAACGGTGGTGTAATTGGGGGCTGGAAATAAAACAACAATATAAATCTTGATAGATACTTGATAAATATCAATACATTATATATATATATACAATAATTTCACTAAATTCAAATTTAGAATCGCACAGCATTCTGGGAGATTTAAAGCCTCAAGCCCAGGGGAGCCCAAACTTTTAGAGACCGAGATCTACCTCATGACACGAAGACATAACAAATGTAAATTAAACTCTGTTGATTTATTTTGTATGAAAATATACATCAGTTATATCAAAAACGATAAAGTGATAGAAAACCTGATGATGTTTCTTCCTCAGTGAGATTCTGACACTGGGAGCAGGTTACTGGTTTCTCAGTCAGAAGCTGGTTGCAAACCTGAGGCCAGTCAGTTCTGGTAGGTCTGAACTTTGGTTTGATGACGTCAATATGAGAAGCCATTTGTTTGTTAAAATTTAATCAAATACATTTGCCCTATTTGATGTTTATGACACGTTTACTGCAAACGAACGAGGTAATTAGTCCAAGTTTGTCGTTTATTGAACGTTCAGAAACTGCAGCGGCTGTGATGAACCACAGCAAAGGTAAACAAAGATAAAATAACCTGAACAGGTGATCAACTCAGAACCGCTCGCACCTTTTTACTCTCCCTCTCTCTTTATCGTTAAGCACACGATTGCCGTGGCAACCGCATGCATCCCGCAAGCCGAGGAAAGTTTGAAAACATTCAGTCCGTTACGATATCAGGTTTCCAGACTTATTTACTTCTTCATTATTCATGGACCTCTCATGGACACAGCGGTGGTCTTTGAGTCGCCACACCCTGTTGAAACAATAATTACTGATTATGCATTTTAACACGTTTTGGTGATTAAAAAAAAAAAAAAAACTCTTCTTCTTTAATGAAGCTAAACATTTTTGGATCTTGGTGAATGTTTTTGATAAGCCTATCAGAAGAGGAAGTGAAATTATATATACAATACAGCAGCATCCTGAAGGCCTTCAGTTTGTCACCTGCTGCCAACATCGACTGGAAACCTTCCCACAGTCGACCGCTGGACATATTGAGCACCACTGCTCCAGCCATGCAACCTCCTAAAGCTAGCGAAGAAAAGCAGGTAGCATAATTCACTCACTCTTCGGTTACCGAGCAACAACTGATTGAGCAACAGTCTCAAAGAGCTCCTTCCCTCCACCCCGGTTACCTAGCAACATCCTGCAGAGTAACCGGCGCACCATCCGTTTCTGACTGTATGAAAATAAACAGCGGCATGAAGTGAAAAGTGAATAAAACAGGAAAGGTCAGACCACCAGTTTGGAAGTATTTCAGCTATTTCAAACAAAAAACTGTAAATATCTTGATTTGTCTTTCAGCCGTATCGTCCAGCCTTGCAGGTAATCCTCCATAGTGGGCTAATCAATAGTTTTTTCTTTCTTGCTGAAGGGTTTTCTTTAGGTATTTTGCATATTTTTCATTCTTTTACCGAGAACAATGACCAGAGAAAACTGATGTGTTTGGACCAAGCTGCACAGTCTCACTAATAGGTCAAATAAGGTCACTAATGGGGCTCTAATGGGGCAGTTAGATGCTCAGAACTGAAGTAGCTTTTTGGATCAGAGGTGAAACGTTGCAAGAAACAGGAGAAGTACAATTCTCTTCTATACTTAAGCACTTTGGCATGATTCCAAACACCGACCCAAACTGGTTTTAAATGGACAAAGGTTCTGAAATGGCCTTGCCAGAGTCCTGAACTCAACTCTGAGAGGGATTTTTGGATTACGCTCAAACACCTGGGCTTATATTCATAAGGAATACTGAGACTAAGAGTAGATACTAGCAATGGGATTTTAGGAAAGATATTCTTTTCATAAGCTTTTAAGACGAAAATAATTCATAAACATCTCAGGCCTTAAGAAGACCTTTTAATGTGACAAACTGATAGAGGAGCAGTGAGGAGGACTTTCAGTTTATCTAAATGTGTCTTAAGGAGAAAAGACAGACAGAAAGGAAAAGGATTCTCCATAAAACAGATAGAGCTCTGCCATCAGCAGGCATGGCTGTGTGTCAGTGAATCCAATTTGGTATAAATTCATTATCACGACTCACTTTCTTAATCCAGCCGAGATTTTATGATCAGTTCATTTCTATCAGCTGATTACTGGGGTCTTTATGTTTTTAAATCTCGTTCTGTTTTGTGTATCGACCAATTAAGGTCAAAACTACACCAATGGATTTATTTCAGTAAAAGATACGAGGCCATATTTTATTTAAGACTGTCATTTGAATGAAGGTTACCAGTTGGTGGCAGCAATGCTCCACTAAATTGTTTGCCAACCACAAGAAAACAAGAAGTAGAAAAGGAAACTAGAAGACAATGTCACACCGAGCAACGGGGTTAATGACACCAATTCTGTGTGGAACAATGCCTGAAGCTTGAAGTGATTTGAACTTGTTTGATTTAGGACAAAGTCAACAATGATTTCAATGAACTTGTGCACCTATTCAGAAAATGCATCAATACACAGCTCTTATCTGACGTCACACTTCTGGGAACTTCGTAGCTGACGGCCATCTTGGTAGGTTTCTGTAACTAACTGTAATGACAGTTGCTTTGGAGTTGCAAGCTTGGAACTAACTCTCATCTCATTCATTACTAATTTATAAATAATAAAAGTACATTTCAACCACTATTCAGTTACAATTTTCGAGTACTTTGGTTTTGTTGGACTTGAAGCAGTGGTTCATCATCACTTTGAGCTGTGCGTGCCCACCAAGATGGCGGTTCGGTGGCATGGATTCCTTCTGATTCAGACTTGTGGGAACTATGTAAAACAGATCAGGATGAACTGATGCAGAAACTTCACCACAAATGAAGAGAATTTCAGTTACTCTAAATCTCTACTGCACTGCAAGTTTTCAGCTGACAACTTCTAGGAATGAACTTCTTTGAAATTCAGTTTTTTTCCTGTGAAACGATGTTGTCTTTAGTACTTTATGGAGATCCAATTAATAAAATCTGATAGGCCTCTGCTTCAGCAATCTTTGTAGAGATCTCATTTGAAATGTTTTCTTTGCTGAGTTCATCTGAGAACGCCTGTCAAACACCAGATCATTAACGTTGACATGTTTTAACAGATTTTTCTGCTCTCTGAAGGTCGCAGTTGTTGCGTTTGAGAGGACGTGTTATTTCTAATCAAGCCGATAGAATAACCAGGCAGTGAGGGTGAATTCCTCTTTGATTGGCTTAAGGAGGATCTAATTTCAATAGGCATCTTTTATCAGGCTGGATTGGGCTCAGACGAAACCCTGTCCCTGAGCGACACTTGGACCGGGTTCACAAACCAACCAAAAGATCTGAGGACGCACCTCCACACATTGAGCCGCTGTTCACACATACACCTGTCTTCCCAGCGTCTCTGTTGCTTATTGCAGCTTCTTGTAGAAGTTGGTCCATTCATCACCTGGGGTTCCCCACATACCTGTAAAAACATGCAAGTCAGCGGGATTAGAAACTCTAACTTGATGCTGGAAATGACTCGACTCAGTTGCTCTGTCGTCTCTCAGGTCAACAAGGAGCGCCTTTACCTGCCCCTGAAGCTGGGCCCGGGGAAGGTCAACATCACTTCCTTGGGGATGCTGCTCGTTCTGGAGACGGATTTCGGCCTGAAGGTGTCGTATGACTGGAACACGCTCCTCCTTTTGACTTTACCGAGAGACCTCTACAACGCCTCCTGCGGCCTCTGTCAGGGCATGCCCTTCTCCCCGCCCACGCTGAGCTCCACGGACTGGGCCATGACCTGGGCGGAGAGGGACACCTTCTGCCAGGTGGGCTGCGGCGACTCCTGTCCACGCTGCGGGCTCGGGGAGAAGAGCATGCTCAACAGCGCCCCCCTCATGGTGGCCGACTCCAGCATGAGTAGCGATAACGAGGACGAGCCGAACGGAGTCGCCACCGGCATACGCTTTCACGTCGGGGACGGACTCTACGTGTTCGTGGAGCCGGAGGCCGTCAGGCTGTGTGGGCTGATTGTGGACCGGGGAGGCGTGTTTGCACGCTGTCACAGCAAGGTGGCGCCTGCATTCTTTTATCAGAGCTGCCTGCAGGACACCTGTTTGGATCAAGGAGCTCAGGATACGATCTGTAACTGGCTGCAGATCTACGCCAGCACCTGCCAGACCCAGGGTGTGCCTCTAACCGGCTGGAGGAGTGACACGCCGTGTGGTGAGTGATGTCATCTACGTTTTAACCCAAACACCGATGTAGAAAAAAAAGTAATCACCCCCTAAACACAATGAGGGGGTTTCTCAGAACTGGTGAAGAGCCTTTAAAGGTGACCTATTATGCTTCCTTGAACAGGTTCGGATTGGTCGATGGGCTACAAAACTTGTTAATTGCATGTTTTTACACAAAATCATTCTTAGAAAATGAGATTTCAGTGCTCAGTTCTGCCCAGTGAGCAACAGAGCTCTGAGGGCCTCTGTTGCTTCAAATCCAAATTATCTGCTGCTAGTCCCCAAGTCAATAAAAATGAGTCAATGACTTGCACATGAAAATGGCTACAAACAGATGCGCAGCAATACAATCTTACATCTTTGAAAAGCAGAAGTGGAGCCTTCTGCATAACCAACAAGAATGCAGCAAGTGGTTTCAGGATGGTGAATCAACAACAAAACATTTTACTTTTTCAGCAGTCATTGCACAGGTTGCTAGGTAATGGTGCAGTGCCTGTTAATTTGTTACTTTACATTCTGGATGTCTCATTTTCCAGGCACCAAGAAACAACCGACTGGATTTTTTTTTAAACACTTGGACTGTTTTTATAAGCAGTTGAGGCCCAGAAGGAAGAACAAAAATGTGCAAAATGTGAATTTTGCGTAATACGTCCCCTTTAATGACCTATGAATAAATAATTACGCCCTGATCAGCTGACATAAAGATCTGGTTATGAGTCTTTAACATCACCTTTGGGGAATTTGTCCCACTCTTCTTTGCTGAGTTGTTGCAATTATGTGACTTTGGAAAGTTTCAAAGCATGAACAGCCTGTCTGGATTTCAATGCCGACTTTAACTAGACCACCCTAGAACCTCAATGTATGAGTTTTGGAACCATTGAGTAGTGGACCTGCTGGTTTGTTTTGGATTATTGTTGAACCCTGTCATGTAAGGTGAAGTAGCAAAGGATTCCCAGATCATCACGCTACCACCACCATGTTTGACTACAGGTATGAAGTTCTGGTTCTGAACGATGTGTTTGGTTTAAGCCCGAAACGTGACATTTTCCCAGGAGTTTCTGGGGCCATCAAGGTGCTTTTTTGGTAAATGTGATGGATCTTTGTCTTCTTCTGGGTCAGACATGGTTCTGGTCTTGAAACTCTCCTATGGAGGCCATTTTCTCCCTTTCTCATTGTTGGATCATGACTTTAACTGAGTCAAAAAGTTAAATCATTGTTTTCTGATGATATTTTCTTCTGTAACATTGGGATCTACTTTATGAACCACAGTGATGATCTAAAAAACAGTCACAAAGATAATCATATTTACGAGCTTCTGTTCCCAGTTCGTAGCGTAACCTGCTGGTTTCTGCTCCCAGTCCAGAGTTGTCCTCCGAACAGCCATTACTCCAGCTGCGTGTCGGTGTGCCCGCCCCAGTGCGCCCCCGCCCGCGGCCAGCGGGACTGCAGCCAGGACTGCGTGGAGGGCTGCCAGTGTGACCTGGGCTACGTGCTCAACGGCAAGAGCTGCATCCTGTCCCAAAACTGCGGCTGCTACACCGACGGAAAATACTACGAGGTCAGTGGAAACGCTTGAAACGGGCCTGGATTTCCAGGTCCGCCCAATGTCAGCAGGTGTTGGCGCTTTTTAAGCTTTTCTTTGGACTTTGGCTGCTTTTCCTCTGATTTTCACACTTTGTACTGGAACATGATGTCACGTTCTTCAGTTTTACATTTTAAATTCAACCACTTCAATTTCTTTTTTTTTGCCTTATTTTAAAGGCGTAAGAATACTCCAAAAATTTGAGATTTGAAAAAAAAAAAAAACTGTAGGCCTATATATTTTTGAGTTAATGATTAATCGATTGTTGAATTAGTTGACAGTTAATTCAATGATTAGCTCTTGTCCACGGAATAAAGAAACATTTTTTTTTTCCCATGATGGGTTTTCGTCTGAAATGTTTCGCCTTCAGCCCAAACAGCTGTTCTGGAACAACGACTGCACCAAGCGCTGCCAGTGCATCGGCCGGAACCTGATCCAGTGCGACCCGCGGCGCTGCAAGGCGGAGGAGGAGTGCACCCTGCGGTTCGGGGTCCGGGGCTGCTTCGCGCGGCGCTCCCAGCACTGCGTGGCGTCGGGCGGCGGCGTCTTCAGGACCTTCGACGGGGCGTCGCTGCGTCTCCCGGCCTCCTGCTCCTTCGTCCTGTCCACAAACTGCCGCAAGCTGCCCGACCTCTCCTTCCAGCTCATCGCTAACTTCGACAAGTGGAGCACGCCCAACCTCACCACCATCTCTCACGTCTACCTCTACATTAACGAGGAGAACATACTGATCTCTGGCAGCACCGTCAAGGTAAAACGCAAACCGGTCTCCTGTCTGCAAACTCAACGTCCAAGAGAAAGACAGGCTTTTACATCCCTAAATAACTGTGAGCTTGTTTCAGTTTTGATTGGATTTAAAGTTCATCCCTGTAAGAACCTCCTGCTATAACACATTTATGCTTCATTTTTTTTCTGCTAATGAATTTGTTTTCTGCTCAAATTGTGCAGGATGAATGTGAACAACAGTGAACATAGGAATTTCTTCTCAAAGTTTTATTTTTTACATCATAAAAACATGAAGTTTCTAAAGTAAAGTAGGTAAACTTTAGTTTAAAGTTTTACGCTTTAAACTTTAGTGATGCCTGGACTTCACTGTCATTCCATTTTGAGGTTCTTTGAAACTTTAAAAGCCAATATTGGAGGATGTTTCCAATGGATAACTGAATACGACCCGTTCAGAAAGGTCCAAAAGTCTGTAGTCGGCTCTCATTTTATGACATTTACAACAGATTTAAATTTAGTCTTTTAAAGTGGAATGAAAGAGTAAATTTGTAACAGAATAGAGCTGTTAGTTTTCAGAAAGACGCCAAAGCAGTTTTGCGTCACTTTTAGGCTTTTTCTGTTGATTTCTGTTGGTTCTGTTCTGTGAAGCCTTTAACAGCCGACCAAACAAGCTGATCCAGAGCTAATCTCCATTTCCATCTGTCCAACCGACCAGCTCCCTCTTTGTAAACGGCCTGCTGGGGTTCTGGCTTCCTCCATTCGTCTCTCACAGAGGTGATGCTGAGCTTCTTCTAGCCTCTAATCCTGGCGTTTGTTAATCCTACTGAGCCTTTAGTTAGTGATTTGGTTTATATTTATGCGGCATGTAACTCAGATTGACAAAAAAACAGTTGATTTGATGTGATGGAGGTTAGAAATCCAGCCGCAAGCAGAGCTGGATTCTGCTGTTTGGACTGAACCGCACCGGTCCGGCTGTACCTGGAATCTCTGAGTCTGAATGACACGCCCTTTCGTTAGCATCTTTAGCCAGAGTTATTAAGGGTCATTGTGAAAGGTCTAAAGAGCTGCACACCCCTGGTCCAGAGGGCCTCATAAAAAGCTATGGCGGACCATATTTGGCCCCCTGACCTTCAGTTTGACACTGTTGAACTCTGGCGACGTTCTTGTGCCTCTGACTGAAAACTGAAACGTCCCTCCAGGTGAACGGGACGCCCGTGTCCGTCCCGTTCCTGACCGGCCTGATGACGCGCCTGTCCACGTCTGAGGGCTTCATCGTCATCGACACGCCGCAGGACATTCAGGTTCGCTACAATCGCTTCAACACCCTCAGCATCACCATGGGCCAGCGGCTCCAGAACAAGGTGTGCGGCCTGTGTGGAAACTTCAACGGAGACCCCAACGACGACTACATCACCTCCAGGGGCAAACCGGCCGTCAGCGCGCTGGAGCTGGCCCAGAGCTGGAAGACCAACGGCATGCAGAACAGGTAGAGATGGACACCTTTCATAGATTGTCCCAACAGTCTGTGAAGCTTTGTGAAAACTGCAATAACCCGGCCGACTGTTTTTGTGCCCCAGCTGTGACGAGACCCAGTACGTGGCTTTAGCCCAGTCCTGTGACAACACGGCCGTCCTGGCGCTGCAGGGCGAAGACGCCTGTCAGAAGCTGACCCAGCTGAAGGGCTTCTTCCAGCCGTGCCACGGCCTGCTGGACCCGCAGCCCTTTTACCAGTCCTGCTACCTGGACGGCTGCTACAACCACCGCAAGGCGCAGGTCTGCGGCTCCCTGGCCGCCTACGCCGAGGCCTGCCGCTCCCTAGGAACCCTGACAACCAAGTGGATCACCCAGGAGAACTGCTGTAAGAGCGCCGTCAGACAGCTGGTCCTGTCCGCTAGGGGGCGCCATTAGTAAAAGTTATACAGTCAAGAATTATTAATGGGAATAATTTGGGTTACTTAGCCTGTCATAAGAAATAAAATGCAGGTCAATTTTTTCAAAGTTTTATTTTCACCATGTCATTCATCCATTTGAAAAAGTTCATTTCAAACTATATCATTAGCTCCAAGATTAATACTTGGTTAGCGAGCCCAATATTTATCTCCAGGGTAGCAATTTAGTTTAATATATGTAGTTTGATGTTAAATATTTAGCTCTAAACTAAATATTTAGTTTGACGCTAGCTCTTTAGCTCTATAGTAACTGAAGGTTTAGCTCAATCACTTTGGTTAAGAAGTTAAACATTTAGATGCAATCCAAATGTTTTCTTAGCCAGCTAAATATTTAGCTCCAATTAGTATTAAACTAAATATTTATTTATTAATTTCATTTTATATTTAGTTAAACTAAATATCTCAATATTTAGTTTGGAGCTAAATATTTAAGTCGAATTTTTAGTTCATGCACTAAGCATTTAGCTTGTTTATTACATATTTAGTTTGAAACTGATGTTTAACTTGGTAAAAATGAAGCCAAAGATCCCAATTTATTGCTGTTAATTCTTGGCTCTGTTGTAGTTTTTCTGTTTTTGTATTAAAAAAATGTTTTAAAAAGCGATAAATCTGAGCAGTGTGAATACATTAAGGTTGATTTCTGACCTGTCTGTGTGAGTGCGACAGCTAACATTGTGTGCTCACCTGTCTTTAGCAGAATGGATCTACGACCCGTGTGCCGGAGAAATCTGCACAAACTTCACCTGCGAGTTGGAGAATGGAGGCGACCTGTGCGGCTGCCCGGAGCTGCCCACCAACCCTGCAGGTGAAGCTCCCGCCGCATCACGGCGTCCCCCCCCCGTAGCGAACGCGCCTGTGCTTCATCTGAACGTGTCCGGCAGGCGGGGATGACATCATCCAAGCGGAGGTGAACTGCAAGCACGCCCTGATGGAGGTCTCCATCTCCAAGTGCAAGCTCTTCCAGCTGGGCTTCGAGCGCGAAGACGTGAGGATCAACGACGAGCGCTGCGCCGGCATCGAGGGCGAGGATTTCATCTCCTTCCACATCAACAACACCAAAGGCCACTGCGGCTCCATCGTCCAGGTGCGCTGCGGGCGTCAAACATCGTCTCGTTTTCTGGGCTGAAAGTGTTCAGTTTTTTATTTTGTCCTCTGCAGTCCAACGGCACACACATCATGTACAAGAACACCGTCTGGATCGAGAGCGTCAACAACACCGGCAACGTCATCACCAGGGACAAAACCATCAACGTGGAGTTTTCCTGCGCCTACGAGCTGGACCTGAAGATCTCCCTGGAGACGGTCCTGAAGCCCATGCTCAGGTCTCCCTCACACGCAGCCCAGAAATAAAAGCTAAACAAATCCATCAAATAGTCCAGCTTTTACTACAGCTTCATGACATCAGGCTGAGAAACCAAACATTCACTGAGTGGAGGAGAAAAGTCCCACATTTCTGCAAAACAACCATTTATGCAATAATTTAAACTGATTTTAAACGTTTAAACTGTTTTACGGATGGAGAAAGAGTAAAAAAATTAAGAAATATATTAAAGTGCTAAAAGCTAAATTTAACCTCCGCGTTAAAAAATGGAAATTTGAAGCAAATAAAACCTGAGGGGTTATAGAAATGATCCAATAAATTAATATTTGACTATTTTCAGTTATTAGAAGGAACCAGCAGTTTTTGCATGACGCAGCAAAATTAGCAGGAGTTGCTTCTGAAATGATTATCACTATTATTAGCATTATTTGGGGACAGAAATGTCTGACGCTTTCTGCTCTCCCTGCAGCGTGATCAACCTCACCCTGCCGACCCAGGAGGGAAACTTCATCACCAAGATGGCGCTGTACAAGAACTCGTCGTACCGCCACCCGTACCGGGAGGGCGAGGTGGTGCTGAGCACGCGGGACATCCTGTTCGTGGGCGTGTTCGTGGAGGGGGCGGACGTCAACCAGCTCATCCTCATCGTGAACATGTGCTGGGCCACGCCGTCGCGCTACAGCAGTGACAGACTGCGTTACATCATCATAGAGAGAGGGTAGGCCTCGCCGGGCTCAACAGGCTCACTTAGTCAGCAGAAAGCAAAACCCAGCCTGACAGGTTTGATTTCTCTTATTTCATCGTTTCTTGGGACAAGAAAATAATTCCGCCCACTTCTGATGACGCCCTGGGCAGCTGCCTGTTTTTAAAGTGACATTGTTCAGTTCTGTTACATAAAATCAAGATGAAAACCCATTTAAATATGTATTTATATTGCAGTTATTGCTGCCATATTTTGTTGTTTTAACAGCTGGAACCAGAAGTTTCATATATTATGTAAAAAGACACACATGTATGATTTTTTTCCACACTGTTTGACCTGAAATCAGAATAAACTTTTCTGTTTTAGGTTATTTACGATTTACGATTGTCTCCCTATTTGCTACATAACAAACAAGTAATTTTTTAAGCTGATTTTTATGACTTTGTGTTAAAATTAGACAAAGATAAACAAAGTAAATACCTAAAAATTTTATTTTTTAAAGGAGAAAAGTAATCACACCCCAAACCTCAGAAACTTTGGTAACGAAAACCATGAAATGTTTCTGGTTGGGAGCATTTAGCATCACCATGGATGACCTTTGATCCTTTCTGCTTTTGGATGAATTGGTTTACTTTATTTTTCCAACAGGAACTGTCTGGTTAAGGTCATTACACAGCATGGTTATACCATTTCAGACTTTAACTAGGCCACCCAAAGTTGTCATTTGCTGTTTCGGAGCCATTCGGAAGCATAAAAGACGTCAAACTATGAACTAATATAGAAAGACAAACTATTTCCAAAAGCTTAGACTAAATCATTTCACTGCTTATTTTGCCTATAAAAGTGTTGGTCGATAGAGGCTGAAGCGTTTTTCCTCCTCCAGGTGTCCAAACACGAAGGACAACACCATCGGGATGGCGGAGAACGGCGTGTCCTTGACCTGTCGCTTCCACGTCACCGTCTTCAAGTTCATCGGCGACTACGACGAGGTGCACCTGCACTGCGACGTGTCGCTGTGCGACTCGGACACCAACGCCTGCAAAGTGGTGAGAAACTCGAGGAGAGATGCTCGGCGCCAGTCGGAGCGTTCTCCCAACCACTTTCCGTTTCAGTAAAGCTGTGTGTCGTCTTGGTCCAGAACTGTCCACACAAGAGGAGGATGTACTCAGAGGACAGCGAGCACAAGGAGCACATTCTGTCAGTGGGACCCATCAGGAGGAGAGGTCAGGAAACCGTATTTCACCGAAATGAACTCTGACATGAATCCCAACGTCCTCTGGGTCTGGAGGACGATGGGTCCAAATTCAGCTGCTGGCAGCAGCGACCAGACTGAATGATCCCCTCTGTGAGAGCAGCCCGAACTTTTATATTACAAAATTCAAATTAATACAACAAAATGAAACTTTTTAATGAAAAAGTTTAAAAGGAAAAAAAATCAGTCTAACCTTTCATTTTAAAAAACAGCTAAGCTTTTACTGTTTCTTTAATGGTTTAAACTAAGACCTGCTAGACTTTTTTTTCTTTTATTAAAAAAATGTTTTGTTTTTTTTTTTATTTAAAACACAATTTCAAAAAAAGATTTATTTTCCTTTTTCATGAACGTTTATTTTTAAGATAAAAATAAAAAAATTTCAACAACTGAACTTTTACATAAAATTGCATTAGAAAATTTTAAAGAAATTTTGAAAACACTGAATTTTTAAGGTGCATTCAGGTACAACTTGTGCACTGGAGCATCTACAGATCAAAACAACTCTGAAGTGATGTAAACCTCTTTTATTCTGATGCATCAGAGCAACTAAATAACAACCTGCACCAGTTTCAGCTGGTTTTATTATTGAATTAATCCAGGCATTAACTGAAACCTGATCATCCTTAATTATTGACAATAGTCAAACCAAATCAGTCAGCTCTCTTTTTCAAGTTATAAAACAAAATAAAATTAATTTAAGAAATGTTGAACAAAAAAAGAATAATCAATAAACTGGAAGAAAAACTTCACAAAATAAACCAATAAATGTTGAATAAAAGTAAAACTTGACAGTTTTTGTTTAAAAGTAGCTTTTGTTTTTGCTTGGGTTTTATTTGAATGACATCACTTCCTGTTTCCTCCAGAGTCCGACTGGTGTGAGGAAGACAACGGTGGCTGTGAGCAGATCTGCACCAGTAAGGGAACTGGGCCCATATGCAGCTGTGTGACTGGGATGCTGCAGCCAGATGGGAAAAGCTGCCGCAGTAAGAAAGACACAAAATGTCAGAAATCACCTTCAATCTGCAAACATCTCGTCACCGAGTCTGATCTGAAATGTCCTAGTTAAAGATTGGAAATGAATTCTTTTAATTCTCCAACAAGCTTCCACATTTATTAGAATATTAATCTGGTTAAACTGCCGCTGCAGCCTCAGTGTTCTGTGTTTTTGCCTCCTTCATTGCACCTTAAACTGTTTTGCAGTGGGGTTCTATGAAGTAGTTGTCAGTAGTCAGTAACTTACCTGTAAATTCCCACTCTTAAAATATTGAGCTGCTTGTCCAACGAAAACAAAAATATTTTTAAAAAGCTTCTGCTTTCAATGAATCGCTCACAGATATTTTTGGACAGGCTGTTGTAATCGACACCTGCAGGTTGTAGCATTCCCACGGTAACAGGTTGGAAAAATAAGGCCTTCCTGTGGGAAAACATTTCAACAATGCAAATAATCTGCCCTGCAAACATTAATGCATACAGTTATTACACAATATAACATGAAAAAAAGCAAACAAACATTTAAACCTTTTTAAGTGTTTTTTGTATATCTGTTGCCTCAAAATAACAGATTTGCATGTCTTACGGTTTTGTTCTGGTTTTGGTTCTGCAGCTCGGAGCTCGTCCTGTAAGGTCACCCCTACTCTGTCTCTGCTGAGCACCGGCACTGTAATCTCCATCATCCTCTCCCACTTTAACTCCTTCATCGTCTCCTAACAGCCACAGCAAGTAAACGCCAAACAGAAAAGACTTGAAGATGAGACAGGAATTTGACTTTCTGAGTGCAGATGTGAAAATAGCCCTTTGTAGAACCCTGTAAAGCTTCTGTTCTTTAGACTCATCAGGATTTCTAATTTAAAGTGTGTAGAGGTTGTTGTGTTTTTATGTTTTTTTTTAAGTTTCTGATTGTTTTCCTTTTCTATGGAAGTATTGTGTTAATAATAATCACCACCAGATGGCGCCAAAGAAGCAAACATCTTCAAATCCAAACTGGAAAGTTTGAGGTGGATTAAATGTGAAAGTCAGAGAGATCGTGATTAAATTATTAAAAACTAAATTTCTCGGTGAAATAAAACATGATTGGATGGTTTGACAGCCAGAACTGTAAGAATAAAATCTGAAACTGGACTTTTTAAGCGTTACCTCTGGCATAACAGCCGCATCTAAAATAAACATCCATTGAATTGAGTCACAGAATGACATTTTTGTTGCAATCTGTTTGTCATCTACTCATAGTCTTTGAGGATTTTCTTTCAGCATCTCCAAGCTGACGTTCTGTTGAACTGGGAAATGTTGACTTGCCTGTCAGAAAAATCAACTGGAGCACGCTCCCAGATTTCTTACTGGGAAACTCGGAGCTACTCCGACTACCCCCAGCTACAACTTGTAAGGCTAATGCTTCAGTATGGCCGCTCCTCGCATCAACAGGAGTAAAATGAGGTGGAAACCTTTTCATTTTCACACGTGTTTTGTGTGTCTTTAGTTTAGAGTAGCTGGCAGCAGTTAGTTAAACTAGCTCAACTAAACAACCTGAACTGATTTAGTTTAGCTATTTAAGGTAGCTACAGTTAGCCAAATTAGCATAGTTTAGCTAAACTTCTTAAGCTAACTATGACTAGATTATCTAAGCTAAACTAGCTTAGCTAGTTCCATCATCGTTATAAACTAAAATTGCTTAGTTTAGCTAAGCTAGAAACTACAATGGCTCTAATACACCAACGTACATTTCTGCTCTCAGTCCAGAAAAATTTGGAGCCGCTAACACCTGACCTTTACAAAAACAAACTTGTGTTGTGAAACAAGTTCAACTAAAATAGATTATCGAAGCTAATTTAGCTTAGCTATATGTAAACTACTTCAGTTTAGTTCACTCTAAACTGAACTAAACAAAAAATTTTGTTTGTAATGGAAAGTAAAGGTTAAAATTCTGCACGTAGAGGAATTGCAAACAATGTGTATGGGGGCCGCCATGTTGAAATTCCGACTTTTTAACTGGAAAGCTGTTAACTCTGGTTTGATGTCAAACCCAGCTCCAAGACTTCAGGGTTACAGGAACACAGCATAATTCCTAACAGGAAGTTGTGGTTATTTTGAAGCATTCTGATTAGCTGACAGGTTTATCTTTTGCTACACTGCCCCCTATGGGTTTGGCATATTTACAACAAAACTCAGTGGTGGATTAAAAAAGATGTTTAGTACAACAACCTCTGTAATCTCTGCTGATCTTTTTCTGAACCTGGCTAATTCTCCAAACAAAAGCCTTTAGATGACAGACAGGCTCTTTGTGTTAATGTTCCATTTCTTTGTGGAATATTTTAACCACAAACCAGCTGTAGCTTAAAAGCAAAAAGGCCAGAACGTCAAATCCAGACAATCAGATTCATCCCAAACAGCAACACGTCTCAGAAAAGCTTTATGAATTATGAGGTCCTCAAGTTTGACCTAAATTTTTAATTAGGTCAAAATTAAACCCATCTGTCTGGTCAATTTTTTCTTTTATAACAAAGTCGTCGATTGAATGAATCACAGCTTTCTGCCATTTTCCAACAAGGACGTTTATGAGAAAAGAGTTAAAGACGTTTCTGAGCTTGAGAAGAAAAGTACTAGAAAAGTACCAAAAACTGTAGACTAACCTCAGAAATTTTCTAGAAAGAAAAAAGTACATTTCTGAGTTTCTAAAGTGAAACAATTCAGAAGTTTTGACATTCATTTCAGAATTTAAAAAAAATAAATTTGCAAAAAAACAAGAACATTTTAAGATTGATCTCATACATTTTCTTTAAAAAAGAGATTTTTGAGTTTCAAAAGTCAAAACTGTTTTGTTTCAAAAGATTTTGTAAAAATACCCTGACATAGTTACCCAGTTTTTTAAAAAAGTCAATAATTCTTACGAAATAGCTACTCCACAAAATAACATGAAAAACACAGTTTCTTTTTTTTATTTTAGAATTAAAAAAACAACACACAAAGCCATTTAAAAAAGAGGAAGAATTTTTCTTCTGTTTGAAAATAATAAAGCAAATCAGATAGTTTCTAACTTTTTATAGCGTAAAATAGATCTAAAACAATATTACAGATACTTTTAGTTTATGCAATCACAGGAAATGGAAGCGAAAAGGAGAAATGGCAAAAATAACAGCAAGTATAAAACTCTGCAAACTTGTTCAATAAAGTATAAGTCATCCACACCACTAGGGGGCGACAGCACTTAGGATCAGACCTTCAGAGAAGATGGGCTGTCCAGGCAAAAGCTGGAGGAATAAAGTAGACTTTATTCATATATGAGCTGCTCATAAAGCTAAGCATCCATAAAAATAAATTTGTAACATATTTAAAAAACATTTTGAAAAAATACACAAAAATATATAAATACTACAACAAAGGAAGCGATCAAGTTCCCTGATTTTTCTTACTCCCCCTATTTATGTCATTACCAGCTCTTTTCTCCCCCTAGTGGTCTGGAGTTTGCAGTCATGTATAACTGCTGGTTTTTGTTTGTTTTCATTTCTGCTTCATTTTTTCCTGCGGTCACATCGTTGCGTTTAGGAGCTTTTGGAGTTTTTGTTGAAGAAATTCTATCAAATTATTCCACGACAGGCTGAAAAATGACTAAGATCTACCACTTTTACAAAAAATCTATTCATCTTTTAAACTATCCTGTATCATTTTATGCCAAAGTTGTTGGGAGCCCAAAGAGCTGCATTGTGTCCAGGAGGAAAACGTTCTGTGAAAGTTAATGAGTGAAATATTTATGTGTGAGAAAACCACCTTGTGGAAATAATAAGACGTAAACAACCCAGGATATGCTTGAGTTTTGCTGAGTTTTTCCCCTCTCTGAAGGCTTTCTCTAGTTTCCTATGAAGGCTGGTCATCTGATAAGGAGGGAAAGTAAAGTCCTGCATTCCTAACAATCTGTCCGCTCGTCTCCTCCTCACCTTACAACCTGCAGTGATGGATGAAAGTTTAATTCAGCGGCTGAGCCTTCCTGCTGCTTCCTGTGTACAGATGTACAGTCCTCTTCGCTTTAAAACCTGTTTTCTTTTATTGTTTGAGCAGAAGCAGCTTTCCTTCAATAAATGTTCAGACAATCCATACCAGTGCTTTTGATTTTTATGTGTCTGATCATGACGCCATCACACACCCAACCCCAGCTGAGTAAGCACACAGTCACTCATCTATAATTAAAGGCTACATTTTTTATCCGCTCCCAGTTTCAAACATGTGAAACAGGCTCGACATCTGCCTCTCTGTCATGTTTTTATCAATTTGTCTCTAGGATACTGTTACCAAGCGATAAAGCAATAAAAACCAACAACTTCACACCTTCGCAACGCGTCCTCAGTTACTGTACGATATCGGAGCAGAATTGGGTCACGTTTTGCAGCAAAGCCAGCGATGGGTGGCACCTGCATGGCAACGAAATGATTACAGAAGGATAAAAAGATGAGAAATGGAACAGAAAAACTCAAATTGAGGATGTTTGGAATATTTTTGTAAAGTTATTGGTTGCTTTTTGTCAACACAAACCAATTCATCCAAAACCACAAACATCAACTCATAAATACTTTCATTATCTCTGAGAGTGACTACATGTTGTTGTAACTCACATCAAATTTCTTCAAAAAGTCATGAAGGAATGGTCTCCAGCAGCAGTCAGTCTCGCCATGAGTCTAAAGAAGCTTCTAACTCAAGACTGTTTCTGTGCAATTTGCAGATTTTTAGTGTCAGAAAAATCAACAGGAGCGCCCTCTCAAGTCCTCCGGTTACCCCGGTTATGGCTTGTATGGCCGGCTTCGCGTTTCAATATGGTTGCTTCCCACGTCAACAGCCGTGGTGCAAATGTTTATTTTATAAGACATATGAGCATCTGACATGTAGCATCTTCTGCTAACTGAACTCCTTGACAGTGGTGTTTGCTTATGGAAAGTGAAGATTCTTTTTTACAACAGAATGTACATTTTGATTTCGATCTTTTCATCCCTGAAAAAAATCCAATCTGTTCTGTTTCCAGCTGTGGAGCTAAATCGTGTCCGATTGTTTGTAAAATGTCTGCAGTTTGAACAGTCATGTTGCATTTTACCCTACTTTACCATCATAATTGCAGAAGAAGGGTTGTTTCACCAGAAGAAGAAACAACAGAGCACTGCTGTAGTTGCAGTTGTAAACCGTTCACAAAGAAGTCTGATGGTGGTCGCATTTAATGACTCAAATCAATGGAAAAACCCAACTTCTTTGACTTCTTTGTCTTTTCCAACAACGTTAGCTGGAACGGTGTAACCTTGAATTTAGCATTCTTCCCTGCTCTGAGTTCCACTTTCAGAGATAAATGGAGCGCAGCAACATCGTCATGACAGCTAACATGCTAACATGCTAACAGCTCAATTTCCGTTCAGCAGGCGCTCCGGTTAAACCTCTGTCAGGTCGTTTCATAGAAAGATGTTGGAGTAGGGGATACAATGGATTGAAGAAGGTTTGAACGTCCTCCTTTTCAACTGCTCTGGGGCTTAGGGTCAAAGTTCAGGGATTATTTCACCTTTTTGAGAGACTTATTGGGTGTGTCGCCTTCCTCGTTTTGGGTCAAATAACGGCTTCATCTTCGTCACATGAACTTTCTGGCCAAAGGGCTTTGCTGTTTCCAGTAAACACAAACCTGCATTCCCGTATGACCTACCAGCATGAACCAACCTGGATCCGAGTGGAAAAGTAATCACATCCTAAACCCAGCAGCTGGTCCACCTGGCTGCCATGCTGCGGTTCTGATACCTGCTAATGAGTCACTAACGTCACCCTGGACGACCTTTGACCCACTCTGCTTTGTTGCACTGATTCAATTCAGACTCAGTGGAAGGAAAGCCCGTTTTTATGAGGTCGTATAACGCCACACCATTACAATTAAATATCCAGACTTTGACTAAACCAGATAGGAAATGTGTTTTTTTTAATCAGGTGTTCTGCAGAACCAAGTCTGGTTGAATTTCACAAACTGATGGTCTTCCTTCCTCTGGGTAAACAGGCCCAGAGCATCATACTGCCACCACCATGTGTGACTGCAGGTATGATGTTCTTTTTCTGAAATGGTCTTAATTTTTACCTCTCTGTCTCGCCATGTTTTTAACCATGACCTCTGAACTCAACTGAGACAGTGAGGCCGGATGTGGTGATGAATGAGCTTATTAAAATTATTTTTGTAATAATTTGGTTTGTTTCAACAAATCAAATTGAAACATTTGCATTTTGTACAAACTCAGCTAATATTTTTTTGATCATTTGAAATATTTATAGGGCTTAAAAAAATAAATAAAAAAGAAGGGATGAATATTTTCTCACTGCACAAAACATATTCTAATTCCTGAGTCACTGAGTTAAAAACTGACCGAATAATTGTTTAATCTTCTTATTGATTTGCGCTCTGTTTGAGGATGGTTAATATTTGTTCAGTAGTTTTAACTTTTTCTGTTCCTGATGCCAATTAAAGGTCACCACTGTGAAAGATGAGAAATGAATGCAGGGGGTCCAAACTTCCTGTCACTTGGGCCAAAAAATGTAATTAAATTAAAAGCAAACATTTTCCATTGCAAGAGTTTAACTTGTTTGTAAGAATGAAATAATTAAAAAACAAAAACCTCCATCTCCATCCACCACCTGTGCTGTGAAGCCAAAATGTGTCACTTTATTAAATGAGGCCATTAGAAAGTGGGTCAGTTTGGTTAGTAGTTTATAATAACTGGCTTTGAATCAATAGACCAACTTTGTTGCTAATCAGAGTGAGACCGGAGGCATTTAAAGCGCTGAACTCTTGCATTATGGTAAAAGTGTCTCAGGAATGTTACACTGCTCTGCAGGAGCGATAAAACCGACTGACCGACTTTCCACTCCCACCTCTCAAGGTATAGGAAGGTCCACTTCAAGGTCCGCTTCAATCTTTACAAAACTTGTAAAGATTTCAGGTTACCGAAGCGCCAAGATCCTCACATTCAATGACATAATGAGTGAAGGGAGAAAAAAAAAAAACATTGTTCATCTTCCTTTGTTGATGAGAAAATATAGAAATCCCAGAATAATCAAGAAATCCTCACAGAAAGATCAATCCAATTCTGGTTCATCTGGATTTAAACTGGTGGTTTTACTATAAACAGCAACATGTGGAAGAACACGCCAGGTCACCTTGTCATGTTGCCACATTTGGTTCATTGATATGTAAACATCAGGCGGTGGAATGCAGGTCAAGTGAAACGACTCGTTTCCTCCCGTGTTGAGCCTCCAGTGTCTCCAGGTATCAGTTCTGGTCCAACTAAAACTCTTTCCAGCATTTCTCTCTGCAAATCAGTGACATAAAAATCTGATGCCATCTGTCAATTGGACAGATTATAATTTACGCATTTAAATTGGTTTGATTGGAACCAGAACTTCATCATCTGTTCAGCATCTGCACAGCTGGAGATGCTGTGGCAGCTGGAGAACCACAGCATCTCCAGCTGCTGTGGTTCTGTTTCTCTGTTCTGAGTCAAACCAATCAAACGCTTTGAGCAACCTGTTCCCCTCCTGGCCTGTGGGGGCGCTACACCTAGAACCACTGAAGGAAACGACACAAAACAACACTGAGTGCAATTTCCTTCTTCACCAAATGGAAACTACAATGGAAGCATCAGACTTTAGTGGTTGGAGGACTTATTTTTAGTCTTTGGCCAATTCTCAAGCCATTTCTCCTGCTAGCATTAGGCTAGCACGTTTGTTTTGGTTGTGTTTACCCAGAATGCCCAGTGCGGTGCATTCAGTCCACTTCCTGCTTTTGGCGCGGCCTCCAGTCCGGTTGGCAGTAATTAATGATGTTTGAATAGTTTCATTACAATTCAAATCTGTTTTCAGTGTTGTTGATGCCGCAGTGAGAGGTTTCTGTCACTTCTTTGTTCAACTTGTTGAATATTAAATAAACTGAATGACTTTTGAATATTAAGTTACTATTATTTAAGTTTACAGGTTAAAAATAGATCATCATGGTATGATAGTCAAGAAAAATCTTTTCCTCTGCTGCTTACAGAGAAAAAATTCTGCTTTCTGCCATCCACAGGTTGTTTTTTGGGTGGCAAAATAAAAAAAAAAAAGTCAAATAAAGGATTTCAAAAAGTACCAAAATAAAAAAAACAAAAGCAGTGAATCATTGATGAGGATTATTCCTTCAGACTTTTGCTCCATCCTGCCGCCTCCAGAGCGGAGTGATTGTAAAGTTTACAGAGACGGATTGAGTGACTCCACAGGGAGGTTTTCGACTGAACGGGGATCACTTTCTATCAGGGCGTCTTGTAACTATTCAGGAGGTTTTTGATGATGATGATGAACCTGCGGTTGCACCCTTGAACTGAGTGATAACCTGTTTTATGAGGATAACCTGTCGCCTTACGTAAGGTGACATGAGCAGCTGATTATTAACAGGCGATTATCGGTGCTGGTGTGCAGGACGTGCCGTCAACTGGGTTTATTCAGCATTATGCTCATTAACTGCAACACCTTTATTGCCTCAGAGGTTCTGCATCACAAAGTTGTTCGGAAATATCTAGAAATATAAATATTACCCCAACGTCTGTCAGTAAACTCCTCCAGTTCCCTGCAAATTTAACCAAAACCAAGAATTTTCTCTCCTATTTCTAAACCGCTGCACAAAGGTCGAGGTGCTGATGATTTTACAGTCCTGACTCAGGAGTAAAGCAGCTAATTGCTGTCACCGATACTCCTCTGTCTGCCTGCGGTGCATTCAGTGTTGAAGCAGAAGAACAAAACAAATCAGAAGAATCAGAGTCAAGATTTTACACACAATCCAGGAGTTTCACTTCAGGTTTTACGTTGTATAACCTAATATAAACTTTAAAGGAAATGAACGAATGATAAAGGAAGGATATGCTCATGTGTTTGCAAAGAAGAGTGCTAAAATGCTTTTTCAGTTTCCCAACAGAGAGCTGAATACTGAGGTATTTATTGTGTTCATCAGGGAGTGACGGTCAGGAAAAATGGCAGGTGAAAACGCATGAATGATGTAAACTCTGAAAAAGGACAAAAAGAATAAACAAATGCATCAAAGAAATCCTGCAAATGAAAATGTTGCAGAAAATAGAAGGAAAAAGTAAAAACAGTAAGTATAAAATGCTGCAAAGTCCTCCAGACCACCAGGGGGAGTCGAACATCAGATCATTTAGGACCAGACGCTCAGCAAAAGTCCAGATGAACAAAATGACGCGTTACACTTCATGTCGTTTACAAAGTCATAGAGCTTTGCTGACATACGTAATATTACCGACTCCAGACTCCCCCTAGTGGTCAGACAACAGCGCTATGGTTAGCTAAAATATAGCCAATAGCATGTGGGGTATCACTATCATATGGACTAACAATGACTTATTCTATTTATTATGCAAGCAATATTGTTCCAGCTAAAATTAGCTTTAATGTTAATGTTAGCTTGAATGCTATCACTAGTATGTTGACTACAAATTACTAACTCAACTCAGCAGACAAACATTAGTGTTAATGTTAGCTTAAATGATGCCAGTAACATGTGGAGTACCTCCAGCATGTGGACTTAACATATCCCATTTAATATGCTAAACATAGCTAACATATCAAAAATATGCTAAAAATTATTATTTTTAGCTTAATGCTCATGAGAGCTATCACTAGCATATAGAGCTACTAGCATGTAAACTCTACCAGTGGTAAGTAAAATATCACTAGCATGTTGACAAGAGTGCCTTATACTCAGCAATGCAAACATTAGCACTGCAGCTCAGCTTCCTGGAACAGAAAACCAGAAAAGCAGAAGCCTGTTTTTATATAACGTATCCTGCAGGGCAAACTGGGTTTCAACGCGATACTAGAAAGCAAGGTGCAGCAGATATTTACTTTTGGGATAATCCTCACCATACCCTGCAGGTGTGGCCAAATAACCCAATAATCCAGCAATTAGACGCTTCTTAAAGAAATGTGTTGCAACAGCAGGATGTCAGTCTGGAATGTGACGAAGCTAACACGTCCCGATTCCCCTGAAAGAGCTAATTATGGGCTTTCTGTTCAGATTCCTTCTCTCACAGATCCTGTTGGGCTCGCTGGCAGATTGCTCTGCTGTGAGGCGATTCTCGCTCTGATGTAATTCACACTCAGTAAAAGTTTTCCACAGAGACATAACTCTGTGTTTCAGAGAAACACCAGATTTTTTTGTCCAGATTTCAGTTTGCAATGTTGTCTTTTTGTTGCAGATAGTTATTTTCCTTCCCCAATGCTTTGCAGGCAGAGCCGCACATGCTAACAAGTGGCACATTTTCACTGTGACTTGTTATATAACTGAGGACTTTTTGACTTTGTCTCCAGTTGTAAATTCCTCTCATCTTTAGCTGTAAGATAAGACATCTTTGCAGAACGTTAAAGGGCAATTAAAGCGCTTCAAGGCTGCTGTCAAGTCTCTTATCAGAGTCAGAACTGGGTCAAAGCACAGCCAAGGTCGAGAGATGAGCTGGGAATAATGAGTTCAGAACAATCACTGCTATTTGGTTTCAGCTCAAACAGCAAATACTGGATTTAATAAGGCGGCAGAAATCCTTCCAGTTCTGTCTGCCTTTTGCTCAAACAGCAGCTGCATCAGCTCCAGTATTCACATTTCCGCTCCCCCCTGTCTGTGAAGGTGGCGCGGAAAACTGTCTTAATATTGACCCAACTGCAACAACACCACCTAATCTCACAGAGGCGCCATGAAGGGAGAGACTGAAGTGACTGCAGTTGCTTTCCAAAGTTGTTCATTTATGGTTTCCACTTGTTCAAGTCAAGCTACCTTACCTAGCTAGCTATCTAGGAACCAGCTGTCCCTCCTGACACCGAAACGTATATCAACAATTAGCTAAAAACTATTATTTTAGCTTAAGGCTAATATCAGCATGAGGGCTATCACTTACACATAGAGCAAAGTATTTGCTAGTGCTAAGGTTAGCACGGTTGCTAGCAAAGTCAGCAATCAAAACTTCGACTCTGCCTAAATTTACGGCACCTGATTTATTCCACTATTAATCATAAATGCCGTTTCTCTTTATGCCCGACCATTTGTATAGTAAAATCAGCTAAATAAAGACCATAACAGTTGACCGACTCAACTTGCTCATAGGTTGATTTGATATCCATCATGGTGGAGTCAGACGTTGAAGTCACGTTCAAACGGTCCATACATTAAATAAATCAGTCTAGAGATTGATCTCTTTACAAACACACTAATTGACCTTAATATACAAAACATTTTTTTTTCTTCTCATTTCACAGGATTATTTATGCTAATGCTAATTCACCAGCTCATTGATGCTAATGCTTCTTTCTTCTAATATAATTTGTGGAATCTCTTCATTCCTCATTCTGAAGCTACATTTGAACTCTACCAAGATGTCTCCACCTCATATAAATGACCTCTGGTGCTGCTTTCTAATTGGCTCTTTCCCTGTTGGCAAGCTGCTGAACTGGTGTACCTAACAAAGAGGCCAGTCAACATTTATAATATATGAGCTTGTATGTGTAATTTTGAAGAAAATGCACCATACAGTCAAATTTTACTTTGAAAAATAATTGATTTTGTTTTACAGCTATTCCACATCATGGGAAAAAGAATTATTTGAATAGATTATTAAAAACTCAAAATTAATACAACATTTTTTCTCAGGCAGCAGGACTGTTGCAGCTCTAAATTCAGAATATACTAAAACAATTGACATCTAAACAAATCTGCATTTAATGTGAAAAATTCTTTGCAGCATCTGTGATTTCATCCCAATTCTTCATTCCTGCAAATGTGCACAAATATTTTAATATTTTAACTTTACCAGAAGTCTCTTCTTTACATTAAGTTAATTAAAAAGAAAATCTGAATGAAAGAGAAAAATACCATAAAATCAGAATAATCGATTACTAAAGTCATTGTTAGACATTAGAAAATGTTGGGGTTTCTTTTGTATTTTGATGAACTGTTTTACCTATTAATCTGCCACATATGAATTTAGCTGTATTTTTCCATGGTATTTAATTACATAAACACAAAAAATATTCAGATTTTATTCTTCTATTTATATTTAAGGCAGTTTTTCCAGAAGAACTCATATTTTTATTTACCCTACAAATTTCAAGAAGTGCATTTAGTTGCACTTAAGCAAAAAAAAAAAAAGATCATTAATTGGAATGTCTCAAGAACAATGCAACATTTTTTGTTATCTTTTCTTCAAGTAGCTTTTAAAGACATATTTTAGATGTTTCTGTCGCTTTTGGAATGGTTTCCAACCAAACTTCCCCATTGCCGCGGTATTTCCAACAGCACCTGAAGGCATCACCGGTGGAGTTTCAGAGTGGGCGGGGCTTTCGCGTCCCTCGGTAAAAACTGAGGCGCGCGCCGCCTCGGTCACATTTCGACACCTGAGAACCGGGCGACACCGGAGAGTCAAACCCGAACCGGCACCTCGACAGAACCAGCAACGCCATGCCGTCTCTGCGACACTCCTACACGGTGACGGTCCCGGGACACCCCGGCGGCCTGCCGCTGGACGAACCGGAGCTGCGGCGCAAGCAGCTGTCCCGCTCCATGCTGGTCAACACCTTCATGGGTCTGATCATCAACCCGGCCAAGGTGAGTCCACATCCGGGTCTCTTCCAGAAAAAAAGGTTTAATGTATCAGTTTTTACTCAGCAAGTTAATTTTCTTCCAAGAGAATTTATATTTTTATTCACTGTAGAAATGTAGCGTTTAGATGCACTTAAATAAAATACATATTTTTTATTTTCATGTACAAACCAGGATGTATAAATTTCTGACTATTATATTTTAGCATTTCTGCACATAAAATGTAAGAATAAAAGTGGAAGCAATCGCATGCAGCATTCAGGCATAACATTATGACCAGCGTGGACACTGACTGGTTTTTCTCCTGGAGTTTTATCTGCAGCAGTTTAAACTCTAATCTGTTAGTGGTCATAATGTTTTGCCTGATTGCAGTGTGCTTTCAGACAACGCATGAAAGGAAAACAGCCGCACAGATATAAGCATTGTTTTCTGCTACAATATGATTAATAATGATTGATTGATTATTGAAACAATTGCCAACTAATCGATTAATCGTTAACAACATGGTGATTAAACCAAAACTGTTCAAAATGGATAGAAAATTTGCATTAATGATAAAAATATGACACGCTGCAGGTGGAAAAATCTCTACAGCTATACAGTCAGACACGGTGGTGGAAGTGTGATGATCTGGGCTTTTGCTGATAAATTATCTTTAAAAGAAAACAAAAAACACTTTTTTCTTGCTACCTGCTGCTTTTTCTCTGATATTAAAGTTTGTTTGATGTTCTGCAAGATTTGAGTTCGACAAAAACACAAAACAGGAGAAATCTGTGAAATACTTTTCCACTGAGCTCAAACTGACAAAAGGAGTCAAATCTTGACTGCATGTTGCATCAGCGCGTAGAAATGACGAGCCGGGCGAATCGCATGCCGAGCGAAAAGCTGCAGACGGCTACATCAAGTGGGTCTGTTGCATAACGGGGAGCAGAACTGCTGATAAGTCCCAGGAAGAACACCTTATCGTTCACGCAGCAGGACTCTGCTGGCACCAGAACCGGCCCGCAGCGCAGTCAGCACATATTTCTGTTTACGTGGGCCGGAGGTGTCGGGCTCAGGTCGACCCGAGGAGCTTTTTACATAACCAGAACCTCAACCGAGTTTTCATACAACTCCACGCTCACCTTAGGACTGAAGGAAACGGAGATAATCATCAATTAGTCTTTTATTGAAATAATCGTCAACTAATCAATTAATCATTAACCGGAATATACAAACGTAGAAAAAAAGAACAGATTTAAACCGGTAGTTAAGTCTGTATAATAAAAAAAAAATCTTTGCTTTAACTTCAGCTGGTTCAAATTCACTGAAGTAACTATCTTGTTGCATTTAGGCAATAAAATGTTTATTTTTATATTTAAAAAAAGGAATTAAACAAATTATATATCGTTCATTTTTTAAAAATCAACGAATCAAAGTGAAAGATGCCCAAAAATCTGAATAATGAATTACTCCAAAAATCTTTATTTACATCCCGAAAATCGAATATTTATGAACAAATCTGCATTATTGTGTAAATCAAACAGTTGCAGCTGGGACTTTATCCTAAAACTTTTCTTCATTCAAAAACCTTCATATTTTAACTTTTTAATGCGCCTCTTCGTAAATAACATGAGTAGTGTAGTCAGTTACTAAAAATCTCTGGATGAAAGAGAAAAATACGTAAAGATGCTGAAGTAGGATCGTGTTTGCTTTAAAATGAGTCATTCCTCAAACAGAGTGCGTTTCCACAGTGATTTAAAAATGAAAATCCATGTTTACAGAAAACACTCCAGGATGGGGGAATTTGTATGGAAATATCCACATTTCTCCTCACTTTCTGCAGTTTTTCTCTTAAGATTTCTGCGTCTTCATTTGAACTGTGTTGCTCTGTGTTTACCGTGTAAACATCTGAACCATAGAACTCGGGTTCAGCCGGGTCTCCAGAACCCGCTCCAATGTGTTTACACCCTCAGCCAAGGCGAGGCTGCCACCGCCGCCGTCACATGCTGCACGCCTGCAGGGCGCCAATATTTCAGCACAGAATGTTCCCAGGCTCTCTGAAGTCCTGCCAGCCGGTGCACAGAGTTCACCTGAACGCGTCACTTCCTGTGAGCCCGGTCCTGCTGGTTTGGACCAACACCATATGTCTGCTTCCAGACGGCAGAGACCGATTTAAATCAGAGTTGCCTAAGATTATACATGTATTAATGGGAATAATAAGTAGAAATTGACCAATGTCGATTCTTTTAAGACCGATTTTGATACAGATTGTTTTGAAGTCAGTCTAACTGATCTACAATATGTGCTGCAAATAAAATAAACCAACATATAGTTTTTTTTAAGTGAGCAAAAACAGAATAAAATGCATTAAATGTCACCATAAAAACATTACATTGCATAAAAATGTAGAATTTTTTTTAAAAAAATCAAAGAATAGTGATGATTTTACACAATTACTGTTGAAAATTATAAGCAAATATTGCAAATAAGTTGAAAATATCTTCTTTTAATGAATCGCATTCTCAAGCCTTTTATGGTATTTGTATAGTTATCTGCAATTTTGTCAGCCTCAGCATTCCATACATGAGCCGCTGCTGTTGCTGCTTAATTCCCAGTTTAAAGGTGAACATATTTACATGTCCAGCTGTCAGCAGAGGCATTTTGCTGCTCGTCCAGCTCATTATTGCGTTATTATGTAACAGAAGGGATGACAGAGCTGCATGTCGGCGCCCGCTGGAACATCATCACCATGAAACCATCTGTTCTGTCAATATTAGGTCATCAGGGTGACTTAATGAAACTAAATGTGGATGTTGATTGTAAAAACAAAACTTTTTTTAGTCATCTTCAGGTTATGTAAGTGGCTCTGGGAACTGAGCCTTTTTTAACAGGAAGCGTCAAAAGACCCAGACTGTTGAAGTGGATTCCTGTGGCAGTAGCCCAGGGCTGGATGTTTGGGGGCGGACTCAAAAACCTTTCTTTTCTTTTTTTTTCTTTAATGTTTTATGGCATTTTACTGTTTTGTAAAACATGTAAGCCCATATCAGGAGGCATGCATTCATATTTTGGGATGTTAGTAATATAAAAAATACTCAATTATTTGTAAATGAGTGAAGTATTTTTTCCACCCACATCACTTCATAGCAGAAACACCACCAAAACTGGCTCCATCTTTGTAACTCAAGCCCTGCCTGAAATTATATTAAAAAACATATTTTGTCAAATTCAATCATAGATTATTTATGTCTGTAAACTAAATATTTAGTATATTAACTAATTAAATAAATTGGAGCTGATATTTAGAAATGAATAACATGGTGAATACAGTGCCTACTTTCTATTATTTTTGTTTAAACACAAAGAAATTTACTTTGACTATGCTTCTACTGTTGATGGATGTTACTGACTATATATATCACAGATTAAGGAAGAAAGGAGACACAAGCTGATTTTCAGATGTTAAGACCGATTTCTCATGTGAATATTGACTGATTGTACATTTACCAAAATCCTCCCTTGAAATATTATTAATTAAGTTGATTTATTGAAAATTTCTAACCTCAACTGGTGATAATTTGCTGCTACTTTCTGTAAAAATACTCTGGGAGCTCAGACATTCCAGTTTTCTATTCTCCACACTGAGTAGGAAGTGTTTTAAGGAAAAGGTCGTTTCTGGCCAGGCTGAATCAAACTATGGAGACATGTTGTGTTTCATAATGACGACATGATGAAACACAACCATGTCGTCTGCATAGAGACGAACTTTATCCTCCCTGTGACCTCAGATCCAGAACCCGAAATAAAATATCTACTTTTCCATATTTTGTCACATTACAACCATGAACATAAATATATTTTATTTCTGATTAGATTATTCATTGTTGAGCCATTATCAGTCATCAGGTAACTTATGAAGGCAACTGGTTGCACTCAAAGAAAACGAGGGCTGAATAATTTTACACACCGCACTTTTCAGTTGAAAATGTTCTGAATCCTATTTGTCTTTCTACTTCACTGTTGTATACCATTTTGTGTTGGCCTCCCACATTAGATGTATTTATGGTTGTAATGCAACAAAAAATGGAAAAAAAAACAACTTATTTTAGACATTTAAGAAATCAAGTAATTCAGTTCATTTTTTAAACAAGAAAATCAACGTTTTACTGACTAAAACGCGATAACACTTGATTATTTGTAGCTTCTACATCAGTTAGCTTTGTGCTCCTGATATTTGCTGGAGAAACTAGATCAAAAATAAAAGTTGTAGTTTTGTGGTGATTACTTCCAGACTTAAACAGAACCTGTCTGACAGCACAAAGTAGGCGAAAACATCTCACAAATAAAACCTGGAACAGATGAGAAGAGTAAGAGAAGAACCAGAAAGGCCGTTTTTAAAGTCAGGCTGAAAAATGTTGACTTTTGACGTCTGAGGTAATTTTCAATGTTTCCGTTTGTGAACAGAGCAAGAGTCCGCAGGGCCTGGTGGGGCTGAGGAACCTGGGCAACACGGTAAGGCTCCCAGCTTCCCAGCGTCTCTCCCAGTGAAACCAGCAGCTCGGACCGGATCCGTGGTGACGTTTGCTCTTGTTTCCAGTGCTTCATGAACTCCATCCTGCAGTGTCTGAGCAACACGTCTGAGCTGAGAGACTACTGCCTGTGGAACTTCCACCTGATGGAGCTGAACCGCCGGACCAACACGGCGCTCATGGAAGGTGGGCGGAGCCTCTGCATGATAAACGCTGCGTTATCAGCTTTAAGACGGTTTCGGGTCAGGTGTAGGACTCAACCTGTAAACTTTCTGTTTTCACAATCCCTTGTCGTCGCTCAGCTGTTAAACCCAAATCCTTCCAGCTTCAGTCAGTGAACGCAACCCAGAAAAGCAGCAGCGTCATTTTTACGGCGTAATCTGAGCGCAGTGGACGTTTATCACCTTTAGTGACATCCTGGGCTCAGGGTGGGAACATCAGGTCAGCAGGCCAGCCTCAGGAGACGTTTCAGTAAAACTAGAGGAGGGACATGTCTGTAATTCATTCATTAATAAATCTAAACTATAGATTTACAAAATAAGGAACATTTTCAATTCAAAAACCCCCTCTTCCTGCTAAACTATTGAATAAATAGACATATGAGCTCAATAGCAAAAATATTTGTTTTAATCTTTTATTCTGGTTCTTTTCAGGCGTTACTAGTGCGTCAGATTTAAGGATGTACCAGAAACGTGCGAACACAAATGTTCCGGGTTGAACATTCATACCTAAACATTAGTTCTGTTAAAGGTTTTTAAATTTATGTGAATAATTTCTAAAGTCCCAGCTCTCATTAAAACACTATTATTATCTGCTACCAGATTTCTTGCTTTGTCTTTAGTTTTAGTAAACGACGCGTGACTAGAACAGTAATCTGGTACAGTGGGACGCTCCAGCAGCTGCCTGTAATAATGTTCCACTTTATCAGATCTGGTGTTCGAACTACTTTCTGGTGTTTCAGTAAAATGTGTCATATAATTGTCGCTTTCCGAAGAAATGAATTCTGTCTCATGCAAAAGAAATCTCCTGTTATGGAAAAAGTAATTTACATTTGATCTGTGAACTTATTCACTTTGTGTTGAATCTAAACTTGTTCTGATATTCATGACAGAGACCAAAGCTATCAATGACCTTCTGCTGAGTAAAACAAAATATTTTGTTTTGAGATTGTTTGATTTGGACATTTGATTTTGAAATATTGGCACCAGATACTTTTGCTCCTGCGGGTCTCAGATGGGTTCTTTGTTTCCTTCGCAGCGATCCGCTCCATGTTCTCTGGATTTCATTTGCAGAGTTTGGGATTATGTTGGGAGGATTCCTTAGTCTCTGACTCAAAGGATGGATTTACTAATAAATCGTAAAAAAAATTCTCTCTTCTTGTCTTGCTTTTGTTTTCTGGTTTAGAGTTTGGAAAGCTGACTCAGAATCTGTGGACGTCTGCGAACAACGAGGCCGTCAGTCCGTCTGAGTTCAGAAACCAGATCCAGAAATTTGCCCCCAAATTTATTGGCTGCAAGTAAGTTTCTCTTCCTCTTCAGAGGAAGCCTTAAACTTCAGGTGGGGGAAGTTGTCAAATTGGATAAAATTGTTTTTATCTGCAGCCAGCAGGACGCCCAGGAGTTCCTGCGCTTCCTGTTGGACGGCCTCCACAGCGAGGTGAACAGGGCGGCGGTCCAGCGGAAGGTGTCGGCCGTGGACATGGACCACGTCCCGTAAGCAGACTCCCTCCTCCAGAGGTCACTCAGCTTCACTCGTGTTTTTTCTGCTAAATCTCAATTGTTTGATCTGCAGTGATGAAGAAAAAGCCCGGCGGACGTGGAACATGTACCTGGAGAAAGAGGACAGTAAAGTCGTTGGTAAGAGTCTTTGAAACATCAGGGAAGCAACACAGCTGCCTTCCAGTGAACATGACCTTTGACCTCTCGCCTGCCTGCTTCCAGACCTGTTTGCAGGGCAGCTGAAAAGCTCTCTGACCTGCACGGTTTGTGGTTTCCGCTCCACCGTGTTCGAGCCGTTTTGGGATCTATCAGTTCCGATCGCACAGGTGAGGAGACCCAACCTGCCAGCCAATCAGATTCTGGTTCAGCACCACTTACCTGAAATAAACCCGACTTCTGCTTAAAAAGCCTAGAAAACCCAAACGATGAGAAACCAGCAGCTCTTTTAGTAGGGCTGAAACAACTAATTGGATGAACTAAACTACTGAAAGATTAATCGTTAACTGGAGTATTCAGACTTTAAAAAGCCTTATTTCTTACTCAGAACTCATCCAGTGTTTTTCCTTCACCTGGTTCAAATTCAGTAAAGAAAATAAATCCTGTTCAGCAACTTTTGCTATCAATGATTAATCAGTTTATGTTTGAAGGGCTGACTGAGCTCCAGATGCATTCTTTACCACAAATGATCGAGCTGCACTAAACGAATGCTGTCATAACATGTTTGTTATGTAGAAAATGAATTGAGTTACTTGATTATTTGCATTTCTATGTATTTCTAAAGTAGTAAATAAGCTCATAAATAAATAACATGCAGAATGTGGCAATTTTTTCATCCAATTAATCGATTAATCATTAGAATAATTGATAGATAAGCATTTATTCTGACGATTAATCGATGGTATAGTTTATAGAATAATTGATTATTCTGATGATCAGTTAATTAATCACAAGTATAGTTGATAGAGCAATAATTTACTTTGTTGATTAATCATCAGAATAATCGATTCCTCAAATAATCATTAGCTGCAGCCCTACATACTGAGTGCTCTACCCTCACGTTGATGATGTTCGGCTCTCAGAAAGCAAAAAACAATCAATAAAACATTAAATTCTTCCTGAAACCTTCACTTGGATATCATGACACCCTGAGATTGTGATAAATGAATTTTTCTGACTGGATGTTGTCTGATCCTCCACAGAAGAGCTCTGGTGAAGTGACGCTGAAGGACTGCTTGAGGCTTTTCACAAGAGAAGATGTGCTGGACGGAGAAGAACGACCGGTAACCCACCCGTACAACGGCTAGCTACTTTTTCTGTTTTAAGATGCTGCAGACAGAATCTGACTGCCTGCAACGCGTTTGTTTCTTTGTCAGACCTGCAACAAATGCAAAGCCAGGAGAAAATGCACCAAGAGGTTCAGCATCCAGAGGTTCCCTCAGGTTCTTGTGCTTCGTATCCTTTTTGCAGTGGTTTTTGCAGCATGCAGATGCTAATCCTCCCGCTAACATCAAGGTGTGCACCAATACCAGACAAACGTTCATTGTGCCTTGACCTCGGTTTGCCTCTCAGACCTGAAGCGTTTCTCAGACTCAAATGTCCGAGTGAGCAAACTGAACACCTTCGTCGACTTTCCTCTCAAAGATCTAGACCTGAGGGAGTTTTCAGCGGACAGCTGCGGTGAGTATCTGCAACAAAAATAGAGACTATCTAGAGAAGAAGCTTCTGTTGTTTAAAAACTACAAATCAGGCCCAAATCTGGTCCCTGATGCAACAAAGTCACAATTACAAAGTCGGTCGTCTATCAGGATTAAAGGACTAACATCTCAGCAAATTCTAGAAAAACTCCACATCATAAATGTGGAGCAAACTTCCAGAAAACTGCAAAACAACTGAAACACTGAGATCCTTTAAATCAAGTCTAAAATCCCAGCCAGTTAGAGCTGATTTTGATTCATAACAACTCGAACATTCGCCAGCAATTTTGATTATAGCGTTCGACAGAATTTAATGTCTGTCGCTGGTTTTATGATGTTTTCAGGAGGTAAAGCACCTTAAACTGCCATCGTGCTTCAATGTGTTGTACAAATAAACTTGATTGATCAATCGATCGATTCTTCCTGCAGAGCGTCCCGTCTACAACCTGTACGCCGTGTCCAACCACACTGGGAACGCGCTGGGCGGCCATTACACGGCGTCCTGCAGGAACCCGGCGCTGGGGGAGTGGTTCAGCTACAACGACTCCAGGTATCAGATCTCATCTCACTGGGTTCACGTATCGGCTTATCAGGCTGGTCACGCAGCCTCCGCCTGCTGTGCCTGCGCTGACCTCATTGTCGCCGTAAAACTTTGCAGCAGCTTCAATTTTACGACCAAATTAGGGGTCAGCTGCACGTTTACGAGCCCGTGGATCTGTGCGTGTGTGTGCGTAGCGGATTAAACATACACATAATGTCAATAAATTATCAACAAATGTTGAAAAAACTAACTGGAATTTTTGCGAAAGAGCGGCTGATGTTGATGGGGTTGAGATGAAATGTAAGAGAGATCAAATTCTTCTTGATGAAAACAAACTGGAAACACTACAGTTAAATAAGGTTAAGAAAAAGTTTTAATTAAAAAGAAAATGACCAGGGAGAAGGAAGTAGGTCAGTTATGCTAGCTTGATTTTGACAACCTGAACATGTAGATGTGCTGTGGAATTTGGTTGCCAGCGTCATTTTCCCTTTTCCTGTGGCACACCGCATTAAATTAATAATCCCTCCATCTCCAGATCTCATTTAATTTCTTTATTTTTTTTTATTTTATTGTTGTTTTTTCCCTGTAGCGTTGTACGCATTTGCTAAATTTCCGGGTGTAAACGGTAACGTGCCACGTGTCCCTTCAAACTACTCCTTTTTATTCAAAACTTTGGTTTGTGTTCAAATGTGAGCTGTTCATGAAATGAATTAAAAACTAAGGCGTGTCTCTGCAGGGTCAGCCCCATGTCGTCCAGCCAGGTGCGCAGCAGCAACGCCTACGTCCTCTTCTACGAGATGGCCAACTCTTCACACGGAAAGTACCAGACGTGTCGGCTGTAGAAACAGAGACAAACCTGCACTCAACTGAGCCTGAACACACGGAGCCTGAGCGCCCTCTGGTGGAGAAGGAACTGCCATTACAAACTGTGAACGTGGCTTCTGGAAAAGCTTCTTGAAAAGGGTCAAAACTGAAGAAAACGTTGTTTTTACGGCCATTTTTTTGACACTTTCTTTCAATATTTATAAATGACCTTTCAAAAGACATAATTTATTATTTTTAATTTATTGTGCTTGTTGACTCCAGCGATGGTTTGAGGATGTTTTTAAGTAGAGACAGTGATATTTTTGTACAGTATTTATGCGCAGCAGAGTGAAAGTGATGTGACTCCACTTGCTGACTTTACATCCAAAGTCTGTAAATGATTAAAAGTCGTCACTAAATCATGAGTTTGCTTTATTTAGCCGTCCATTTGTCCAACTACAGACATTTTTAGCTGAATGAATGAATCCAGTCTAGGTTAAAATATCTGGATTTGTTTACAATATATTTATGGTGGTTTTGCACACATTGAACATAGAAAACATACAAACAAACCCACAATCAGCGCCCACAATCTAAAATACAATACAATTGGAAAAACAACATTTTTATGACTGCATAAAGGTAAACACAAGTATAAATATACAGATAAATAAAAATGCTAATTATTACGTAAAGTGTCAAAATATCAGAGTTTCATTCTGAAGTAGTATCTATCCAGATTTTAAGCAGTGATGCAAATTGATGACTAAATATTACAGTTTTAGAGCACTAAACCCTATAAAACTTTATCCAGCTTGTGCTGCGTTTCCTTCAGCTCGGACCGGCCATGTTGTGTTTTTGAGTCGCCATCACTTATGTTGAAATGAAGCGTGTCCCACTGCAAGACACTCGCATCAAGTCAGTTTGGAGAAAGAAGGTGATTTTTCAGTCTTTGCACATCAAATTTGTTCTCTGCCACGACATCCCCCTTGTGCCTGTTCTCTGTCTCAGTCGGTGGATAACAAAGGAGATGGCGTGTGGATGAAAAACAGCAAAAACGAGAGTTAAATAATTCTATATTAATTATAGGTGTTGACATTTCATACTGGACTGAAACACATGAACTAGAATATTTCATATTCTATGCAATAGAATATTTTATTCCACAGATTGTGGAAATAGAGAGAATATGTTTTTAAAGTTTGCCACAGTTTCAGCAAGCTGGCTGTCGAGTGAAACGACACACTTTCAGGTCTTGTTAGATCATTTAATTATCTCTACATTCTTAAGAAAATGAAAAAGTATTTGGTGTTTTATTGGAGAGTGTTTCTCTTACTGTGCCAGTAATACTGGAATTTATCATTAATAATAAAGACTTTGTGGTATCTTGATTTGATAATGATTATGTTAGTTAATCATGATGAAGGGATTATTGAAATAGTTATCAATTAATTTAGTAATCGATTAATCGTTAACTACAGTATTCAAACCCTCCAAAGTAATTCAGCAAAAACTGTACAATATATATACAGAATATAAAAACATAATTTTCTGGAAAAAAATTTTCCCCAAATTCCTCACGTGCCAGTTTTAGCTTCACTTATTCAAATTCACTAAAAGAATGCTGCTACTGCTTTCTAGGCAATAACATTTGTATGTTCTCATTTTAAAAATGAATTTAATTATTTGTTTATTTGCTTGTTCTTGTGCCTTCTTAATGTATAGGAATATTTAAAAGGTGGTTAAGAAAAAAAAATTGCAGAATGTGGAGAATTGTTTATATTTGATTAGTCGTCAGAAATAATCGTCCGTCATTGCGCTATTTTTTAAATTGAATTAATAAATATTTGGTCACTAGAGGGCGCAGTTTAACTGACATTTAACTGACATCTCCTTGTTGCTGCTCGGTGGAAGAGACTGAGTCTTAAACTGATGTGTGTCTGCCACCTGCTGGCCAAGCAGAATAACTACAGGTCTTTAAAGTGGAGGATTTCAAACATTTAAGTTCATATAAATCTGGGTGGGTGTAAATACTTTCTTACTTTGTTTTAATGTTACAATTGGTTTTTGGGCTTTATCTTCATATTTTCATGTGTAAAGGAGGGATTCTGTTCATTGACTTACTCAATAATACATTAAATGGTGATTGTGATCTGGAGCGATAAAGGAGATTTCTGTTTGCCTGCAAGTTGGCAGCAAATTGGCTCAACTTGATTCAGTTGTTCTGGGTTGTTGACATGATAGAAATCTGATTTGGACTTTGCTCAACGCTGGATCAGCTTTAGTTAAAGCACCATTTATTAATAAAACCTGTAAGTATAAAGTCATAAACACAACTTAACTGGATTCTGATTCCTATTTTTTTCCCCAAATGCAAACTGCTTTCAAAGACAATGATGTTTAAAAAAAAACAGAAAAGAAAAGAAAAAGAATCAGCCGACATCTTCTCTGGCTTCAGGTGGATGTTGATTCACGTCTTTATTTCACAAAGAAATAATAAATACAAAATAATCCTTCAACAATAATTCATGCTCTTTCACTACTTTATTTGGTGCCAAGTTTGTGGAAAAACTGAAAAAAGTAAATAATATGCATGACTGTACAAAACATTTGTTGTGAATTAGCAATTAGCCTAAGCTAATATCCATTATGGCTTGTTTGGCTGTTTGGGAATATTCAAACATGGAAACAATTTTCTTTAATAACATAAAGCTACATTGTTTTTAAAGATTGATCAGTAATATGTTTATAACAAATTTATGACAGATCATGATTTCCAGTTGTCATAATGAAGACATTTTTAATGATGTCAACTTTGTATTAAAGTGTCATGATTTACCGAATGACACTTTATGACAGCAGTCATAAATATTTATGAAGACTTATTCATTCATGGTCATGACAGGTGTTATGACATGTTTATAACATTGTCATGACAGTCTTATTCACAACCTGTCAATTAAGTGTTACCAAGATATGAACTCCCAGTTTTTTAAGTCTTTTCTTTTTAGATCCAGTATCAGTTTTTAGTTGTTCTGTTTCTTCTCTTTTGTAATCATTCAATTAAAAAAAAACAATTATGAGATCATCAGATGAACTTAGATTACAAAAAGTTTTTTTTTCTTTTTTTCTTTGTCTTTCACAATAAATGATCATGGTAGGTTCAATAAATGTTTCATTTTAAAAAAAAAAAATCACCACTTAATGAGAAATAAACTTTGACAATGTAACCGTTTACAACATATTTTAAGTGGGTATTTTAGAAAAAAATTTAAAGCACGATGCTTTCTTCTGGCCTGGAAAGTTTTTTCTTCTCAAATCAACTTTTCAGACGAAGCATCTTCTTCTCTTGTCCTCCAGGTCAGGGTTTCGGGTGACATTGGAGTAGGACATTTTTTACAGTGCAATGAGTGACCACATAAATAATAAATCATAATTTGAATGGTGCTGGTCTCAGATTTTGTTGGTGTACTTCAGCAGACCGTAGATACCGCCGCCTGAAATGAAGATAACATTGTTTTCATTATTGATTAAAAAAGAACTTGATCTGTTACTCATTGATGCCTTTTTGTAGGATAAATATGACAACAAAGACCACATTTCAAGCACTAATGCTAATCTAAATACATTATTATAAATTTTGACCTATTATAAGAAATTCCCTTAGAAGTGTCTTGGGTCCAGTTGCTGGAACGAAAGGCTTTTTTCTGCAAAATAAGCTAATAAATTTCTGCAGCAACATATTTCCTGAGACTGACTCAATAGATAGAAGCAGTTAAATATGTGATGCAATTTTTTTATTTTTGCAGGTTTCCTTGGTTTTTAAGAATGAGGCAGCCATATTGGATTTTAAGGCCACGGAGCGGTTTCTAGTCCCAGAAACAGTAGTGACTGAGTTTCTCGACCTCAGTCTCACAGGAATAGAATCCATAAAAGATCACCAACATCAACTGGTCAGTATATATCCTGTTGACAAGCGACAATATGTTATTTATTTACTGCACTCACCCAATAAGCCCGCTCCAGCAATCGTTCCTATGGTGATGCCAGCTATCGCTCCTCCTGAGAGTCCCAAAGGACTGGGTCCACCAGTTGGCACTACAGTGGGTCCACCAGTTGAGGCGCTAGTCTGTCCACCAGCTGAGGCACTAGTCTGTCCACCAGTTGAGGCGCTAGTCTGTCCACCAGTTGAGGCGCTAGTCTGTCCACCAGTTGAGGCACTAGTCTGTCCACCAGTTGAGGTGCTAGACTGTCCACCAGTTGAGGCGCTAGACTGTGGACCGGTTGAGGCGCCAGTCTGTGGACCAGTTGAGGCGCTAGACTGTGGACCGGTTGAGGCGCTAGACTGTGGGCCAGTTGAGGCGCCAGTCTGTGGACCGGTTGAGGCGCCAGTCTGTGGACCAGTTGAGGCGCTAGACTGTGGACCGGTTGAGGCTGAATTGGGTGCAGTTGGTGCTGGAGAGTGTGTCATGCCTGTAGCTGTGTTGAGTTTAGTGGTTTGTGTTCCAGGAGCCGACGTTGACCCAGTTAAAGTTACTGGAGCCTCGGTGGTCGTCGCTCGGCACAGTGTTACTGCATCATTTTAATCAAAACATGGAAAATCAAGTTTATTAGTTCAGAATGCTTCACCAACAAAGCCGTTCAAAGGGCTTCAGCATGATTAAACAAGAAACAAACCAGTGAGAAACAAGCAACAAGCTTTACATTTTGTCAAATGTCACCATCAGAATCATCAAGAATAATCAAATATATGAATCAATATTCCAGTTATTAGTCAAAGGCAGGTTTTTATTCTCTATTTAAAGGAACTCACTGTGTGACTTTTTGAAGACGGTTGCAGTATTGAAAACAAACACCTCAGCACTAACGCTGCATCTTTAGTCGTTTAATCCTGGAACTATTCTTCAGCTTATAAAAGTCTGACTTTGTAACCGTCTTTATGTGACTCTGAAGGTTCAAACCCAGATTTCAGCCTGATCTCTAGTTTCTATCTGTTATGACTGAAGTGCCGACTCCTGATCGTTCCTCTTTCGCTCCAAAGATAATTGCTTCAGTTTTTTTGCTTGAGGTTCTAAAACGAAGCTGAAAGTTTAAACAAGTTTCTGGGTCACAGCAGACTTCTTAACCGAGGTGTTAAAAAGTTAATAGTACATTTTATTGACTGAATTGTCTTCCTGTAAATTTGTTTGCTTCCTCTTCCATCTGATTTAAATAATCATCAACCCAGTGAATCACAAGGACGGCTGATAAAACGGAGACGCACTGCTGCTTTAAAAAAAAACTCAACTTGAAGGTTTTGAAACATTTAAATCAACATTATTTTGAAATGTTTTTTTCAGAGCATGCTACTGTTTCATTTCAGGTTCAAATTTAGACGCTTCAAAGTGATAATATGACACTATTTATAGATTTTATTGAAAATTCAGTGTTTCTTTTACCTGCACTCAGGAGGCAAAGTGCCGCCACACACAGATTATTCTGCATCATCTTGGAGAAACTGAGACTCAAAACCCAGAATGTCGGAGTTTAGTCCTGAAAGAGAAAAACACCAAAACACAAATTTAAGAAACCAGGTTACAGACATTTTCCCACTCGACATCGATCAGAAATTATAAAATCTGGTTAAATTTTAAGGAGAAAACAAAGATGGATCCTCAGCTGTTTGGTGTTTAATGTGAACTCTGAAGGAATAACCAGAGAAAAACCTGAAAAATGTAGGAACTACTTACAGAAAGTGACTTTGGAGAGGAGAGCAGCTCACCTGAGGGGATGTGGATGTGTTTATTTCCCGTAAAACCAGTAGATATTCAGCTTATATGAGCTTCTTTTTTTTTTTTTATTACCTTCCCATGAAGGCGGAGCAGTACTGCTGTAAAACCACGGTTTGGACCACATTTTATCTATTTTACACCTATTTCCTGAAAATTAAACCTGACTGTTTGTTTTTTAATGAAATGATTACACTATTTACTGATCAAATATGATGTCTCACTAATAAAACAGCCGCTACAGAAAGCTTCTGTCTGCTGAGCAGAAACAGATTTATTTAATAAAGTTAATCAATAATCTTTGTTCTGTGAGGGAAGTGTTGGCGCTGTCCTTTTATTTATGATTTCCCTTTTCTCCTCTGAGTTCAGGACGATGACATTTGTGTTCATCTGCCGTAACGGTTCAATAAACCCGGATAAGGACGCGAGTCTTGGGTAACATCAGATTAATCATGATAACGATCTAAGTTACTCCAAAGAAACTCCAAAACTGCTGTGAACTGAGTTTTGTTTCAAAATCTTACCAATTTTCTGATTTTCCGAGAAACTGAATATCAGGTTTTTATTTGCTGTGTGTCAGAACTGTGAGAATGAGCAGAACTAAACTGTGACGCTGCTCTATCTGAGCTACAAATTTGGACAAGTTTCTCTTTTTGAACCAAACTACATAACAAAATAAGACTTTTCACCGGTGCGTAATTATTGAGGTTTAATAGGTGCCATTTGTGAAGATACAGTCCAAAATTAGCAGCACTAATTTGGATCATTGAGCCTGTCAAAATCAGGAATGTTACAACTTCAACTAAATATTTAGATTCAGTCTAAATATTGAAATATTTAATTAATTTTAAATAAAACTGTGGTGGACAATTTTCAACTATCTCACCATAAGAAAATTGCAAACAATAAAACACAAACTAAATACTTGAAATTATTTAGTTTGTAAGTAAATATTGAAATATTTAGCTTCAAAGTATTTAGTTAGCAACCTGGATATTTAGTTCAGAGTTAAATATTGAGCTCTGAGCTAAATATTTAGTTTCAGACCAAAAATATTCTATTTTTTGATAGAATTGGGCCTGCTTGTTCCTAGGACTGACCTTTCACCCCATGATGTCACCAGTTTTGACACATGTTGTTGTGTAATTTTCCATAGGTGTGTAACTATCCTACCTCATTAAGCTATAAAGTATTAATAAATATACACATTCAAGGAAGTACTTTACATTACCCGCATCTGAACTTTGACCTGTTCTGGTGTCACAGCCAACATCAGTAAATGATAACATGAAGGAGAATGGTTATTTTCTTTACATTTATATGTAGTAATGTGAACAAACTCCAGCCTGTTCCCATTTAAATCACATCCAGGTGGTTAAAACTTACCCTAAATGTTCAAACACACCGCAGATTCAACACTTTGATCATTTTTGAAGGAAAGATTAATTTAAAAGGTCATAAAACAAAACACACCCCATGATTCAGTCTTCACAGCCGGCCTCACGTTCTATATGACTTTATCTGTCTCTTCCATCGTTGTGGGAGAATTTTGGCCCATTTTATATTCCAGTATCGACCCGGTTTGAGCCTTGGTTAACATTTCACGCTGAACTTTCTGTTTTTTATTTCTGACAAGACAGAAGTTATTGTTTTTTGACCAGAACTTCTGAAAAAGAGCCTCTGTAGCCTGTGATAAAGAATAAACAGGTTTCTGGGATTTCCAGGAAGTCCAAAAAGCTAAAAGCCTAAAAACAGAGATTATATTTCTCCTCTATTTTATCTTCCATTGGTTCCCTTTTATATCCAGATGATAATTTAAGATTCTTCCTTAATAATCCAGCTCTATCATCCATTAGAGATCTGACTGGTCCAGATGTTTCTACCGTGGCAATAAGGCATTCTTTTACATCTGATTAGCATCTTAAAAGCTCAAATAACACCTGAACTTTGACCCTAAAATCCAAAAGGAACTTTCCAGCAACTAATCAGAGTATTTTATTTAAAGTATTACATACTTAGTTTATTGTTGAGATGGTAAAATATTTTTTTTTTTTACTATGAATCATCATTTGATGATTTTGGCGTATGTTCCCTCAGAGAAGACAGAGAACACCTTCAGTGAAAGTTTTTGCCACTTTGGGTTGTTTCCTGCAAAAATTCAAGCAGTAAGCTGAAGTTTTGAGTCAAAAATTTCCTAGACATTTTAAGTTAGAAAAAGGGAAAAAAAACTTTCCGAAATGTAATAAATTATTTAAAAATTATGAGATTAAATTGGGCGTCAAACGTATATCAATGCAGAACCGCAATGAAGAGTGTAAAAACATAGCACTGCTGATGAAACTAAACTGTCGGGTCATCTTCTGAACAATCTCATTAACTCTATTGAGTTGTATCTGACACAATTCTGTAAGAACAGTGCTAGTTAAAACTTTGCTAGCTGATGTTCTAACTACCATGTTTCATCACATTAACTTTCTCCATCTAGTGTGCTCATAAGAAAACTAAAATAATGAACTGTAAATGTTAGCTAAAACGCTAACATTATGCTGTTGGTATCTATGTTGGTATTGATGTTACTTGTTCAGAACAAGTAACATTTTTCTTCTAGGATGCTAACATTTTTTTGGAGCTAAAATTAGCTTTAAAAGATCTTGCTGGTTGAAAATGCTAGCACTAAGATGTTGGCCATGAAACTAACAAGTGTGGAAAAACAAAAACTTTAAATATTTCTACCAGTTTTATATTTTAGGTTAAATTTAGCTTGCTGGTAATGTTAGCTAAAATGTTAGCATCAATATTTGGGCTACCATCAGCAGGTTGACAAACACTGCCATACCCTGTCTAATACAATATACACACTAAAAAGCTAATTGTAACTAAAAGGCTAACAGTAGCATGTTAGCAAATGGTACCATGACTTGGTTCAGAATGGAAATAACAATGCATAATCTAAAATGAACTAATGCTAGGATGCTTTTACCAGCATGTTGACTATTGCTAGCATGTTTGCTAACACCAAGTTACTCCATTCAGTATGCTAACTTATAAAATGAGCTGAAAAGCTAACACTAGCATGAAGATTTCAGGCAGGAGGCAAAAAGAAGACAAAGGAGAAAGATCAACTGTCTGATTTTCTTTATTTATTAAATGAAAATAAACCAACTTTATGTTTTGAAATATACATAAAACCTCTGAAGTGAAGCCCTGTCTGGATGGTCATAAATGTTTGTAACATTTCTATTTCTAGATGCCAAAAAAAACTAAAACCGTTTTTTATTAAAGCTGAAAGAGTGAAAGTGAGCAAGTCTCTCATGAGGCTGTAAATACGCCAAGATGGCTTTTCATTGCCTTAAATATCATCAATTATTTATAATCTTAATTACAATTTTTCACATATTTTCATAAATGACAACAAAACCTTCTGGCCGACACATTTATCCCAGAGAAACCAATATATACTCCATGCATTTGCTGTTACATTAAAATCATCATCAAAATTAATGTCTGACTAAAAGAAGTGCAGTCAGGAAACTATGATGGATTCATTCCTGTTGGGCCATGAAGCTTCCAGTGACTGGATTTAGTTCAGATTCTTTGAGAAAAGCCCGCCTCCTCCCCGACCCGCTAGCCGGATCGGGTCATAGGAAACAATCCCATCCGGATTGTGCGATGTTTCAACGTTCAAGTCCTTGATGGGGGGGATTGTTCTCAGATTTTGTTAGTGTATTTCAGCAGACCGTAGATGCCGCCGCCTGGGGAAAAAGGAAAATACTTTATCACCCCAGTAGATCAGAAAAGAACAGGAAGAACTCAGAACTTGTTGGATTAATCTCTGAAAATTTCAGGGAAACTTGGGATTTTCTAAGTTTAAGGAGTCGAAAATGTGCCACAAAAAACTTTTCCATTAGTTTCAGAAAAATTATTATTTTTAAAACTCTTGAAAATGTTAAATTTGCGAGAAAAAATCTCAAGTTTTATCAAGAAAATGTCTGAGATTTTCTCTATTCGTCCGTTTTATCCCCTGATCTAACCCTGAAAGACCGTTGTGCAGGTCTCTGGAATGAAAGAACCTGACTAAATAGAGCCTGTCTGACAGCATGAAGTGGGCTTTAAGTGACTTATATCTATCAACAGGAAGGGTTGCAGAACTATTTATGAAGCTTTGGATGCCATGACTTTCTGCCACAAATGGACATTTCAGTAATATTCTATCTCATTAAATGAGATTACAGTCTCTAACTTGGATTTAATTTTGAACTTTTTGTCCAGGTAAGGATTAGTTTCTCTTTCTCTAAGTAAATTTGGTTGAGTTAGCCTTTGAACAGCAGCATTTGTATTTATTCAAAGGGCTGGTGACCAGTAAAGCAGAGGAAACCGCTCTCCTTCCTGGTTAATGGTTGACAGACTGATGTGGTGGAAACCGCGATGGCGTTGCGTAACCGTCTGTGTGTTTATCCATTATGCTCACCCAGTAAGCCGGCTCCGGCGATGGTGCCGATGGTGATGCCGGCTATCGCCCCTCCGGACAGCCCGGACGAGGCCGGTCCCGACGAGGGGTGGACTGTGGTCGGTGCAGCAGTGTCACCAGTTTGTTTGACTGTGGTCGGTGCAGCAGTGTCACCAGTGTGGTCGGCTGTGGACGCTGCACCACTTGGGGTTGAGGCTGATGGACCAGTTGAAGCTCCAGTGTTACTGTCTGAGGTGCTTTGTGATGCTAGTGATGACGTAGGAGCTGTAGCAGGTGGGTTGATTGTTGATGTTCCACACAGATTTACTGTATCAAAAAGAAAACCCTTAAAGCTAAATCATGAAAATCCTCTTTGTTACACAATAATATTAATATTTCATCATCTCCAAAGTAAGGTGTAAATCACCATTCTGGTGATAAGAAAAGAGCCGTGACCAACCCTTTTCCTAACCAATGTCTACGTCATTTATGGCCTACTTCAATCATCACCTTTGGCCACATGGCAGAAACGCTCAGACGCGACCTCATTTACGCTTCAGACAACTCATAAATTAATATAAAGGCTGAAATATTTGTTTCTGCCGTTCAATGTCAGATATTTCCTCATTTTCTTTTCAGTTTATTGCTTCCTGCTTTACTTTAACATACTTTTTTGTCGTTGGACAAAGACACAACAAAAATTTTTACAATGAAACGTTGTTCCTTGGCTACCAGAATACCAAAAAAAAAAACAGAAGAAGAAGAAAAGCTATAAATGTGATTATAAATACATATAGATACATAAAAAACAGGAATCTTGAAACCAACTTCTACTAAATGTGAAAATAAAAAGTTTTGGTAGTTTTTACCTGTGGCGAGGAGGCAAAGAGCCACGACAAGAACATTTCTGAACATTTTTCCAGAGTTCTGGCGTTGTTTTATTTTCAGTTTTTTGCTGCTGCTGCTGCTGCTGCTGCTGCTGGAAAAACAGAATTACGAACATAAAAGAATCGATTAACATCTGTACAGATCATTTATTAAACATTTCCAAGAAAAAAAAAGGTACAATATGTGTGGTTCGAAATGTTTTTGTCAGAAAAACAAACGTTAATACTTTTTTGATAAAAAATAAATATCACAACTTTAGCAGATATTTGACCCAAAATCAACAATGTTGACCTGACATGTAGAAATCTTTTTCTTTGCAGTAAAACCCGGGGAGGAGATGTGAGCTACTCACCAGAGAGGCTGTCTGTGACGACTGTCTTCCCTTGTGCAGGATATTTATCTCTTAATGGCCTTGTTATCATTTTTAGCCCTCCCATCTGGGTGTCATTTCTGCATCTAACCTTACACGTCGCTCATAATGTTTATCTACTTTATTTGGTTATTATGGTAAGTAAATAAAACGACTGCTGAACATAGGTGGGAAAACGCCGGTAAGTCAATAAAAATGTAAAACTTTCTTGGTTTAAACAACAATCTTTTTCTTTTCTGCTTTAACAAAACCAATAATTTATGCTTCCGGCTGCTTGGAGAGCCGGTTTTCCATCTAAAATCAAAGACGCAGCTGCATATTTTTTCACTAATTTGTACTCACCGCCTGGTTTCTTCGGCCTTGTTTGAGCTGTCGGCTGAAAACAGTGAAAACTAAGGCAACAGGCTGATAAAGCCTGGTTAGTTTGCTCTGTTTGCTCAGCTTGCTGTCCAGCAGACTGTATCTGAAAACACTTGGTCGCCATAGCACAGCAGCATCTCGTTTACACTCTGCTATATGAAAAACATCTTAACCCCAGTTTCATTCCCACCCTGGTTACCAACCTGCCACAGAAACAGCTTCTGGCAGTTCACAGAAATGAGTCCAAGGCTTGTCGATGTCTGAGAATAAACGTCACACAACCAAAACTGAACGGTTGCAAAAGTCAATCTCTGAAGAATTACATATGAATTATATCTATATATGTATTTAAAATAATATTGAATAATACAAACTAAATGCTATTTCAAATAGACAAAACATTTCCATATTGACAATCTGCTTGGGGCCCCAAAAGGCTTGGGCCGGCCCTGGCTGAGTTTACTGGTTGATTAAAAATGAATATTTCCACCTGTTTGGCACAACGTGTGCTGACTAAAGAACAATAAATCTGAGTTTTCACCACAGTGTTCCTAAAAGGCAGCGTGTGAACCCAGCATTATTGCAGTCTCTGTTTGTCTAATGAATAATTTTGATTGATTTGAACCTAGTGGTCAGAACAGTTAGCCATTTTTAGAAACAACCAACTTCAAGTTTTTACCTTTCTGATGGATTGCCTGCTAACAGCTACATTTATTTTGCTCTTCACTTTTAGCCACATTATTTTTATGCAAAACAAATTGTAGTAAAAGTAGACCTTTGATTAATTTAGCTTTGAGCTAAGTTTGATTTACTTGACATTAGCATTAGCAAGTTAGCAATACCCCAAGTTACCATTACTCAAGTCAGCAGTTAGCTTCTGTTCGACTCAACTGTTAGCCAGGTTAGCTTTGAGGTTGGTTAGCTAAGTTTACTTTTAACTGTATAAACTTTAATCAGAATATTTTATCAACACTTTACCAAGATCTGCTGTTGTTGTATCAACCTTCTATGCAAATCTGGAGCAAACTTTCAGAAAACTGTAAAACAGCTGAAACACTGACTTTCTTTAAGGCTCTTGACTTAACGTCATGTTTTGATTGTTGATTCTATGTGTTTTTGTTTTAGCCAATGTGCTCCATCAGCGGTTAGTCGCTGAAGCCAGTAAGTTAGCTGATCTCAAGATACATTGGCCAACTCTAACTCTAACAAACTCTAACTAGCTAATGCATCTTAAACTGCTCTCATTTTGAAGCCGAGTTAACTGATAACCAATTTTGTGAAGTTCTAACTTTGTTAAAAGTCTTTGTGAATTTCAGTTACAGCCAACCAGGATTTGAAAGCTAATAGTGGATTTATTTTCACCCATGATAAAAATACTAGTGACCTAGTTACTGTGTTGAATTATGGTTTGGGCCGCTGGAGAAAGTCATTTATCAGACATGTATCAGAATAAAACTGACAAACTGTAGCAAATAACCTTTAATAATCACTCAGCAAGAGACAGTGGAAATAAAAAAGAGGAATAATTCTTCAAAAACTCTGAGAAAAATATTCAGTTTCAGAGAATTCAACTCTGTCAAGACCTCAGCCCCTGATTTTACTGCCAACAGAAACGCTGCAGAGAATGAAAACAAAACGTAACACAGTCAAAAATAGACAAACAGTAATCTGGATTATTTAACCTGTCAAAAGGAGGGTTGACGTTTCAAAGTCATATTTTCACCATATTATTCATGCATTTATAAATATCACAGCTCCAAACAAAATATTTGGGTTGCCAGTTAAATATTTAACATGTTAGATAAATATTCAGCTTGAAGCTAGATATTTACCTAAGCAACTAAATATTTAACTTGTTAAATAAATATTTAATAAACCCACATTTTGACAGATGAAATAACCAAAATTCTTGTTACTAATTTTTGACTGGGTAACTTTACAAATAGCAGCCCTGGTTAGCAAGCTAACTATTTAGCATGGTGAGAATATGACTGTTATTGTACAAACAGCACCCCATACTTCCTGAAGCAGCATTGTGACCAAGACATGTTGAGTCCTTGAGGTACCACTGAGAGGCCAGAATTTGCAAAATATATTTATTTTGTTAGTTTGCATGAAATCCACCAGTGAACAGCTGGGGTTTTTTTTGCGTTGCCTGTCAATTGTTCAGGTGTGTAAGGACTCGACCTTGACTAGTGGAAAGCCGAATGAATCATCATTTCCTTACAGGAAGCTAAATATACGTGTAAAGGTTAATTGATGGGAGTAGTTTCAAAGTTTCCTAATCAGGTCAGAATGTCCGACAGTAGCCCTCCAGAGTTTCCTGGACTGGCGGGGTTTTGCTTTTACAGGAGGGTTAGCTACAGCTTAACATCAAAATTAGACAAATAATGTTCTAAAAATTTAGTTTTTGAGTTTCTATATGTTTAGTCTGTTCATTAATGACTATTTCCTGTGTTCCCTGATCTATTCAGTAACTTGTTGGTCATAGAGCCTCTGATGTTGCCAACAGACTGTTTTACTAGTTTCCCATATTCACTGAATGAATTAACTAATTTCTCAGATGTCAACAATGTTTTTCGATTCTCTTTTGGTCTTTACGTCATACAAACTCATAACTTTTTCTATCTTGTCAGTCGTACCGGAATGGTCATAAAACGACTTTTGATCTCTGTGAGACCTGGCCTGTCACAGAGACTTTGTTCACACAGCATTGCCTGTAATTAAACCACGACGTTCTTCAGGTGGCCTGAATGACATGAGCAGGAAAGTGGGAGTGGCAGAGTGGTGATGTGGGAGTCTCACATGGAAAAACTAGTGTCATCCTTGAGGTTTACAGGTTTATTTCTAGTCGTAAATTGGTGCCATGAAGAGTTAAACTCCGGTTACCTGCAGCATTTTCCCAAACGTCAAGAAAAACATCTCAACTTCCAATAAGACTTCCTTTTGTCATGCTGGTATTTGAGTATTAGAATTAAAATAACTGGATTCAGACAGTCCCCAAGGTCTGTGCTCCTTTAAAGTCAATAAAACCCTCCGTTTAGCGTTGGTTAAACATCAGACAGACCATAGTGAGAGAGGGAAACTGAGCTCTGTTTATTCACTCTGTCCACGCTTAAAGAACTTCTTTGTTTTGTGTGTCTGACCGAAGGTGAAGCTGAGATTTTGGTAAGAAAAACAGAGATTTTATAAGAACTCTGTGTGGACTGGACATGCAGAGTGATTAAATCAGGACAACTGGTAGTTAGGTCATCTTGTTTGTCAGGCTTCTGTTTATTTTTCCTTACTTCATTGCATTTTTATCTGGTAGCAATTTGGTGTTTTGTGGGTCTGGCGCCTTTTCGCAATTTCATATCTTTTTATTTGATCCCATTTTGCTTCCGTGTTGCAACCTTAAATAAATTGTTTATTTATTTAAATAAACAATTTATTTTTAAAAATAAATTGTTTAATTCCTGCAATAAGTAGTTTTACTATTTCTTCAGATCAGTTATCACTGTCTTCTTACTCGGACTTTGAATCTTCACCTTTTTTTTTTTTATGAGCAAACTCCGGTACGATTATTTTGTCCACTTCAACAATCAACTGCAGCTGCATTTCTATTGACTCTGTAAGGCCACAATTTAACATTTTCAAAATAAATTCCCTTAATTTGGCAATTAAAGGAAAATGAGTCACATGATCAACAATTGAATGCTACAACTGACGGAAAATAACAAAGAAGACAACAGGAAGCAGGATGAGGATCCCGGAGCGGAATGTTGCTCCGGGATCCTATCATGTTATCATGTGAACAAACTTATTCATATGTGTTTTTAATGCAATTAATACAATTTTTACATTCTGTTTTTTGACATTAGTGAGAAGTTCCCATGATGAGCTCAGCAGTTCCTCCAGGTGTTTGCTAATTGCTGCTGGCTAGTCTGAAGGAGCTTATTGGGGGAGGAGCTGCGTCTTCAAGATGTGGCTTGGTTGCCATGGAGATTAAGGGATTTACTAAACATGCACGAAAGAATCAAAGTAACACTGCAACTTGTTGATGATGACAGAAAAACAGTAAAACAGGGTGGAAAGATCAAAAAAGTCGATTTTACATGATACTGGCCCTTTAAGGCGTAGCTATGGAGACGAGGGTGTCTGGCTGGGGAACCTCTGGGTTTCACCTGTTCTGTTTGCAGATGATGTGGTTCTGTTGTCTAAGTCTGAAACCAGGTCTGTTTAGTTTCTGCCTCACATCTAGTCTTGGAAAAACATCTGGAGTCAGATTTTCGTCATGGAAACGATACTTGCAGGTAAACAGGAAGTGCAAACTTCATATTTCTTCGATAACTGTGAAGATGTGGATATAAAGAGGAAGTCTTTGGCGCTTTTAGAATATTGGCTTGTTGTTTGTTCAGATGATTTGTGTTCTTGACAGAAAGCTGATGCTCTCACCACAGCGATCGCTCCGACGTTTGATGAAAGTATCTCAGTTCAAACCGCAGCATTCAAACATGGCAGAGCCACATTGATCTGCTGCTTATTGCATGTTGATGGAGTCTTCCTCCACTAATGACCCCTGACTGAAAGACAAAATGTCTGCGGTGGTTTAGTTTCTGAGGAAACGCGACTCCGTCTCGTTGGTGGCAATAACGAATCTTAAGGACGTATCAAATAGAAAATTCCAGTTGTTATCTGCCAGTTTTATTGCTCTTATCTAGAGCTGCTCCTTGTAGTTCCTGCTGCTAAATGGTAATATAAAGATATGTACTTATGAAAAAAAAAACACACAGAGATTCTCCTGTTTCTGTGACTGCTCTTTATTCATTTTAACACTATGGAGAACAATGAGAACTGTTCATAGGGTAGAGAATTACCACTTTGTTCTTGAACCAATCAAAGACGTTTGATGATGCTGTAATTAAAAGAAGATCCGGATGTTGGCATTTAAAGCATCAGATAAAAAAAATTTCTTATCAAATGTTTTATTGAATCTCAAGTGCTTAAACCGACTGCAAGAAACTATTAGGGAGCGATAATCTTGTTGCATAACTGCGAACAGAGTAAAGCTAATATTTGTTTTATTCCATCGAGTTTATACCTGCCGTCAAAACTCGACTCCAGTGGACATCTGTCTGTTCACAGACTCTATTTACTCAACATTACTCACAGAAAATGTGACCATCTGTGTATAAATGCAGCTTGGGCAGATTCTACTAGACTCTGGTATTGAGCCAAAAATATCGATAATATTGACCATAACTAACCTTTCGTTTTTTTTTTTTTTTTTGCATTGTGGTTTCTTCCGCTGTACCTCAAAAATAATTTTGTTTTGATTTGCGTTCAAATTATGATCTTTGCTCTCTCTTTAGGAAAAAAATGCACACAAATTTGTTTCGTTTTTCAATGATAAGTGTTAACATGTCCTGAACATGTTAACATGTTGAGAACACACAAAGTTTATAGTTTATAGACACCTATAAACTTCGTCCAAATCCTTTTCTAAGACTTAAATAAGAAACAAATAAAACCACAAACAAGCAGCAGGGTGAGAAGTTTGCTGATTAAATCAGGGCTAAAAACCCAGAGTTGCTTTTCAGCCATAATAAATGGAAAACTGACTAACATTGTGATGTTTATTTAAGATTTTGATGCTGGAACCTGTCCAAATGTGAGGCTTTTTTGACCAGTTTCTCTATTATCGACTCCATGATGTTTTTATAACTTTTTTATTTTTGTGTTTTTATGATTTAGAGCACTTTGAACTACATTGTTGCTCAAATGTTCTGTACAAATGGACTGTATTGATTGATATATGAGACTTGAATAACAGGATCTGGATTTTGACATATTAGGTTTGATCAATTAATTTTCTAGATTTTGACGCATTCAAAATTTTAAAGCATTAGTTGCCATTTCTGACCAGGAACCTTTATATTTCTGTTTCTGGTATACCCGTAAAGCTGTCGCACAGGGTTTGATTCAGCTGGTTTAGCTGGTAATATTTAGCTTTGAGTTTGTTTTGGTGTTGAGCAGAAAGCAGCTGTCACATATTGGATCATGTAATATCAGGAAGGAGTTTCTACATATGAAACCAGTTAAAAAGGATACATCCTCTCCATCATTGTTTTCTCATGGATTTCATCCAGAGCCGGCCCAAGCAGCATGCGAACTGAGCAGCTCCTCAGGGCCCTGACTCCACCACAGGGTCCCTAAGAGGAATTTTATGCACATTCTACACTTTCTGCTCCGCACAAAGCAACAAAAGATATAAAACTGGACTTTTTCTAAAAATTCAGTTACATTAATTTTAAACATGTCACACTCAAATGCCACTCTGCATTTTAAAATTCCAATTAATTGGAGCATTTTTGCTTGTTTGCTACTCCTGCAAGTTAAAATCAACAACCATAATAACACCGTTATGATGTACACTGCAAAACACACAACCTTAACCCGATTTCATCACAAACAGTTACCATGAATGGATTGGATTCAGGAAAAAGAATGATAAATAGAATATCAGACATCTCTAGTTCTGCTTCATATATTTTCCTTTAATCATTACCACCCCTTCTGTTGTGGCAGCAAATCCAACTCCCATCAGTCCTGCTGAGATTTACAGTTAAAAGTCAAATCTTCATGGTTATAGACAACTTGCACTGCCCCCTTGTGGTTACAAAGAGAACTACTACATGTTTACAATAGAATAGAAATGTGCTTTATTGTTTCAAATGCAACAGCAGCAAAGGTGACAGGAAATCAAAGCATGTGAATTCAGACAAAGATAGGAATATTAAAATATACAAAAACGTAATAAACATTACACATTGAACAGCAAGGGCAAAAATTCAGCATAAATACTGTTTATAAAATAAAGACTTCCAATCTAATGGAATATGCAACTTAAAAAGTTAATTCAAAAAATTACAAAGTGTGCATAAGAGATGTTCAGAAATCAGCATTAATGATATTTAAAATATGTAAAAGCCAGGAAGTGTACATTCTATATTTATTTATTTATGAACTGTTACAAATATATTGAAATACCAGTATTTAATAAATTACTGAAGAGTAAACAAGTAACTGGTAAAAAGGTTCCCAGAGTTCTGAGTAAATGACCTGACCGTGTGACTTAATATTTAAAAATAAAGTAAACAGACATAAATGGATGCAAATGTAGTTGCAAGTTGTCGAATTAAAAACGAATACAAGTAACATCATCATTACAAAGGAGTGATTTTAAGCAGAAGAAAACACTTTTCCAAATCAGTCCATCCATCCACTGAATGTCAAGGGGAACATTTCACGCGTTAACAGCGCAGCTCTTCAAAGTAAACGCATTTCCGGCCGTGCTTTTATTGTGTTCGTCTCCTGAGCGGAAGTGGAGCGTAAGCGTTAGATAAGGAGCTCAGCATCGACTCCGCTGCTGCTGCTGCGCTTCTCTTCACTGTGACTGTGCGGAGATGTTAGACCGTTCTCGGTGAAAAAGCACCGAAGCTCTGCCCCGTGGAAATGCCTCACCGCCGCAGGCTGTAACCGAGCGGGATTCGCGGACAGCCGAGCGGGGCAGAGAAGGCCAGGTCTCCGGGACAGGTTGGGAGGAAAACACCGGCAGGATGTGGCAAGTTTTAGCATGCGGGGCTGTAGTTTTCCCCGGTCTTTTCTTCGTCTTCAGGAAGATTCTGCCCGCCGTGTTCAAACACTGGACCGATGCCGACGTGGTTCTGGTCAGCGAGAGGTAACGTGACTCGGTTCGGTTCGGCTGTTTTCGGAACGTCTTGGCTGATTATCGGGGTTTAAGCTAGTAACGGTCGCTCTCATCCAGTTAGCTGCCTGCGCTGCTGCACTTTCTTCCCCCGGCAGAGGAAATGTTCCTGAAACGGGGATATTTCATCCTGCCGCGGGGTTTTCCTGCTCCTGTCGGGGTTTAGTTAGCTTTTCGCTCACTGGACGCATTATTACATAAATGTCACCGCGCATCCAAACTATGGGTCCCTGCAGGGAAAAAAGCAAAGTGTGAGAAACGTCTCCGTTCTGGGTTTACATGGGAATGTTGATGGGATTAGGTCACATGTAGACTGGGATTAGTCTCCTGCAGACTGGGATTACACTCCAACATTTTATGGACTAACAAATTGGGCTGGGAAATATATCTGTAAACTTATTTGTCCCGTCATATACTCAGTTATCCTTCCTTCCATCTGGTCTTTTTTTCCTTCCTTCCTCCTTTCCTTTTCTTCCTTTTTTCTACCATTTTCCCTTACTTGTTTCCTTCCTTGCCCCTATTTATTTTCTTGTTTTATAAATCCTTATTTTCTGCCATTTTTTTTTCCTGTTTCTGCATCCTTTCGTTCTTAGCCGCCTACCTTTTTAAACTCCATTTTTCTGTCATCTTTTTTAAGTCCTTGTTTCTGTTTTTCTTTCCCAACATTCCCTGCTTGTTTCTACCCCTTTGCATTCTCTGTTTCCTGCCTTCTTTCCTTGTTTACTAAACCGTTTCCTTCCTTGCTGCCTTCATAATTTCCTTTCCTGTGTCCTCCCTCTCTCACACAGTTTTGTCAGGTCAGAGGTTAGACCTCGCTCCCCAATCATGCCACCCACAGGAAGTATGACATCATACCCCAGTGGGTCACTCTTCACCTCCAGACTGGAAACCAGCAGGATTTTCTAACTGCTGCTGAGTTCTCACTATCTAACCATAATCCTCACCAACCAAAACAACGGCCACATTGAAAATGTTTCCATCAGCAGTTCCAACGTGTTCAGTGTAATTATTAACTTTAGTCTTCATAATTTAGCTCATGTATCGATTCAGTTGATCACAAGGAGCTCTGAAAATGTAAGGTGATACAGGACGACAGCAGACAGATCGATCAATAGGGAGTAAAACCGATGTTTGAGGCCATCTTGATGCTGATGGTGAAGGGATAAGGTTGGTCATGTTGTTTGGTCATATGATCAGGATGAACCAATAAATTGGTCGGCCGATATATCTGGACCGATTTCCTTAAATTTGGGAGATCGGAGCTTGTTGGTCTGGCGACGTCGTTGTCCTGTGGCGTCTTCGTGTGAAAAGTCGCTATATTTAGCAACTTTCCAGAAAATAAAAGTCCATATCGGCCAAAATCGGAAAGTCAGACTTTTTAGAGGTTTGTGATCAGCCAGAAAACTGCAGTTGGTTCTCGCCTCCTATTGTTCCATCTTAGCGCTGTGGTTTCGTTTTTGTTTTTTATAACTTCTCCAGAATTTTTTCTAGTAATTATCAATTAGTGTTTTGTTAATTTCTTGAATGTCACCAAACTGCTGTTTGTGATCTTTCCTGTTTTATCCTCAGTTTTCACATTGTTGTTTTTTTTAGCACTTATGAGTCGTGGTGGGGAAACCTGGAACCGCTGCTGTGCCAGTTACTCAGCAGGCTGTTGCTAGGTAACCAAAGAGTGGCTATTGTCTTTCCTCTTTCTTCGTCTCCCAGAATGCCGTGCGGTTTTGGATCGGACTTCAGTGAATATTCTCGAATATTTTATCAGATGAATTTCTGTTGATATTGATCACATGTCTATGGTGATGGATATTGTTGTTTTTGTTGTCCTGCGCTGGTGCAAACGAACAACTGCATTCGGCTTGGGTGCTTATGGTATCGTTTATTATGATAAATTTCTTATAAGCATTTAGATTTATTTTGGTCATAAATTCCAATTGACAATGTTTAAGACGTCCTAAACTGTCCGATGATCAGATTGATAATTTTACTTTTGGAAGCTCCACTAAATCTGAAAATACACTCACCACATGCAATTTAAATAACACTTCTTTACACATTACAGAGGATCATCTCTCTAACAGTTATTATCCAATTGTTAAGCTAATTTTAGCACAAGATTGTGATTAATTGATTAATTGCTTATTGTGACAGGTTAGTTGTTTATTTCTAGGGAGTTGAATTCGTCTTAAGGAGTTTCCTAAACGTAAACGGTTCCCTCCTCAGTGATGGCTGCTGTTTGTAGTGAGCCGGGTCAGCGGGACAGTCATTTCTGCTGCCAGTCCGGTTAATCCTGAACCCTGTTAGTGAGCAACGCTTCAGCTCATTTCCTAATGCTCAGCCAGCGGAGAGCCTGGCTGGAGCAGCATTCACGCCCCAGGGGAAGACGCCCTGTTCATCCGCCACAGAAACGACGTCTATTATTCCTCAGAGGAGAAATCCAGGAATCGTTTCTGATGTTTCCTCAATGTAGTTTAGCTTCAGATCATCAATACTGCTGACATCAGGCAAAAATAACCTGAGAAAATACAAGCGGCACTTTTCAAACATGCACAGCAGGTCTGATGTGAAAAAATGTGAAGAATTTACTGGTCCTTCAACATGAAGTACAATAGAAATATTCAGCAACAAAGAGTCACACATTCAAAGCAAATAGACTCACAGAAAGATAGCAAAATAAAATATGTAAAAGCAGAATACAGAGCAAAACACTGTACAGAAAGGTCAAAATTTAAAGATAAATATGGTGGTTCTAAAAACAATAAGTAGGTTAACTTAAAAATATGCATTGGTGGTGAGCATTTGTCTCATGACTTACCATTTATTATTATAAAGTTTATTATAAGGCTTATTTGTTACTGTCAATTAATAATGTTTAAAATCTTCCAAGTTTTGTCATTTTTTTAATTTTCGCCACTGTTTATGGAGAGTATCAGTATCATTAAGTTCAAAAATTAAAAACAGTTACAGTGTGCAGGTTAGGGATACACATCAAAAAGTTTTTTTTTTTAATTTAACAAGCTTCCAAAAGAAACGTTTTATAAATGGGAATGATTTCTAAGAGCAGAATTTGTATTTGTGAAGCTTTAATATCTGTGACCCGCAGTCACAGACGTCGTTGTCTAAAGAAGACGTAATAGGTGAAACTTATCACCACTTTTATCTGCGTTTATTCTGCGTTTTCATAATTAGGACTGACGTGATAAAATCCTCCCAGGACGATAAAGCGTCCCTGAAGTTATTATGATGAATAGATTATTGTTTTTAGACCATTTTCCAGTATTGTTATTGCTGAGAAGAACAACTGCGGCTCCATGGAGTTCATGAAGTTAATAAGTTTATGTGATAAGTTTGGCTCCGTCTTGTTTGGCGTGTAAACACACAGTGATGAGTTTGCCTGAGCGATGCAGAAGAAACTCCAGCCAGAGTCACATTACCAGCATTATGCAACCCGACTACTACAGCTGGGCTGGAGGCACGGCGGCCGGCTCCAGTTTCCGTCCCGACAGCCACGGTATCACCTTCTGTTAAAAGTGTCTTAATGGTTTCAATGTGACACCAACACAAAGCAGTGAAAAAGGAAAAATTATAACTTCTTTAAAAAAAAAAAAACTAAAACAAAGTTTGAAAAAAAAAAAAAACTGAAACAAAGTTTGAAAAAAAAAAAAATAAAATCTGAAAAAATGTTTTGAAGAAAACAAAATCTGAAAAAATATCTGGAAAAAAAAACTGAAACAAAATAAAACCCGAAAGAAAAATCCTAAAGAAATTGAAATATAGAAAATCTTAAAAAAATAAAAACTCACAATTATTTTGAAGAAAAAAAAATATTTCAAAAGTAGGTAACTGCATAAATTTCATGATTGCAAACATTCTGAATTATCCTCAAAACATTTTCAAAGTGAGTGTTTGAAAAACAAAAGTTTTTCAAACTTTTGTTTTTGAAGCATCCTTCACTTGCAGTGACATTGCAACAAATTTCCCACCATGTCGATTAGAATTAAAATGCTGACTCAGCAGATTGTCTTCACTCTGTGGTATTTCTGGAGGAAGTTTGTGGTTTTGTGAGCAACATCGATCTTTTTTGTTTTCCTTTGAAGACCTGGACATAAAACGAACTGGTTCAGATCACGATCCACTGAATCGATGAACCGTTTACAGTCGATCGCATTTACTCTCCTTCCATCAATCAAGAAGTGGTTCAACATAAACAAGATCATCAACATCATTTCCTGTTTTCTAAATGATTAACCGCTGCTCAGGCACTCAGCGACGCGGCAGCATCCATTTATCAGATGATGTGGTTCTAATGTGGAGAGAGACTTCCTGTTCCAGTCCTGGAGGATCAGAACCGGCTCCGGTACCGAGTGCCGGGGTCTGCCGGGCTGAGCAGCAGCAGCCTGTAGGAAGGAAACACTGAGGCCTAATGCAGCAGGAGCATAAAGCCAGGCATTTCTCCTTTTCCCTTCTCGCTCTGCTCACCCCACCGACCTCAGAGTTTCGTCAGCGGGGGGGTTACTGGCGGACACAATGAATGAACGGCAGACTGTGTGAAATCTGGGTCTTGTGACAAGGCGTGCAGCCACACAGTCAGAGCAGCAGGACTGGAGGGGGAAATGTTCCCTTCCTCCAGTCTGTGGTTTCAACCAACAACCAGCAACTTTTCAGGGTTTTCTTCTTTAAAATTACCAAAACTGAGCTGAAAACCCGTCTTCTTGGAAAACAACGTACTCTTTCACATTTGTTACAAACTTTGAACTTTAAGGAGGATTTCCCTCCTGATAGACCGGTAGACTTGGCATATTTGGGACCAAAACTTTATCAACTGCTCCATCTCCACCTGCTGTGGTTCTCCTCTCTGCTCTGAGTCAAACCAAACAAACCCTTTGAGCAACCTCCTGCACCAAGAACCACTGACATAAATGACACAAAAACCTTGGGAGAAGACACGGCACAACTTCCTTCATGAAATGGAAAACAAAAATGGGTGTTTGGAGTTTGGTGCCTCTGGTAAGGCACAGACCCACCAGTGAGTGTGAAACTTTGTAACTTCAGGACAAATGTATTTCCAGCTCCACCTGAGCTCTTTAACTGTTTTTCAGAAAAGCCAGAAACCACTTTAAGCGACAGTAAAGCCAGCATTCTGACTTTCACTGCTGTGTGACATCTGCATTCCTCTATATATGATTTATTTATTTTTTTTCCATTACAAGAATGAGTTCGTAATGTTATCAGAATGAGCCAGTGAAGTGGGCAAGATGGAGTTGCATCGTCGGCGGGACGGGGTCGCGTCGTCGTCGGGACGGGGTCGCGTCGGCGGCGGGACGGGGTCGTAACATTATGAGAACTCCAATTCAAAAAGTAACATAAAAGTCCACAACCTTTTTTTTTATTAAAATAACTTTTTCTCAGAATATAAAGATGTTTTTCTAGTAAAATTGTCTTTATTCTGCTGATATTACGACTGTTCTTGCAATAAAAATGTAGCTAATATTCCATTCCAAGACGCAGAAGGGATGTTTGAAGTAAAAACCACTTGTACAGTGTTTTCTATGATTCGTAGAAAAAACATTATGAAAGGAAAGTAAGGGGTAAAAAAAAGCTTTTCTCTAAATGTGAGATTTAGTTTTAAGCTGTACCAATAAAGCCTTTTCCCCTCATCAATGTGCGTTTGTTATGCACATCCATCAGAGGAAATCATTATTCAACAAAGTGTTGTGTAAACGGAGCTATTACAGCTCCAGAGCGGGGAGGGGGGATTAAATGAAATGTTTTCAGATTTTAAAGGAGCTTAGTGTCAGTGCTGCCAAGCTGGAGCGCCGCCAGCAGCAGAGCCGGTCCCAGCTGAAGCTCCCATTCACAACCTGGTGATGTAACCACAGGTCCTGCTCCGACACCACCCGCCTTCATCCTGCTGCTCTGTCCCTTCATCGCTGGCTTCCCAGAGGTCACAGAGCTGGCAAAGACGCAACCTCTCCTGGGTCACCGCTCTGGGCAAAGAGGGAGGAAACGGGCGACGCTAATACAACTATGCTATGCTACGTTATGCTACACTAAGAATGGCCTACAACATGACCTCTGTCCACTTTATGAAGCTTTACTTACACCAGAGTAGCAGATCATTCCCCATTGTATTTAAAATCTATGTGCTTGTGTGGAGGTTCCTCCATCTTTTCCTCAGTGTTTGTATTTATTTAAATGTTTTTACATTAATAATTTACCTTTTTCTCTGGTGGTGGGTTTTGTATTAGGTTGTTTACTAATTTGGGTGGACACATTTAGTAAACACCTGATGTGTATTTAGATCATTAACTCTTTTGTTGTTTTTGTTGAGTTTGAAGGACTGGCTGGGGGAAGATGATTGGTTTAAGGCAAACCAGGAAATGGAACAAACCATTAGAGGACTTGATGTGGAAAATTCTTCCTCTCTCTCTACCAATTGCATTACTGCTAAAACATTTATGGTGTTGGGTTATTTTGTCCTAATTCAAATCAAAAATGTTTTGATTTTAATTAGTTATTGATGTTTATGTATTGTTTGTTGTCTTCTTCCTCAGCTCTCTTCATTTGTGTATAAATTCCCCTGCGTGTTCATTGTGTGAAGTCAGTTTTTTTGGTTTGTTATGTTGAGTTAGGTATACCTTAGTTGGTTTCTTTTGGGCCCATTTTTCTTATTATTTTTTTTTAGATTTGTTGTAGAAAGCCTTTTAAGATTTTTTAAATAAATAGAAGTTATTTTTTTCATACATGAATTTGTCCTTGTTCCTTGGTGCTCGGACCATAACAGCTTGTTTCAGAATCATGCTGTAATCTGTAGAAAACTCCGAAATTTAACTCGCAGAAATGTGCAGAAACCCTGATTTCTGAAGATTTCCCAGAGTTTTAATGTTTGCACCATAAATGTGTAAAAACTTGTGACACCTGCAGCTCATCCGCCCTGCTGGACGCCAGAGCAGAACTTCCTGTTGGCTGATTCCTCCGTTATAAACGAACTAATTAATATTATAATATTAAACGCTGGTTATTTATTGACAGTTTACCAGCTGCTTGTTCAGACTTTGATCCGGAAAGCGTGAACCGTTAGAAATGTTCTGATGCACAGACGTTCCCTGGGGGCCATCTTTAATAACTATTATTAAAGCCAAAATTTATTTCAGGTGATGATGATGAACGGATGTCTTTCTTTGCAGACTGGTGTCCTCCATCCACGCTGTCATGGCAACAACAGCAGGGGTCATCGTGGTTTCCTCATGCAGCAACAACATCATTTATGACAGGTCAGATTTTATTGTTATAGTCCTTGTAGCTCAAATTCAATTTTCTTCCAGCATGTCTTAGTGGGAATGTTTGGAAGCATTACAAAGAGTAAATATCTTACATTCAGCACTTGGCTTTACTTTGGATAAACAGATGTTAATGAGCATAAGCTTTCTAGTCTTATTTCATCAGAACAATGGCTGTTTTACCTTTAATAGATAAACTTGAGTCTTTCTCTGTTTCCTTTTGTTTCTTTCTGCCTTGTAGTTCCATTATTCATCCTTTGTTTGTTTCTTAATGTCTTGTTTTAGTCATTTCTCTCGCTTTCTCAAGAAAGAACATATGGATGACTGAACATATTTAGATTTTATTAAAAAAAAGATAAAAATTATTGACACCCTTGCTTATAATGTGTGGATAATATATTAAGTGTCTCTAAAATCTGGTTTGGTTGTGGACAAGCTTTTTTGTTTTATATAAACCACACAGATGCATATCCATTCATGGTGAGGTATTATTGTGGTAACAAAATTATGATGAAAAATGATTTATTACACATTCTTAGGGCAACTGAAAATTCTGTGCCAGGTAGTTGCATAAAAACAAAGGATTACATTTTTTTAAAATCATAACTTACATTGTTTTCACAATGGCTCTATAAGATATCATGATGAAATTCCCAGTCCATATTTCACACCCTTAGTAGCCACCAATAGGAATAATTTGGTACAAACAAGATGGCCTCTTCATGGACCTGCTATTGACTGATGTGTGTGCTAGCGTAGCGCTGGCCTCTCTGTGGTTCAGGAAAGTGTGATATTAGGCTAATGCTAGCCCTTTAATCCCACTGAGTCAGCAGCCGGACCAAGCAGTCCCAGTTTCAGCCTGCTAATCCTCCCCCTCCAGATTAAATCCTCAGCGCTGCTCAGTTCAGTGACGCTCATTGAGCCTGGAGCTTATCAGACCCATGCTCCACACGATCGGCCAGAGTCGGAACCTGTCATTTGGTCGGGACGCTTCGCCTCATCTGCTGGACGTAATGAAAGAGGCCTCGTTAAATCTGACTTGGTTTATTTACCATTTTCCGGAACATCAACAACATCTGAGCTAGAACGCAGCCTGTGATTTATATAAGACGTCTTAAAGGGACACAGGGTTCCTGCACAGAATGGGAACATCTGGGGATTCACTTCAGTGTTTCCTGCTTTAGAGAAGCAGAATATAAGGACTCTGGGGGAAATATAAGTACTTCCAGACTTTATTGTCTATTCAGTTCACTAAATGCTGTCCTTCCATCTTTCCTACCTTGAACCATTGTTTGTCTTAACCTGCCCTGCTGTCTTGATGGCATCTTAAAGGCACGATTAGCATCAGAGGATTTTTCCAGCTCACTCAGTTTTCCATTCTGATCTCTTTGACCAGTTTCTGCTTTTAATCTTTTCCCCCCAAGTTTCAGAGCAAAAAAAAGGTCAAAGGTTGTCATTTTTATTCAGTTCTGTTGTCTTAATGAACCTCTACCTTACTCTTAACATGAACCTACCTGCTGATTCTGCTGGTTTTCCATCTGCTGACATAAGTCTCCTTTCTCCTCAGGCACTGGCTGGCCACCTATTTCGTCATTTGGTACGGCGTCCCCTACATGACATACGACATCTTCGCCATGTACCTCAGCCACTACTACCGCTACCACGTGAAGGGCCACGAGGACTACAAGCAGCACTCGCTGAGGACCGTCAACTCCTTCGTCCGGAGAGAGTTTCTGCTGGTGCTGCACCACATCGCGCTGCTCACCATCCTGCTGCCTATCACACTGGTATGGAGGGAAGGGGAGGGGAGAGGACAGGAAGGGGTCCTGAGACAGCAGTGATGAGGCCAGTAGTTCAAAGCCAACAATTAAAAAAGCTGGATGCAGGCAGGCAGCTCGGCTGGTGATAAATCTGCAGCTTGACGCATCAGGATTAGATGTTGCTGACACACAAGGAAGCACCTAGAGAGGAGAAAACGTCCAAACAGGCTCAGAAAGACAGAAAACGCCACAAACGCATGAATTCAAACTCATAAAACTCAAAGTTTCCAACATGAGTTTGTACATTTTGGTGATTCACATATTATTTTTTTTTTTTTTCTGGTACGTCCATAAATCTGACTCACAAGCTGCATGATCCGCTAACAGCAGTGATAGATGAAAGTGTCATTTTTTGAAATTCTATAGTTTTTGATTAAATTGGGATTAATTGGACCCTGAAATGAACTCAGTTAACATTTTAATGTACTCGTAATACTAATTACATGCAAATCTACGTAAACTTAGCATTATTATTGTAATAAGTTAGCTGTTAGCTCTCCTGAGGAGCACCAACAACTACAGATACTAACTTATATCTAGATGTCTGCGTGTCGCCAACTTAGCAAATTTGTTGTCATATTTATCAGACAATAAAATCTGAATCAGGTCTTTTTGAAACATCGACTGGTCGACGCTTGGCATCGGCCAATCAGGATGAAGGGAGATCATAGCTGATTGTTTTCTGTTATTGTAAAAAGCCGTCTATGAAAGTTCTCCTGATGTTTCCATGTAGGAGAGAGAAAGTTGTCCAATGAATGTGATCAGATGGTTAGAAAATCTGGTCAACAGTCCTGAGGTTGATGATTACTTCTGATGAGTAAAAATCATGTGATTTTTCCGTAGACCCGCCTGCCAGTAACCCATTAATGCGGGAGCTCTGATGCGTTGCAGTGGTTTCAAATCAATCCGCACACAAAGCTGCATTACCTCCTAATGATTGCTTAAGTGGCAGCAGAAAATAGACCCAGAACTCAATGTCATGGATTAGCTATGAAGTACCGATCAAACGCTGTGGGTCTGGCCGGCCCGGGTGGAAATAAGGCGGACGCGGCCTGAAACAAGGAAGCGACTAAAAATAGCAGGAACATCACTTTGAATGCAGACTTTAGATCTGATGGCAGAACGCATCCCTGCTTTTATTACTGCTCGCCTGTTTCTGTTCTGAGACATTCAGCTGAGATGAAAATTAAATTAACTGAGTCAGTTTGGTTTTTAGGCTGTCTGGTGCATTTTGATCCAACTCCAGTCCGTTTGATTAAAAAGTCTGGTCCGTTTGGGGAGATGTGAACGTGTAACTGAACTCTGCTGCAGACGAAAAGGAACTTCAAACCTCGGTCTGGGTTCAGTTGATGTGAACTCTAGTTTGGTTTGAATGCACATGAGAACGCCAAGAGGGCCGGAGACCGCCCCAAAAGCAGGAAGTGGACTACAGTGCAGGGCATTCTGGGTAAATGTAATTAAAACTAAAACAGCGCTAGCATGGGAAATGGCTCATGGTTTTTAGCTGAAGACTAAAGAAGTCCTCCAACCGCTAAAATCTGACCCCTCCATTTTAGTTTCCATTTTGTGAAGAAGGAAGTTGCACTCAGTGTCTTCTTCAGAGGTCGCTTGCGGTGCCCCTCAAGCGAGGAGGGGAACAGTTTGCTCAAAAGGTTTGGTTGGTTTGACTCGGAGCAGAGAGAAAGAGAACCGCAGCAGCTGGAGACAAACAGATGCTGCTGTTAAGTTTCATTTTTTGCTCTTCAGCAGACATTTCTCCAATCCAGTCAACTGTATAACCACACTGTCCTGCAGGTTGAACATTTGCTTAAATAAATGACCCGATATTATTCTGGTCACGTCTCTTTCCGTTAATGATTCAGTAATTGAATCATGTAACCATGACTGTTGGACCTGTTAGTTTTCTGTTTAGCTACTACACCTCGCAGTGAATTATTCATCATTCAGGAAGATCATCTCTACAAAACAGCGGCTAATATGGCCACTTGTCGCTTATAAAATCCATTTTTATGAATTTTATAAAGTAATTTAAGAGATCGATCAGAACTGGTTTTATGTTTATCCTGTCGGCCGGGCAGGTCGGTGGTCCAGGTGGAAACCAGGCCTTTGTTAGCAGTCTGCGCTCTCAGATCACATTACCCTACATTATTCAGCTGCAGTTGGCCTCTCCGTTCAAAATGCTCCTCCCCGTTCTTTGTTTCTACTCCTGTTCCCTCACTCATCAGCTTCATGCCAGTTTGGCCACAAAGTCCCACTCTGAGAGGAGGGGAACGTGCTGGGATGAATGGAAACCTCCCAGTATGGAGAACACCGAGCACACGTCCCGAAACTGAATACTGGAAAACATTTCAGAGGAACTGTAGCAATCAGACGGTCATTTATACGCTTATATTCATTTAGTTTAACTTATTTATTCTGCAAATAATAAACAACAAAAAACATGATGGCCTGTATGAGTTATAGTTGCTTATTTTACATAACATAAGATAAAAGACTCAGAAAAGACAGAAGAACTAAATGTATCATCTTTATTAGAACGTGTCTAAATTAAAAACAAAAATTAATTGAAGATTTTAAAAGGAAGCTGGTCCAAACCACTCTTGTCACGTGAAAAGGTAATCACCCCTTCATTGAATAATAAATCAACGCTAATTAATAGCAGCTTTTGGAAAATGAAGTTCAGTTTCTATCAGGATGTTCAGTCTTGACTGTCAGACCAGAAGAAATCTCTTTATTAGAACCAGATTGGCAGCATGAAGTAGGCTGAAAGGTTGCAAGAAGCACGGAGCCCTGCTTCCAGTTTGAAGTGACCCTTTCTCCTGGTTCCAGGTGTTTTATCAGCAGCTGATCCTCTGAGGTTGGTTTCCTGAACCTCATCTGCTTTCAAGTTGATGCTGAATACTTGTGGCAGAAAATTTGAATGATTCCCTGAGCAGATGGAGCATCTGATGGGAACCACAGATAATCTATTGTTACAAGCGGCTGTAGGCAAATCACAGGCTCTAATGTCTCAGGTGTAAAAAAATTTACACCCTAAACTGTTTCTGTTTTGCTTTGCTTTTTTCATCACATTTCAGCTTATTCTAAACAAAGAGAAAAGCTGCTACATTATGATTTTCATTTATTAAGAAGTAAAAGCTTTAAAGCAACCTGGTGCTAATGGGAATGTTAGCACACGCTACGCCGGTCTTCAGTAGAAACGACCTGCTTAAGGGAACATCAACATCCATCCATTTTTCTGTTCACCCTTGTCCCCAGTGAGGTCGGGAGGTGCTGGTGCCTATGTCCAGCTACATTCCGGGTGAGAGGCCAGGTCACCTGGACAGGTCGCCAGCCTGTTGCAGGGCAACACAGAAACAGACAAGACAAACAACCATGGACACACACACTTGCACCTAGGGAGAATTTAGAGAGACCAATCTACCTAAGAAGGATGTTCCACATTTTTAAACAGGCCACAGGTTTCAAGCAATATTGGGAAGAGAAAGGATCTCTGGTGACAAAAATCCTCAGATAGTGTAGTGCCGTATGACAAGGTATGAAAACATTAGATATGTAACAAAAACTGACACTTTATCGTACAGTGAAGAGATTAGTGATTGATCCAGAACACAGATGGGTTTGTACAGACAAAGGCATAATGAGGAAGATTTCTGTTAGACAAATTCATGGGATTAAGAGCAGCTGTTAAAATGCCCTTAAAAGCAGTAAATAGTTACTGGAAGCTGCTGGAGCTTCTGGAAGCTCCAGGTGGAGGATCCTCCAGAGGCTTGCTGTGCATGAATCTACTATTGGGCCCCTAACCAGAGCTCACAAGTAGTAACGGTTGCAGTGGGCCCAGCCAGACATGAAGATTAACTTTCAAACAGACTTGTTGACTGAGGACTGCTGTGCAACCCTGGATGGTCCAGATGGACGCAGTAATGGATCCCAACACGATTGTGATGTCAGCAAGGAGGTGGTGGAGTCATGCTTTGGGCCCAAATCATGGGGAGAGAATCATTGGTCGGCCCCTCCAGAGTCCCGAAGGTGTGAAAATGACCTCAGCAAAGTATATGGACTTTCTGACTGATCACTTTCTTTCATGGTTCAAAAAGAAGAGCTGCACCTTCAGTAGCAAAATCATCCTCATGCATATTGATGCTGCAAGGAATACCACTGTGTCATTGGCTGCTGTGGGCATAAAAGGGGAGAAACTCATGGTGTGGTCACCGTTTTCCTCTGACCTCTGACCCTATTGAGAACCTTTTGGTCCTCAAGCAGAAGATCTGATGGTGGAATGCAGTTCATATCAAAACTGCAGCTCTGGGAAGGTTTTCTGACATCCTGCCAAGAAATTCAAGCAGAAACTTTCCACAAACTCACAAGTTTAATGGATGCAAGAATTGTGCAGTGATATCAAAGAAAGAGTTCAATGTTTAGATGTTTTTGATTGAAATAGCTTTTGACTTTAGTACATGCGACCACTAAATGTTGCACAGTCAAAGAATGACCACTTTGCTGCTGACTGTTAATTTATTGCGACAAGTTTAGACAGGCCTCTGTGTTCTTCTGGGTCAGCAGAAGTTTCAGCCTTCAAACTCTACCATTTTTGTCTCTTTCTTATTGAATCGTGACCTTTGACCTGAACTAGGTCAGTGAGGCTTGCAGGGCTTCAGATTTTGTGCTGGATCTGTCGTTGATGAGAGATTCTGCTGGCTTGTTGTGTGGATTCTGGTTCTACTAAGGTTCTCTGGACTTCCAGAACCTTCCACATGGTTCTGTCATCAGATGGAGGTCACAGATTTTTGCTTCTGTTGTTGAATTTCTTTGGTTTGGGATGAAATATGTTGCTTTTCTGGATCTCTAGGCCTACTTCCGGCTGCCAGACAGGTTCTGATCCAGTGATTCCTTCGTTCTCCAGCTGAGGCAGTAATGAGACCCGGGTCTGGAATTGTCTGCTGGAATTGAATCCAATATTGAGGTTTAGTCCAATTATATAAGGTATAAATACTTTCCCATACTGGCCCAGGTTGGGTTGAGATTCTTTTTTCTCTTTTATTTAAATGAGTTAAAAACAGTTTTATTGTATATTCTCTTACTGTGATACATTTCTCAGTTCTGCCTCACCTGTCGCCAGGCGGATCAGCAGGAGCCTCTGGTGGTGGGTCCTCTGGTGACAGGTGGTGAAGCCTGGCCTGCAGGCTCATGGTTTATTGATCCAGCCCAGCTGCAGGCAGGCTTGCCTTTTGTTTTCAGGCTCTTTATCCACCTGGTCTGACTCACCTGTTCTGGGGGCGGTGTCCGTCACCACTGCTCAATATTTGAAGGCTTCATTCATTACTTATAACCAGGACGCCACACCATCCCACCCGCCTACAGCTGGCTCCGCTGCGGACGTGTTGTCGTTTTTGTGAAATTCAAAACAAATACAACATTGAATAAAACCTGATTACTATTATCATTATTATTATGTCTATTCATAGGTCGTAGTAAGGATGTCACTATATGTCATCACTATGTAAATTTTAGTATTATTCTATTATCATTATATAGCCAGGAAATGGTCTCAAAACAACTATTACTGTTTGCAGTAACGGAACAACTTATCGTCCAGCAAAATTTATTATTGTGACAATTTATTATATGTTTACATTTGATTAAATGTAAACATTGATCAGTAAATAATCAATATTTATTTACTAAATGGTGGTGAAAATACTAAAACTTAGCAGTTGAAACATTATAGACAGTTTTAGGGTGTTTTAAACATCATTAACTGGAATTTATTGTGACAACGATGAATCAAAATTCTTATGAATTTACTACGATAAATGATGAACGATATACAACAGCCGTGCACAAGTACCTGAGACTCAGTCTAAAAACACTTATTAAAATCAAATGGATTAATTCACAATAAAAAGCAATAAAAGTGAAAAGGTTCAAGGGGGTGTGACACTTTTTATCTCTCTAACATTCATATTTTTTATATTTTTATTTTTCACAGCAAAGTGGAACCCCAAAAGTAGCATGATGTTTGTATCTGACTGAAATGAAGTAAATGTTTGTTGTTTTTCCACAAGGAACTAGAAACTAAACCCAAATGGCAGCATTTCACTAAGATGTCAGCTAAAGAAATCTGATAGCTTTAACTGTTCCTCCATGAAAGAAAAGGCAGATCAGATGGTGATTATTGGTGAAGTTTGGTGGGAAACGGTTTTATTGTCTCTGTTTGTCTCAGTTCTTTAGGAAGGACCAGGGGGATTTCTTCATCGGCTGCTTGTTCCTGACAGAGCTCAGCACGCCCTTCGTCTCACTGGGGAAGATTCTCATCCAGGTGAGACGCATGCTAATGCTAACGCTAACAAAAACTCCTGTTTACTGGGAGGACAGCCAGCTACTGGTGGAAACGTAAAAAGGTTCAGAGGCGGGTTAGTATTTATTTGAAAAAGGTTTTTCTTCAGATGAATAGAACTGATTTTTTTTTTATTGGTCAATACATGAGTTATTGGTTGTGTTTGTTTATTAATGTGAGTATAAAGGTAAAAAGGAGTAATCTGGGATTTTAAAATCTATAATAATGATGTTGGAGCAGTTGGGAACTTGGAGAGTTTAAACTGATTGATGCTTCAGATATTTTCCAGACTCAAATTGAAAATTTGTCCTAAATATTAACAAATTATCAAACATTTAAAGTTTTATTTTGGAGCTGCTGACTTCCTGGTTTGCCCCTCCGACAGGAAGTGATGCAAGCTCTTCAGCTCTGGTCTTCTGCTGATGCTGGCCGATCGTTTCCCCTCAGGGCTTCTTGAGGAGCTGTGATTACTGCTGAGGGACAAATTATTCACCTCTAAATATGATTTATTCAGCTGCTGAAACTGAACCAGAAAAACAAAAGCAACAAGTTTTATTTTTAATCAGAACCGTGCAGCAGCGGTCCAGTCAAAGGTTCTGTCTGTTCATAGCAACAACAGGCCAACGAAAGCTTCAGCCTTCCTGGGAATCTGAATACTTACGCAGAACTTTAACAGAAAACTCAATAATATTGTTCATTTTGACATTAAATTAAATTTCTGTTTTTGTATTTGAAGATGTGTTTAGTCTGAAAATGTGTATGTAAACTTCTGGTTCCAGTTATATGTCAGAAAAACATCAGAACTCGGTCCAGTGAGAGGTTCTGATCTCTGTAAACCCAGTGAATCCTTTAGATCTCTGCTGACTTCTCGTGTCGGCAGGAGAAACTACGGTTCTGCTGCTCCAGTTGGATCAGAACCATCAGAATCAAGCAGATGTGTTTACTGGGTCGTTTGGTTCTGGTCAGATGACTTCCTGTTGTGTCTGGACCAGCAGGAAGTTCTCTCTTTTCGTTAGAACCATGAAGCTCATTTGGTTCCTCCAGGTCTGGAGGTTTAGCTAGAAGAAATATAAGAAAATTCAGAGACTTGAATTCGATCCAACCTTCCTCTAAGACGTTTTTCCTTCTGCTAAACTTTCTATTAGTACACTGAGATACACAGGGATCTGTCTTCTTCCTTTTTTTTCTTTATTGTTTTTTTTGTCTTGATTTCTTTTTCTTAATCTTTTCTTAATATTATTTATCCATTTTCTCATTCTTGATCTCTGTTTTGATTTCAGTCTTGATTTTCTGAATTTCCTTTTTCTTTGATGTATTTCTCTTGTTTTTTTCTTTGTTTTTGTTTAGATTTTTTTTGTTTTGATTTTCTATTTGTTCTTTCTTTCCCTTTATTTCTATCCTTTCATCCTTTCTCCTTTTTCTGTCTTTCCTGATCAAAATCTGTTTCTTTAAATCTGGACATCAGAGGCTGGAATGAATATTCCTCATAAACGATAAAAACTCGATGATTCATCTTTAATTCGGACCTCGGGGTTTGATGATGTCAGCTGTTTCCTTTAAAAGCATTGTTACATCCAGTGGTCCCAACCCGACGCGGCCCGGTTCTGACTAATAGAACCTATGACCGGGAAGACTCATTAAAACACTCCGACGTTCCCCACATGTTGACGCTCATTATCCAGATTTCCTCCTGCAGCTCTGATGGATGAAAACTCTCAGAACAACAGAGCAACCAATACCGACCCGACCCGGGTCATCAGCATGATAAAAAAGCTTCTGGTAACGAGTGGAAGGTTCTGATGCAGCGAGTCCAACATGAATTAAAGCAAAATGAATCTGAATTTATCTAAAAGTTTCTGTTTTCTAACAAATTACATTAACAGTGAAACTCCTCTACCTCTTTCTACCACATTTTATCCTTCCACTAAACTTTCTATTAGTAAACTTGTATAGACTGGGTTCCTAGGCAGTTTGGAAACATCTGGAGTTAGATAATGATGCGGCATCACTTCCTGTTTAAACCCAACTATTCAAAATCAAGCTTTGTGTTGTGTTTAAGGACCCAAAATGAAGTGGTACGATCAGGTCGTCTGCTGGTTGAATTTTAACGGCTTCCTCTTCCTTCTTCGCCCCTCCAGCTGAGCCTCCAGGAGTGCTGGCTGCATAAGGTCAATGGTGGCATGGTGCTGCTGACCTTCTTCATGTGCCGCATCGCCCTCTTCCCCTTCATGTACTGGATGTACGGCCGTCACTACGGCATCCCGCTGCACGCCGTTCCCTTCCACCTGCCGCTCGCCACCAACCTGGGTAACTGCTGCATCCTGGCGCCGCAGCTCTACTGGTTTGTGTTGCTGGTGAGGAAGGGCTACCGACTGTACCTGCGGAGCCGCGGGCCGCCGTCCACCAAGGAGGATTGATGCTGCGGCTGCGCTATCTGGACCCGTTACGGTACTGTAGTTAACCAGGACTGCCTGCTCTCTGTCGCTCCTCCTGGGCCTCCATACTCCAACTCCTCTGTAACAAAGCTGTTGCCTGAAGGACCTCTCACTCTTGTCTGATTTTACTGCACTCTGAAGAAAGGTCACATTCACCTCACTGGGAGCGGGAGGCAGAGCTTCCTGGGGACTTTCTCTGATCTTTCACTCCTGCTGCTGATGGAGAGGTTTGTTACGGCACTAGCTGCTAGCCGCTAGTGGTCGGTGGTTATGTTACAGCTCTGATGTCACGCCTCCTGGGAGCGCCTCATCCCCATTTAAATCTGTTACAAATCTGCATCGATATTCCAACTACACTGTTTATTTTTAAACTTTATCGGGGCGATTAAACGTTTCTGAAATTTCAGGGTGGCAGAAGTTTCAAGGGCTCATTTTTAGGATCTGATTTCATCGTTAAAATCGGAAACGAATTGGATCATCCAGGAGTTTTTTTTTTAATTTTATTTCATTTACTGCTGTGTGATTTTTCTAATGTGAATTTCCTTTTTCATTGCATAATCTCAGTTTAGGTTACACTGGAGGAGAGCGGAGTTAGGGCAGCTGGGAAGAGGCAGGATGATGGCTCAGGTTCTGATCCAGTAAGGCTAATGCTAGCTTCTCAGCTGGATTTATTGTCCAGAAACCCAGTTTATTAACAAAAAGAAACAATTCAGCATGCCACCTTAATTAGGACATCACAAAACTTCAACATTGATATTCCAGCACATTTATTTAGGTATTTTTTCCCCACTTTTTCCTTTTTCCAATTTTTTCGTTTCTTTTTTAAAAATTTTTCTTTTCTTTTTTTTTTTAATCCTGGCCTTTTTTTCTCTTTTAGTTCCCAACAATTTTATTAAAACCAGAAAAATGTAACACTAAAATATTCAAACCGGCCAAACAGGTGTACGGATGGGCTGACCAATGAGCTGTCAGGGGGCGGGGCTTGCGGTGTGGTTGTAGCAGAGGCTCAACCATTTAAACATCCAGACTTTGTTTTTCTGCACCACCTGAGTTCAAATCAGCAGTTTGAGGTTTTGTTTGAACCCCGTTGGGCCTTGGGCCCGGACATGTCGCCCTGCTAACGAGGCTGACATCAGGAGGTCAGAGGTCAGCCTCTCAGTGGGTCCATCAATTTGTGTGAACTTCTTTTATGAGTGGCTGCCTAAAGCACTTAACAGGAAGGACTGTATATGAAGATTTAAAGATTGAAATCATGTTTTATTTTAGCTTGAAGACAGTTTGCTAACTCAAAGTGAACCTGCTGAACATGAGAGGACCATTCCCTCATCCTGGTAGATATTTATCAGAAAGATAATCAACACTTATTGATTAGTTTTAGTTTGCTGTCTATATCATTAAAATATCTATAGAAAAGCTAATTATATTTCACATCTAGGGTTTGAAGTCATGAAGACTTTGTGTGTCAGATGATTTTATTGTTTCCTGTAACTTCTCTATGCAACAGAGGCCTCTGCAGCGCCGTAGTCAGCCATAATGAAGTCATCCTTTGACATAGCGATCCAACGCTAAGTTTCTAACGTCTGGTTCGTCAGATTTAAAGCTGTAGGGTCATTACTGAAAGCCGGATCAGAATTAATGCGTTCACACAGCAGGTCAAGATTCTAAACTCACATTTGTAATTTTTGCGTGGCCATTCCTGACACTAATTAAATACGACTGCAATCAGATTTCTGTGTGAGCGGTTTGACACCAAACTGAAGAAGAGCGTAGCTGTCTTCCAGCAGCATTCGGTCTACAGCAGCAAAGATGGCCGCCGCACTCTGGATGGGTTTTAAAGTTATTCAGAGCCGACAGTATGGCCACCAGATCAGAACCAAATCACATCAACTCATAAATAGAAAGACCAGCTCAGAGCCCTTAGTGGAGCATTGACTCCGGCTTCTGACCCGGTTCTGTTTGGACATGGAGTCAGACCAGGAGTGGTGGGGTTTGGCTGTGATGCGTTCGCTAACTCAGACTGATTTCATCACTTCGTTATTATCATTATCATTTTCAGCTGTTGTTTACATCCAGATTTGCTGCCTGGATTCTTCTGATCAAGTAAAATTCGGATAAAATGGGACACGACTGTTCAAACTGCAGACGTTTTGAAAATGACCAGATCCGATTTAGTTCCACGTCTGGAAGTGGAGCGGATCTGAACGGGGCCGTTCAGGCTGCTGTGACAAAGTCCGATTTGGGTCGTAGTCGCCTGCTGTGTGAACGTACGAGACACTACGGATAACAAGGTGGAGAAGATTCTGCGAAGAACCAACCAGTGAAGATTGGACCACTTTGACCAATTGGACCGATTGGTGGGAGGAATCGGTCCGGATGGATGAAGTGAGGCCTGTTGCTCGGCTCTGTTAACGGTCGGCTTCCTGGACCTAGAGCGGATGGAGTAGAGCGTCTCCATGCTGGGAAGTCTTTACTCTCTTAGGATGTCTTTCCACATCACAGTTCGGTAGATTCAGTTCTGTTGGAACCAAAACTTCACCATCTGATCCATCTCCAGCTGCTGTGGTTCTCTTGTTCTTGGTTGGTTGCTTGGAGATTGCAGCTAGCTTAAAGCTGCTGCTGCTGGAAGTTCCAACCTTCATCCATAGCCAGATGATTACCTGGTGCAGAACCGTGAAGCAGGCCTAACCAGATCTGAGTCCATCTTCAGTGATCCAGCATTTCTAACACTGGCCTCAGTGATTTAAGCTAGCAGAGCAAGTTGGGTTGTAGCAGAGCATGGGACTAAGCTGAGTCAGGAAGTGTTTGTTGTTGTCTGGATTACTGATGGGATCAATCAAAGTTCTGATTGCTTTGTGGTTTTATTTCCTCCACCCACAAACTAACAGAACTTGGACACCTCAGTGTTTCAGATCATCAAACCAGGTTTTATATCAGACAAAGAGAAACAAAGTAAGTGCAGCCAATTCATTAGGACCTGTCTGATAGCATGAAGTAGGCAAATCACATCCAATCTGAAGAAATTCGAGGAACAGACTATAAATAAGCATCCCTCAGTCTGGAAGGAGTTACAGAACCGTCTACAAGGTTCTGTAACTCAATAGGACTGGGATCCACTCATGGAGAACTGTCCCAGGAAAGGCTAAGGTACCAGAATGGCTCCAGAAAAACATCAGGGTTACTCATCCAGGAGGACCAAAAGAACCCACAACAAAATTTTTATGTCATATTGTCTGAAACCATAGCTTCTCCCTCAGTTAAGGTCAGAGGTCTCGACTGCACAATAAGTAAGAGAAACTGGGATAAAATGGCTTCCATGGGAGTGATCTAAGACCAGAACCACTGCTGACCCAAAACAGCACAAAGGCTCATCCTAATGTGATGGAATCAGGAGTTCTGCTCTTTGTCTGACTGTCAGTCAGGTTGTGATCTTAAACTGAAATATCTCAAAAACCAAAACGATGGTTTTGGAGTGGCCTAGTCAAAGACTTGGCGTAACACTTTAGCACACCCTCAAACAGGTTAATCCAGCTAGAAAACCCTCCAACGTCTGAATTAGATAATTTCAGTAAAGCGGCGAGGGTCAAAGTTCGTCCAGAGAGACTGAAGAACACCTGGTGGAACCAGCAGTATGAAGGTTTGGGGTGTGAAAACTTTCCCCAGCGGATCGGTCGGGTTCCCTTTGTCTCACATTAAGTCTGGTTTGGTGATCTGAAGTGTCTCTTTAATGTGCTAAAGCGTTCCTGCAGATCATTCCCTTCTCATTCGCTGAAGCCAATCAGGTTAGGGTCCTCTGCTGCCCCCTGCTGGCGGGACTCATTCCTCCAGCCGCATGATTTTCTCCATCCAGCTTCCATAAAACGCGCTGAAGAAAAGGAATATGTTGCTGCTTTATTAATACATATTCTGAGGTTTTAATAAACCAGATACCTCAAACATTAATTATTTCTTGTTTTGCTTTCAAGGTGAATCTTAACTTAAAGAAATGAATCAACCCATAAAAAAATCTGAGCCACACATCTTAAATCGAATACATGTAGCATTTTTATTTTAAAACATTTTAATATGTTTTTATTATTAATGTACTTGTGAACACAGTAAGCATATCTTTATTTGTATGGCAAGTCATTAGTATCAAAAGTAAATCATAAATAACAGGATAGGGCATTTTAACCAGTTCACCTCACCTTACCAACTATTTTTAAGACATCAAGCATTATTAATCTTTAACAGGAACATGTTTATTTATTATTCAGTACACTACTATAGTTTTCCGTTTTGTTTCATAACCTGTACTTATATTTTAGTGATTCTAAACTTGTAGTGGTCTGTTAAAATACCCTAAAGTCCAGGAGGAAAAAAAAACTTCTTGATAATAAAATATACACAAATGCCATTATGTCACTGTTGCTAAATAAAAATACCCCCAGCCCCTCAAAAACAAAGTTTGATTAGAACAACAGGGGTGTCCAAACCTTTTGTCACTGGAATCTAAAGTACTTACAGATCAAAAATTTAAAAAAGTAAATAGATTTTGTTTCTCGGTTTGTGGGAAATGAATATTTTATTCAATATATACATAAAAAAAACTTTAAAAGGATTTAATTATAAGAAAGGAATCTGGTTTCCAAATTATTTTGGCTCAATTGAACAAATTTATTCTCTGTTATAAAATCAGAATTTGGGTCACTTTATTTCAAAATTATTATGTTTAGCCTGATTTAATAAATTAAATAAAAGCTGGTTTAGGTGTAGGAAATTTGGCTTTTCTGGATAAATGTTCAACTCTTGATTTTAAAAACCTGGAAATTAAAAGACAAATAATTTGCATTGTACTGAACATTTTCCATTGTTAAAATATGTTTCTTTTACCTTTCAAAATTTTACCTTGATTAAAAATATAACATTGGACACCCCAATGCATTAACATGCAGATTATTTTTTATACCAACGGCTTGCCATATATCCATCTCATCAAAAGCTTTCAGTAATAATCCAGAACTTTTTTAGATCCATAAATTTCAGTCCTAAGTAAACCAAAGTGTCCCGTCTGTTTAACTTTATTTTTAGCATGTAGCCATAACAATACAGACTTATATTAAAGTTTTATATTATAAATTCTATTTATCATTTTTGAAAATGGAGTTAAGCTGCAAAAAAACATTCACCAGGATCTTCTAAATATTATTGGACGCAGTTTAGACTTGCAGGGCCACTTTATTAGGAACACCTATTTTATTATTCCCATTATTGCTGATCTACTGGGATTTTCACCGATAACCTCTTATCCTGTTGGTTTATCAGCCGACTTTTACCATAAAAGAAGACTTCTTTAGAAAACAAATGTGATTTTGATTTATTCAACCTGTTTAAAAGACAGCGATACAAATTGTCTGACAGTAGGCTGAATGTTTCTCTGCAAACAGGATATTTTGATTTTCACAATGTGAAAGGCTCTTCAAAGTTTTTTTTTATCTACAAATATTTAAGATTCCACTTTCTGTTAAAAAAAAAAAACATAAAATAAACTTTTTTTCCCCTCATTTAATCAAAACAAAATACTGTAATTTTTGAGGCTTTAGAATTTTGTTTTGACTTAACAATTTTGTAAATAAGTTTGGACACTGCTGTCCGACTGAATCTGTGTACCACAGCATGTAGGCGGTTCTGATGACGGGGTTTGTACCTGATAAAGTGGCCATGTACGCCTCTGTTTCTACCTAGTGGTTGAAACTGACAAAGTTTTATCCCCGACAATTGACCCATAGCATGTCGTTCCTGACCCGCCTTCAGTTATAGGTCAATAGCTCAACAGTCCAGTCCGGTTAGGGCGCAGTACTTCAATCAGTGGTCAGAAAAACCTTGCAGATTTGTCATCGTACTAAGAAGACGCTGAGCACAACTTCCTTCACCAAAAGGAAACGAAATGGAGACGTCAGATTTTAGTGGTGTAAGACCACGAGCCATTTTTCGCGCTAGGCTAGCATGTTTGTTTTGGTTGCATTTACCCAACCAAAACAAACCAAAATGCCCTGCCCTGTAATCCACTTCCTGCGTTTGGCGCGGTCTCCGGTCCACTTGGCATTCACATATGCTTCCAAACCGAACCAGAGTTCACTTCAACAGAACCCAGACCGAGGTTTGCAGGACCAGAATTCGATTAGCCTTCACACCTCACTAACAGGACCAGACCGAACAGGGCCGATGTGAATTCACTCCTTCTTACTCCCAACCTATGATTTTCTTCTTTGTTCTTGCATTCAGCCATTATCACTAAAGGTCAATTCACCGTTGACCAAGATGACGTTTCTGGTAATGGTTATAGTCAGGAGTTCGCATTTTAACATAAAGGTAAATTAGGATTGTTGATCTTCCTGTTGAATCTGAAATTCAAAGATATTGATTTTGGTTGTCAACTTAAACCCTTTAACAGATTTGGCAATCGAGCCATCTGCTAGAATGTTAGCATGCTAATCTTTGAGCACTTTTTTTCCCAACAACACATTGACCTCTGCTAGATGTTATTTTACTGCTGCGTCACATCAAGACCTTAATGAAGCCTTTGATATTGTTTCAGGCAGAGTGGATTTTAATTCATACATTCCTAATTATCCAACATAATCAGCATATGCTAATTTTCAGAACTGCTGAGTCACTTTAAGCTCAAAGCTGGCATGTCGACTAGCTAGCTGAGACTTCTTTGCTAACGGTTTCACAAAAGTTTGTTTCTGACAGAAAGACATAATAGAAATTATTTATTAACTTCAGTGTGTCTGAATAAACTTTAGAGTCAATAATCAACAGAATATGATGATGTAAACAGCCCCAAACTACATATTTGTGACCAAAATCTCAAAACAATTGATCCACTTTACAATAACGCTTCCCTTTATAAATGTATAAATTCGGTGAATAGCCAGGATACATTTATAAATCACCAATAAGAAGCTTTAAGACTATTTCTACTAATTCAGACAGAATAACTGTTTTTTTTTAAAATTGGTTTAAAAAGTAATTTAGTAGACTTTAACAATGGTACTCCTGTCTTGAAAGCAGTGAAATTCAATAAACTCAAATTTTTTTTTTGGCCGTTTTGTTACTACGGGCCTTCAAATTAAAAGCACTAGTAAGGTATTACTGGAACCGGTTTAAATTCTACGATCTTTAACTAAAGACCGACTTCTGTTGCTATTTTATAACAGTAAATTTAAGTCCAGAAAGTGGACTTAAATTTTCTAAAACATTCTTTTTCATTTTTCTTTTTTTTTTCATTTTCTAAAAGAATGAAAGTCAAGAGTAAGAGGAAATGTAGTAAAAATACTATATAAATAAAAATGAAGTCGTTTTGGTTTCTTTGGCCTTTAGACCAGGAGTTTCCTGATGCCAAACAAACCGTTTTTATTAGTTTTTTTGCTTTTAAGAAAATAAACTGCGTATCCAGAAACCAGGCGGTCATTTTCCTTCCTGAAGAACCAGAAGCTGATAGATGTAAAACCAGATGTTAGGAAGATGTTTTGTTTGCCAGAAAATAATAAAAGCTGATTTGAAAACTTGAATTAACCCTGTTTTTATGCCGTTCTGCATGGAGTTGTGGGTCATTTGCACTAAAATGTTGTTACAGGGAACAGAGAGAGGACACTGTGCTGGTCAGAGCATTTCAGCCTAAAGCTAACGGACAAAACATGCAGCTGGTTTAGATTAACACTAGGGGGCAGCAAATCACGCTGGTCCACCAGCTGCAGCATCTCATCTGGTTTTTAGTAGAACAAGAATGTTTTTAGTAAAAGTCATGCAGCAAAACATGAAGTTTTGTACTAAAATCCTGCTAAAACATTTATGTATAGAAAAGGAGGTAAACCCTGCAGGATTTTAGAAAGAAAAATTCAGGTGTTTAGTATAAAACATGCATTTTTTATGTGTACTGCAGCTTGGATTCAGCAATTGAATATAATTGAGTTTTGCAGTGATTTGACCAGAGTCATAAGGCTGGAAGAGGCCTTTCAGAGTTTGGATGGGACCACCATCTCGCATGTCGCCACTAGGGGTCAGCACTGACTCTGCTTGCTGGTTTTGCTTTTATTTTGTAAATTCAATCAGCTCCACACAGTGGGACGTGGAGACGAGGTTTATTCCTCACTTATTTATCAGATATTTACATTTTCAACACAAACTCAGCCAAATGAGAGTGTTTTAGGTTAATTAATGTGGATTATTTGAGGCATTTAAACGGATTCAGAGCATGAAAACATGGAACCCATCCCTTTCTGACAGCTGCCATATTTATTAAGCTAAAACATGTTCCTCACCTGTTGCTTTTGTGACAGTTTTTACATTTACCAGAGCGTTTAAATCTGAAGTTTGCGTTGGAGCGGCTGACGGTTTCAACCGTCAACCTCGACCGGATCGTCCAGTAAGAATTTCCCATTCCTCAAAGAAATCCTGCATGTGGCTCAATAAAAAATAAATATCAGAGTAAAACTTTTCCTAGGGCTGAAATTGATCTGTTGACTGAACCAAACTTGGTCTCCGGTGCCTTGTGAAATATTTGATATTTATATCTACAAAACCAAGTTTAAAGAGCTAAGTTGGCAGGCCGTGTTTCCAGGTTGTGGCTGTGTTTATGATATTCTTTATTTTAAATTAAAGTTTGCAGAAATGAGGCTCATTAAAGTCAACTTTTGTTTTTAACTCATAGATATCTGTTGTAAGGAGGTGAAAATCTATATTTTCTAGTCTTGCAGCTTTTAATTGGGCATTCGGATAATTTCTTTCTATTGCTTGAGGTTTAAATTTTGGTTTAATTTGCTGTGTCTGTTGATTAGTGCAGAGGTGTCCAAAGTGTGGCTGGTGGGCCGTTTGTGGCCCTCAGAATCGGTTTGTTTGGTCCAAAATTCAAAACTGATGTTTGTTTTTGTTTTAGGAAAAGTTTTGGATTTTAACCGAAGGAAGTAAAACACAAACCAACCATGCTTTTTGCTTTTATTTAAGTCTCAAACGTCCAGTGAATTTTACAGAAAATCAACCCAAAAATACGCAAGATAAAACTGAAATCAGTTACAACCTGACCTAAAATTTAGTTCAGTTTCAGGTTTTGTCATTTCCATTTGGTCAGGATTGACCCTGGAGTTCATCAGGGCGGACAGTTTGGACCCCTCTGCTTTAGTGTTTTAACGTTTGGAGTTCAGGCGTGACTCTGCTGTCCATATCACTCCGTTTTCCCAACCAATTTGAACGCAGCGCCTTCACAACCTTTAACACTTCCTGCCCCTTTTATTTTTGATAACTCTAATTTTTTCAAGCATATACAGAATCTATCTCAGACTTAATCCATCTGTTCCGGTTTTTTTGTAGCGTGACTTTTTTCGGGGAAACTTTTCCTACCTAAAATGTGACTCAGCTGTTTTCTGAGATGAAGCGGAGTTATGTAATGTAGCTTGTGAAATGAGAGCACCCCTTTAAAATCCAATAAATTTGATTTGATAGACTGTTTGCTGTCGGCTTCGTCTGTGCACTTTGTCCGACGTTTTCCAGAGTTTATATAGAAAAATGGCACCTATTCAATTATGTTTCTATAGGTTTACAGTGTCTAAAAATGACCTTGTAACGGAACCACAAACCTTGATGTCGTCAAAACTCAAATCATCCAAGTGTCTTCATTTAGTCTTTGAGGCCAGGAAGGAGCTCCAGCAGCAGTCAGTATTGCAACGAATCTGAAGAGGCCTGAAGACTGTTAGCATATTATGCTAATGAGTATGGGGGAAAAGGAAGGAAACAATGTTGGGTATGACGAAGTGAGCAAGGAAGGTAGAAGATGAAGGTGTTAAGGAAAGCACAAAATGAAGGATGGATGAAAGAACAGAGGGAATGAAAGAAGATGGGAAAAAAGTGAGAAATTAAACAGATTAGAGGAAGGATACAAGGAAGGAAGGCAAGACAGTTGAGAGCAGCGAGGGGGAAAGGAAAGACCTAAATCAGGAAACAAGGAAAGGAAGAATGGAGGTAGAGAACAAGGATGGCTTCTTCTGACCACATTCCAGATTTTTCCAGACTGGGACGGAAACCTGGAGGACGTCCAAAGAGACGATGGAAGAAGACATGATGGAGTTTTTAGTTGTTGTGAAAAATATTTCCTTTCAGAATAAAAGCTCTGGAATAAACAGACACATTTCCAGGTAACTTCAATCATCTACTGTGAAGGTCCAGAATGAAACTGATCCTCTCTCTCTCTCACACACACACACACACACACACACACCCTTCCACCCCCAGTTGAAGTGGCAGCTGAGGGACACACAAACATCTGAATAATCCCGGCTCCTCCTGCTCGTTTTATCTCTTCCCGCCCCCTTTATGTCCCAAAATACAGAGGCGAAGCGGCGGGGAAGGAGCTGCGCCTGCCGGACTCTGGGGAGGCTCACCTCTCTGCGGGACGGGATGTGCTCCATGGCGCTGGCCGGCTCCGCTTCTCCTTCCTGCAACAGCGAACGTCTGGAGGCAGCAGGATCGTCGGGCAGATAGAGGTTCAGTTTGAAGAGAAGCAGCAGGTCCGATGGAGGAGGACGCGGTGAGCCTGGCGCTGGCCGGGTTCAGGGCCACCCTGGACGCCGCCATCAGGGAGGTCCACGTGGACGTCAGCGCCTTCAAGCAGCAGGTGGAGCACCGGATGGACGAGCTGCGGGCGTCCAGCCGGCCACTGAGCGACGCCGTGGCCCGGCTGCAGGAGGAGAACCTGCAGCTGCGTGCCCGGCTGGACGCCCTGAGCCGCACTGTATGGGAGCTGGCCGGGGCCCGCGGCCCGGAGAACGGCCTCGATGAGGCCGGGCCGCCGGACTGGGCCGCACCAGAACCTGGCTGGGGCAGATCTGGACATGCTGAGACGCCCGGAACGGGCAGCGACAACCCGGGTCCGGCTCCCTGGAGAATGAAGAGACACACAGACACAAACGTAAGTTTTCGTCCTGCAGACAGAAACACACCAAGAATTCTGGTCCAGGTTCTGGTTGGGATAATATTGATTCCCGGTATCTGGAATCAATATTCCAGCCCGAGGGTGGAGCGATACCGTTGGTTCAGGTTTAATGTTTGGATTCTTTAAGACTTTATAGTTGGTGTTTTAAAATTTTTCGTCATGTTTTCCAATAACTCATGTTTACCTTGGGATATTTTCACGTTTTGTCAACTTTTAAAAGTTTTTAACAGCAAGTCAGTGATTTACTGTCCTTGTGCCCCAATCTCTGCCGCAAGAATATTATTTATTAATTTATTTATTAATTTGAAACTGGCATTATTTCAAATTAAATATTTAGTTGGCAAGCTTAATTTTTATCTCTAAACTCAACATCTAGCTACCTAAATATATTCTCTATCCTTATTTATTTCAGTATTTTTCTCCAAACTGAATATTTATCTCTGAGCCAATTATCTCAGAGCTAGCACAAAAGTGGACTATCAAAATAAAAGCTGTCTTGCTAACCTCCATTAACTCCTGCTGGTGAGGCTGATGCGTCACTCAGCAGATCTTAACCGTCTGTTGTCCTGGAAACCACTCATCTTGTGTTTCAAACTAAAATGTTATACAAGAAAAGAGGAAAAGAAACTTGACAGAGGTTCAGAGGACCCAGCTTTTATTTTGGTGGTCCACTTCTGATATTCATCTTGCTAAATAGCTCGCTAAATAAATATTTAGTTTGAAACTGTCTCATTTATAAATTGATAAAAAGTATGGGGAAGTTCTGACTTTCAAAGTTTTTTCTGACAGACTAAATAACCACATTATTGCTGATAATTGATGGCTCATTATTACTCCTTATGGTCCATTAACCGTCCCTAATGAAGGGCGTTACTGGAAGCGAAAATGAGTAAAATTCCAGTTTTTTGCTTTAAATGCTGATTTCGACCATCATAAGACCAGAACCTGCATCAATAAATGGGCCAAACGTTCTGACCGTACCGACCAATCAGAGCCCAATTCTCCCTTAAACACACCTTCAGTCCTGGATACACAGGTGCACTGATTGCTTGGGGCTAAATGCCTTGCTCAAGGGCAACTGGTAGCAAAAGGAAGCTGGAATCGAACCCTCAACTTTCCGACTCAACTGTTTCAGACAGACGGAGAAATTCAACCCAAATGTAAAAACCAGAATTTCTCCATCCATGCAGTAAAGCACAGCCCTGATTGGGTGCCGGTCTTTGACCTCTGACCCCAGTGGACCGCCTTTCAGTGGCTGAAATGATTTTCCTGCTATTGGTGAAATGTGATGGTTTGCAGCTGCAAACCAAAATAGCCCGAGTGAAGCCCGGTTCTGGGCCGCCTGCTGCTCGTGAGCCAGTTTTTTTTTTAACCCAGCGGGTCCTCCAAAGGGCGCGGATATTTTGGGGTTTGTGATTCGAGCTGCAGCAGGTCTGGATCTTCCTCTCTCTTATCTGAGGCACAAACTGTTCCCAGGCTCCCAGCTGGGGGTTCTGCAGGCACCTCGACCCGGATCGATGAGGAGCGATGAAGATTACACATTTGAAAACGGCAATCTGGGTTTCGACTAACGTCAAGGTGCCACCGTATGTCACGGCCAGACGTCACTCAGCGACTAGAACAAGCCCACCCCCCTAATCGCTCAGGAATGCAGCCTACGAGCCAAGTCGGGTCTCAAGTCTCCTGATGGAAAGTTGAAAAGCGTCTCCGTCGCTTCGACCCGTCAGCACACACACTTCAGAGAGGCGAGCAGCTGTCCTCTGGAAACACACACCCTGCCAACATTCCTCCCTGCTGAAGTCACCTGGTCTGTAATCAACCCCCCACAGACTGACGTCTGACCGATTAGCCCTCCGTCACACAGGGAGGCCTCCATACTGCCGCAGATCAGTCAATATTTCACCAATATTGACACAAAAAAAACTCAACCATCAATTCAAGATGGCGGCCGGTTTTTATTTACTTCCACACTTAATTTGGTAATACTTATCACAGATCAATACTTCTGCTGTACCAAAAAAAATTAGGAGTCTAAAAAAATGTTTATTTCCTTTAGTCTCTCTAAAAATATTTTTTCATCTCTAAATATTTAAGTTTCGCATTTATTTTTCAATTTCAATTTACTTTCTGTTCCCTAATCTTTTTAACTGTGAAAATAATTTTTCATCTTGAATTTTTTTAATTTGATGTTTTTTAGATAAGATTTTGGCCCTAATTTAGGTCCATAGCCTAACATATCAGATGAAAACAATCCGACTGAAGCTGAAAATCATTTTTTAGCTTCAGGCGAAACTGGGAAAGTAAAATTAATCTGGGTTTCTGTGCATCAGAAATGTAATATAACCTGTTCAGGGCTGCACAGTGGAACAGTTGGTAGCCATCTTGCCTTGCAGCAAGAAGGTCTTGGGTTTGATTCCCGAACTCAGGAATCAAACTTCATGCAAACTTCTGAATGAAGTTTTCATGTTCTCCCTGTGCATGGTGGGTTTGGACCCTGTGGCTTCCTCTCACAGTCCAAAACAGTCAGGTTCAATGAGTTCTCTAAGTTCTCCTTAGGGTGTGTGTGTGTATGTGTGTGTGTGTGTGTGTGTGTGTGTGTGTGTGTGTGTGTGTGTGTCTGTGTGTGTGTGCGTGTGTGTGTGTGTGTGTGTGTGTGTGTGTGTGTGTGTGTGTGTGTGTGTGTGTGTGTGTGGGTGGGTGGGTGGGTGGGTGGGTGGGTGGGTGGGTGGGTGTGTGTCCTGCCTGTCTCTGTGTTGCCCTGTGATGGACTGGTGACCTGTCCAGGCTGAAAGCTGGAGGTAGTTCACTTCCTGACCCCACTAGGGATTAGTAGGATGCAAGAAAATGGATGGATGGATTATCTGTTTATTAGAGGGTCTTTGGCCCCCAGTGGCCTCCATCCAGAGCCGCCCCTGGCGACTGCTGAGTGATTTCCAGAACCTTTGGATTTGAGCTGCTGACATCACGTCGATGCTTTTAGAGGTTAGTGATCCGGACCCGGCGGGTCGGCTGCAGGATTATCCGGGTCAGACAGCCAGACTCGGATTTCCAAAGACCAGCGATAATCTCCAGCCGACGATGGACTGACGCAAGAACCGTATCGCATGATGGCTGCAGCGTTGCATGCTAGGAAAGCGGCCTGGTGGGCTCGGCGTTCTGCCTGAAGTCCGAAAGGTCCATTTGGGTCTATATTGGGACAGACTGATAGGGCAGCAGAAACTCCTGGAATCTAAAATAGCTCCGGCTGTCAGAGAAAGAGCTGGTGGCCCAAATGCCCAGAACCGGGTTATGACTAATAATAATGGTCCAGAATTAGCTGGAACTCCACAGAGGTAGCATCACCTGGAAGGGAGGAACGCTGCATGTGAGCCGGAGTTCTGACTGGTTCTGACTGGACCTACTGGTTCTGACTTGGTGTCCTGGTTCTGACTGGATCCTATGATCTGGTCTTTATAAAGGCAAAAGGTTCTGTAAGATGATCTGGATCAGAACCAGTCCTCCCATCCATCTGCTCAGTTCATCTCTACATTGTTCTGAACTTTTATTTAAAAAAAAAGACCAAAACTGAAATAAAAATCTAACATTTCCAGTGAAATGTGAAAAATGTTGTAACCCTCAGCGTCATATGAGATTCCTGTCCGATACTCAGACTGTAAACAAATCAACAATGTGAGATTCCTGAGGAGAATGAGGTTACAATAAAAGATCTGCGTTTATCATGACTTCTGGTTTGTGTTGGGTTAACGCAAAGATATGGCTGACTATGAGATGTGTGCCTCGGTTTGTTTTTCCTGTCCAGGGCACGAACGCTAAAGGAGGCAGGAGTAACTGTGTAGAATCCGCGGCTGACCAGGAGAAAGAGACTGAAGCAGGTAGGACTCCTCTCCATGCAGAGCAGTCACCACGGTAACCGTCCCCACCGGGCTAAAGATGGCCGCTGAGCCACTAAAGGGCTATTCCATCTCGTTTACTGATGCTGTACCACTGTTGGAAACATGCAGCTCCTGGTTTTAACGTTACTCGTTCAAAAATTAACACCAATGTCTTAGTTTATTTAGCTTCAAAAAATAACATGGTGAAAATATGGTTTTGGAAAATAAAACGTTTTTATGATAGTTGATTAATTTCACAGTCACCTTGTAAAACTTGCTATACCAGGAAAATTCAACCTTGAACTGGATTGTTTTACGTAATGTACAGATTTTTATCAGTTCCAATTTCCGATTGTTTTTGTTTCTTTTGTGGCAAGGAACAAAAAGCCCTAAAATCACAACTCCTGGTTTCAGGGCTTTTTTGAGTATTAAAGTATCTCTCAGTGTAAAACGGTGCAGTAACAGTTTGAGCATGGTATGGTGTTTTAAAGAGTTGGTAAATGCAGCAGAATCCCTCTTTAGTGCCGAATGTCGACGTTCTTGTTTTCGCTCAGGCGTTGCGTCCGAAAGCTGCGACGAAGCCACGCCCCTTTCTCACCTGGCCTCAGAAGCCCTCAGCTCACCTGGTCAGTTCGTGTTTCTTCATCCTCCTGCTGCAGGTGAAGTACAGGAAGATAAACATCACTGTCAGTAAGGTCTGACTGGGACTGAAGAGAAAACCATCCACTCTGCTATGCAACAAAAACTTGTAAATAATTAATTAGATTAATCGAGATTAATTGATTATGGAAATAATCGTCAACTAATTTAGAAATCAATTAATCGTTAGGTGGAGTATACAGACAAAAAAAAAACGACCATTTTCTGAAGAAACACAGAGCAGGAAATAAAACTGGCTTTTCTTTCAATGGTGCATTTAGGTACTGTTGGATACCAAACCTTCTGTCCATTCTACAACGACTTTCCCAAATTCTAGAAAAAGCCAATAAAATGTAATTATTGTCAGAATTTTAACGTTATTCACCCCAAAAAGTGAAAAAATGAAACATATTTGTTTCTTTTATTGATTGTACTGGACTTTAAACCCAGAGTGACGGTTTCTTTTAGCTTTTTACTGAGAATTGGACCTGGAAACATGAGGAATATTAAACTGATTGGAGGCAGGTTAACTCTGTGTTTGTTACTGCAGACCAGGAAGAGTCGTGTCCGTTGACCAAACCGCATCTTCCTCTCACTGCAATGACAAAAACCAACTCAGACGCTCCAGTGAGCACGTCGTCTCCCACTGCTGCGGTCAAAACCAGCAAGAAATCCCAGTCCGAACCAGTGCAGTCCACTGTAATCAGCGGTGAGTGGAAACGTGGCTTCTGCCTTTCTGATGTAACGAAACCAAACCTTTGAAATCTGACGGCTCCTCTTTCAGACTCTTATGAGCCGCACCCCCACCTGCCTGTCACAGCCATGACCACCAAACCCGGCCTGGAGGGATTCCTCGGTGCCAAACCCATTTACTCTCCAGCTTCGGGCCGGAAAGCCGCGGCGGATCATTCATTTATCAGAGGTCGGCAACACGGCTCTGCAGGATCGAGATGACATGATCAGGATGTTTGATTCAGTCCTCCTGTTTCCTCCAAACTGTTTCAGTTTGTTAGCATCGACTTCTGGCTTCTGACAGAAGACACAACCACATTAGGGCTGCAACTGATAGATTATTATGATGATCAATAGATTATTCTGACGATTAATCAATTAGTCTCAAGATTAATTAAAAATTAATATATTTTTCTGACAATCGATTAATTTGATGAATAATTGGCAGAAAAATGCTGAATCCTCAGAATAAGGATAATTGACAATAATCTATTGTCAATTATTCTGACAATTGATTAATTGAATAGAAAAATCACATTCTGCTGATTTTTCATTTATGCCTCTTTATAGAATAGAAATACACTGAAAGATGCAAAGAAACAAATAGTTCAATCCTATTTTTTTAATGAGGAAATAAACATTTTATTGCCTAGTATAGTCGGGTTATTTTAGCTTCATCAAGGAAACGTCTGCAGCCAGAAATCATGTGAAAGGTGTTTGCCAGTGGATGGAAAGTGCTACGTTTCTAATTTATTTACACGAATAGCAGCATAAATGTATTATGGCAGAAATATTTCTCTTTGCTTCTGTCGCAATCTGGTAGAAAATGTCAGTCTGTTATGACTCTCCCATCTTTCAGAAACGCATCCAGTGACTTTCTAAAATCACAGCTACAGCTGATCACATCTGGAATACAACAAAATGGCCGACCAGCAGTAGAGCCTGAAGCTGTTTCTCTGTTTATAAATAAATCAGCTTTTGTTGAATGTGGATCTGCAGCCTGTGAAACACCAACACCGGGTCTTCTGAATTTATGCAGGCGCTCCAGTGATGGATCCAATCTCCCAGAATCCCCAGGATCAGTCCGAGGCTTTGTCCCATCTACCCATCGCTGCTGCCTCCAGAATCCCGTCAGACGTTTCCGCAGCGCCTAAATCTGATCAGACGGCTGCGTCTCGCCTCAATCCTACAGCGCAGGAAACGCCAGCGGCGCCGAAGCAAACGGATCATCCAGTCAGACGCGGTGCGGACAGTTTGTGCCTCCTAGTTCATGCAGGGACTTTGTTTTAAACCAAGTTTACATTTTTATTTTTAGACGTTAACGAACCCAAACACCACCTGCCGCTTTCCGCCATGACCAAGCCGAACACAGAGTCGGCCATTTCTGCTCCGTCTCAGTCTCTCTCAGCATCCCTGGACCTCACAGTGAAACCAGGGGATTATCCCTTTAAACGAGGCGAGTTTGGCTCCAGCCAGCAAAACATTTCAGGTGCATTTACTCCAATCCGCTCTAACAAAACTCCAGTCCGCTCTAACAAAACTCCAGTCCGCTCTAACAAAACTCCAGTCCGCTCTAACAAAACTCCAGTCCGCTCTAACAAAACTCCAGGACTGTCAGGTGTGAAAATCGCCTTCCTTCTCCGTTATCCTCTGATTGTTGGTTCTGTTTGATCTCTTCAGCGCCGATTCTGAAGACGCCCAGTCCCAGTTTAAAACGGAGCGTGAGTTTTCCTCAGCCTGCAGGTGCGACTGGCTTTGTGGACTTTCCTCCATTTCCTCTGGTCCTGCCTTCTGAGATTTTTAACTATTCCTCCACAGAAAAACTACTTCCCTCCAAATCCTTCATGAAGTCCGGACTCTCACCCAAACTGGACCCGTATGTTGTGACAGAACTTCGTCTTCTCTCACATCGCATAATTTATGACCGTAATCAGAATTTGTTTGTAAACCCTTCAGCAGGTCGAACAAGTCTGGAGGCATTGAGTTTAAACCAGAGTTGATGAAATCCCAAACCCTTCCGCGCTCCAACGGCGCCCAAGCCAAACGGGCCCTGTTTGAGCGGATGAACTCTGACCCCATAAAGTAAGTGAACCCAGATCAGATCCTTCAGTCCAGAAGCAGCTCCTGCTGCATAATCTGTTGCACGTCTTACCAAACAGGCCGAAGGACTCCAAGCCCAAACTGAAGCGCTCCCAGAGCTTCGGCGTGTCGAGCGCCAGCGGGATAAAGCAGATCCTTCTGGAGTGGTGTCGCTCCAAAACCATCGGCTACAAGGTCCGACTTCACCAACCCTGGCAGGTTTCCATCAGAGAGACGAATGAACGTCTTCCTGTTGTTTCTCTTCTAGAACATAGACATCCAGAACTTTTCCTCCAGCTGGAGCGACGGCATGGCTTTCTGCGCTCTGGTCCACTCTTTCTTCCCGTTGGAGTTCGACTACAACGCTCTGAATCCGGCGAACCGCAGACAGAACCTGCAGACAGCGTTCACTATAGCGGAGTAAGTCCAACGCAGCTCGAGCTAAAAAAGCTCTGGTGTTTATATGGTTCTCAAGCATGATGGGGTTGGTTGACTGTTAATCTTTGCAACTACGTCTCCAAACCATGTTGAGGCGCCATGATGGAGGAAGGAAGCGGCAGGAGCGTTCAGTTTCAGTCTGTCAGTGTTTTGAAGTGTAGTTTCTTCTCAGTCGGCGTCAGACCTCCCTCTCTGTGTTTCGTCCAGGCAGCAGGCGGACTGTCTGCGGCTGATCGAGGTGGACGACATGCTGGACATGGGGGACAAGCCGGACCCCATGTGTGTGTTCACCTACGTCCAGTCGCTCTACAACCACCTGAAGAAGTTTGAGTAGCTCTGGCTGCTTTCGCGCAGAGTGAGTGTGTTCACCAGCTGACTGAGTGTGTGTGTGTGTGTGTGTGTGTGTGTGTGTGTGTGTGTGTGTGTGTGTGTGTGTGTGTGTGTGTGTGTGTGTGTGTGTGTGTGTAGCGGGTCCAGCGATCTGAAGATGAATACCGGATGGGAGAGAGGACGTCGCCATCTGCTGGTGGAGCAAAGGAACAGTGCCCACCTGTTGTAGTTGAAATCAGTTGGTTAATTTAACGAACTCTGGTTTGAAGTTGGTTAACTTAACGAACTCTGGTTTGAAGTTGGTTAACTTAACGAACTCTGGTTTGAAGTTGGTTAACTTAACGAACTCTGGTTTGAAGTGTTTCACTGAGGCTGGAAAGTCAAGGTGGTTGCCATGGTTACCCACCAGTCTGGAAAAGGGTTGAGAATGAGAAGAGTTTTCCTGTTTCCCAATGTATAATTGTTGTTTCCTTCCTTCCTTCCTTCTTTGCATGCTTCTTTCCACCATTTCTTCCTTCTGTTTCCTTCCTTTCTTCCTTCTATCCTTCCCTTTGTTGTCTTTTTTCCTTCTTTGTGTACTTCACTCACTTCCTTCCTTCTTTCTTTTCTTCCTGTTTCCTTTGTCTCCTGTCGTTGTGTCCTCTCCTCCTTCTATCTCTCCTACCGTGTGTTTTTCCTTCCTGTTCCCTGCTGTAGAAATATCTGCCATAGATTAACTCTGAAGTTTCTTTATTTTATATTTTAGAAAGAAGGTTAAGAAATGGGAACTCTGGAAAAGTCTGGAACTTTTACATGGAAATGTGTAGCTGCCTGGGTTTTAATCTAATTAAAGTCTGTGTACTTTGAAAAGACATAAAATAAACAGAAAACACATAAAATCACACATAAAGTCTTTAGATTTATTTTCACTTTATAAACAGAAAAGGGAATAAACAATGGTGGGTGTGGTGAGAAGAAATTTGAGAGAATGTTTGAATAAACAACCAATAAATGAAGTGAGCAGATGGAGTCAGAGGGAACACATTAAAACTTTTTAAAAATCTGTTGTATATGGAAGCCCATTCCTGCCACAGAAGAAAAAATAAAAGCCCTTCATAACCGTGTCCTAAATGTGAAAATGATGACATGAGAATGAAAGTCATTTTCAGCCTTTAAAATAAGCGTTGCAAGTTTTAATGTAATATATTTTATTTATTTCATTTTTGTTTCACTGAAATTAAACATTTCTTTATCACGAAAAAGTGTATTAATGACTTCCACAAGACTTTTTTTTTTTTCTTTTTAGTGTCCCTAATCCTCTTCCACAGATAATGAAAACTTTAATATCAGTGTCTCCAAAAGTTGGAATATTAGAGTGAAACCACAATAAATTCTGATTATTTTTAGTTTTTATTCCGTTAAAGTGAAGCTTTAAAAGTCCCGGAGCTCAGTGTTTGTGCTGTTACTGTAAAGTTGGGAGCCGCGGGATTCCCATGTTTTGTCGGGGGCGTGAACGCACCGCTCCCCATTGACCGGGCATCCCTTTCCGGTATATGAGGTCAACTTTTCCCTCGATCCGCCATTTCAGTCCCGGAGTCTGCTGCCGCTCGGTAGTTTTGAGCGGTTCTGTGTTCTGGTCAGTGGAAACCGGCGGTTCTGTTCGGTTCCGACGAACTGAAAGCGCAGGAAGTCGAGGCTTTGCTGCGTTTGTTGGCCAGTGCCAGCGTCGGGAAACGGAAGTTTTATGAGTTACGGGGAAAACGGGGTTCTGTCCTGAAAGCTCGGACCGGACTCCGCCGCCATGGCCGGTCATTTTGACGCCGAGGACCGGGACAGCTGGTACTGGGGCCGCCTGAGCCGCCAGGACGCGGTGTCTCTGCTGCAGGGCCAGAAGCACGGAGTCTTCCTGGTCCGGGACTCGTCCTCCATCCCCGGGGACTATGTCCTCTCCGTGTCCGAGAACTCCAAAGTTTCCCACTACATTATCAACGACGTAAGCAACAGGACGAGGCCTGGGTCAGGTGAGGCTCGGTTCTGACTCATCAGGTGTTTTTTTGACGGCACAAAGTTAGTTTTAAGGTGAAGAATCTGGGAGCGATATGGCAGGCCATTTTAACATATAATCACATTGACGCTGCAGATTTCTTAAATTGGTTTATGACTGGACTCATGAGTGAATTAAGAAATCTCTAATTATATTGGTCTATACAAAGTACAGGTACAGGGTTCGTAATGTAACTGTGACTCTATGAAGGTCAGAATTATTAATGAAGTATTCCAAGACATCCAGAAAGAATTACTATTTTGAAAACATTTCAGATATCTCCAATTAAAACACATTTCAGATATCACCAATTAATTCTGACTGGTCAGAAAGTAAATTCAAGAAGTCTCACCTTTTCCAATTAAAGATATCTTAATTGTATATTTACACTGACAATAATTAGATTTGACTAGGACAAATCAATTGCAGAACTCTTGAAAGCAAATAATGACTAGAAAAATCAAAATTAGGGAAATCTGAAATTAAAATTTTGAACGATTCTTTGTAAGACATCTCCAAATGAATTAGTGATGCCTTTAATTAGCTTTTCAATTTGAGTTAACATTGTGACTAGTCAGAATGACATTACTGTTATCTTGAATTTGTATTCTGTCTGATAAAAAATTGAGAAAATTTTTTTTGAAGTCTTCATTTCCAGCCACAGCACCCTACTTTTCTAAAGGCGTTTTTAGCAGCGTTGTGTCTGTCGGAAGTGAAAGAACAATTTTTTTTTGCAGATTTCTGAAGCAATCTGCAAGTGCATGAAGTTTCTACTGTTTGGACAGCAACGTCGGTTTATACTCCCTTGTGTAAATCAGATCTCTGAAAATGTAATTTACGTTTGAGATCTTGAATTATAATCAGAAATGTGTGAAATGGCAAATCCGGTTAATTTAAGATATTAAATGTGATGCTGTAAAGATAAATGTAAATATTTCATTCTAGTCAGGATGTGGATGCAGATTTCTTAAACTACTGTTCCGGGTCGTCCAAATGCATTTTTACATTAAGGTAATTCCTGACATTCACACTGAACCGCTTTTATGTTAAAAAGGCTTGCCATAGGGAGGAATGGTTCTGTTGAAAGCTGCATGTTGTGACGTCACAACTGGGACATGACTGGGCAGATTGGTGTTTCAGGAATGTCTCCAGTCCGTCCCCTTCACGCTGCTTTTTCCCCGAATCCTGACTGCTGCACAAACCTTTCCTCAGGTGTTGCACAGTTCTGCCTGTGGCCCACCAGAACCTCCAGAGGTTTTGATTTAACCCACCAGAACCTCCAGAGGTTTTGATTTAACCCACCAGAACCTCCACAGGTTTGATTTAACCCATCAGAACCTCCAGAGGTTTTGATTTAACCCACCAGAACTTTCAGAGGTTTTGATTTAACCCACCAGAACCTCCACAGGTTTTGATTTAACCCACCAGAACCTCCAGAGGTTTTGATTTAACCCACCAGAACTTTCAGAGGTTTTGATTTAATCCTTCAGAACCTCCAAAGGTTTTGATTTAACCCATCAGAACCTCCAGAGGTTTTGATTTAACCCACCAGAACCTCCACAGGTTTTGATTTAACCCACCAGAACCTCCAGAGGTTTTGATTTAACCCACCAGAACCTCCACAGGTTTTGATTTAACCCACCAGAACCTCCAGAGGTTTTGATTTAATTTAGTTCTCAAACTTTCTCAAACATTCACTCTAATAAAACAACAAATACAACATAACATGTTAGATGATGTTTTGTTTCAGCCTGAAGAAAACCCAACGTGAATTACTACTTTATATCAAGTGCTAGCGATGCAGTGCAGCCCCAGATCTGTGTGCCGGTGCCACACGATGAATCACAACACTGTTTAAAAAACAGTAAAAGCTCTGCAAGTCGCCCGGAGACACTGAAACATATTCCCATAGATACAAAAGATACAACGTTTAACATGTTGTTTTGTTTCCAATCTTTAGCAACTTATCCATCATTATTTTTAAACATGTTATTTGGTACGCTGGCTGTACGGGTCACACTTTGAGCTCATGTCACAGCAAATAAATGATCGTTTACATGCAGTACTTTATGGACCAATGTTTGAGAAAGCCTGGCCTCAGCAGGAATTATTAGTTGATTAATTGTGTTCCTCTTACATTTGACTCTAGAGTTTCCTTTATAAAACTAGCACAGTGGTCGTGTCTTGGAGTTAAACATGTTTAAAATTGAGAGGAAATTTGAAAATACCCCTAATGTTTTATTGAAAGACATTAACCTAAATTCCAACAATAAAAATGGAGCAATTTTACAAAACTTAAAATAAATATCTGATGTCAAGTTGATTAATGTAGCTAAAGGTGTAGCTGAAGCCTGGTGGGCTGCCAGGCTGATCATCCCAGACTCAGGATTTATTCTGTGTCTGTGACATAAACCAGGAGTTCATTCATGTTTATTGATTGTTGATGTTGGCTGTCCGTTTGTCCAGGTGTGGAGCCCAATCGGTTCCAGATCGGGGAGGAGTCGTTCCCGGAGTTGCCTGCTTTGCTGGAGTTCTACAAGGTCCACTACCTGGACACCACTACGCTGTGCGAGCCGGTTGAAAGGTCCAGGAGCGCCCCCGCCCCGCCCGCCGCCTCCCAGCAGCCCAAGGAGCAGGAGTTTGTCCGGGCGGTCTTCAGCTTCCCCGGCAACGACGACGAGGACTTGCCATTCAAGGCGGGAGACGTGCTGCGCGTCCTGGATAAGCCCGAGGACCAGTGGTGGCGCGCCACCAGCCAGGACGGACGCGTCGGGATGATCCCGGTCCCCTACGTGGAGAAGTACCGGCCCGGCTCGCCCAGCGGCGGCGGAGGGGCCCCCCAGGGGAACCCGCAGGGCGACCCCGGCCTGTACGCCCAGCCCATGGTCAACGCCCAGCTGCCCAACCTGGAGGACGGCCCGGTGTACGCCCGCGCCCTGCAGAAGAGGGTCCCCAACGCCTACGACAAGACGGCGCTGGCCCTGGAGGTAGGAGACCTCTGTCCATATGTCCACACACTGTCTCCCTTCAGCAGCTGCACACAAGTCCATTCACTGGACGGTTCTGAACAGAGTCTTTAGAACTGGCCTCTATGGCAGGCTGTTATACCATAAAATCACATTACAATCCAGATAACTGAAATGACTTTATAAGCTAATTAGGATATCGCTGGCAATGTTCTGACCTGTATAAAGACTTCAGATTTACCATTTAATTGTCTGGAAGCTGTAATTCAAGTAAGACTTCTGATAACAATTACCTTAATAATTGATTAGTCTAACAACTAATCTGTAAAATAATCATTTTTTTTGTTTATGTTGATGAATGTTTGGGTAAGAAAATTGGCAAATTTAAGATTTTCTATTTTTCCAATTTTTCATGCTCCTTTACCACAAAATCAGCTTATATTGTAGATATCTGAAATTACTTTGACTAGACATATCAGTTAATGGAATGTATCTAATTATCTTTGTGCAGGAAGCCAAATTTGTGCAAATAGTTCAGCTCAATTATGATAAACAAAATGTAACATGTCTCATCAGAACTCATCTTTAGATATGTACTGCAATCTGCTGCACTAAATACTTCCTGTTAACTTGAGGACACAGCAGGAACTAAACATGAGAAAACCTTCAGGTTTCTAAGTGTTTTAAGTGAAACTGTGATTATAATGGAGTTTAATGTGTGACATCACAGCGCTGACTGGAGACCTTTATGGTGCTTGGAACAAAACTCTTTCAGTGATGAACAAACTAACATTGATGTCTGAACCAAAGACCCACAGTGTCGTCCTAAAGTCAGTCTATGGCAGGCGGTTTTAACATAAAATCAGTACAACTATCTGTCATCACAACCAAACTTCTTCAAAGTGTGGATCCAAGCTTTAGCTGTGGCTAGTTTATGCCACAGCTAAAACACCCCATGAATTAATGGTGGGTTTTTTATGATAGCCAATCAGGTCGATTGTTTTCACACACTGCAGATTTAAGCCTGATTGGTTTTTCATTTACACTTTTTCTGTCCTACCTGCAGCAGGACGAGCCTTCCTGTTAGCTGCTATTTTCCACTCACTTCTATTGAAAACACAGATTAATATTCTGCTTAAAGCAGCTTCTGAATACTGCATGACAAAAACACAAACTCTTACCAAGTATCTCTGTCTAGTTTGTAGTGCAAATAATTTGAAATAACTCAAAAACGAACTTATAAGTAACTTTTCAGCAAGAAATACGAGCTTGTTTTAATATTGAGGAATAAGTCCCAGTTCCACTGGCAGATTATTTCACTTGCATCAACACATTTTTTGAGGTTTATAAGCAAAATAATCTCCTAATAGAACTATAACTGTCTCATCAATAATGAGAAATGATTGATTTAAAACAAGCTCGTATTTCTTGCTGTAAAGTTGCTTGTAAATTGTTTGTCTTGCATCAAATGCAGTTGAAACTCGACCGAATTATGCAGTGTGTGAACCTATCGGGTTGGTTTGGTTGAGTCGTCCCTGGAAGCTGTGTGCGGTTCCGGTCCGACAGGCTGGTTTGGTTCTGTCTCCTCCAGGTGGGCGACATGGTGAAGGTGACGAAGATCAACGTGAACGGCCAGTGGGAGGGCGAGTGCAACGGGAAGCACGGCCACTTCCCCTTCACCCACGTCCGGCTGCTGGACGACAGCGAGAGCTGAGCAGAACCTGGCCGACCGGAAGCTCGCCCGCCGTCCGATCTGGATCGGGACCGGCCGGCAGGAGGCGAGTGGGCCGGCCTTCCTGTTGTTTTTGTGGTGGACAGGTTTGAGCCTGGGGTCAGACCGGGGTCACCTGTTTTCCCCTTTCATCCCAGTTTCAGCTGCTGAGTGGAAAACCAGCTGCATCTCGATTTATTTGAAAAAATGGTGGGTTTTTTATGATTTTAATATTTATTACCATGGTGCAGATAATTCTGGAGCTAAAGGCGATGTTTGTAAAATGAACATATTATTAATATTATGGGTGTCTTTTTATACTCTTGATTTTTTCTATTATTATTGTTTTTGGACCAAACATCTGCTCAGAAGCCTCCAGAAGTCAGGCTCTGGTTTTGTGCGGCCATCTTGAAACTAAATACTTTAGGTTTATGTTGAACATATTTCTGCTCTTTTTGACCACAGGATCATGGAAAAAATATAAAGGTTTCTATCAAACTAAATGTATCACATTTTAATTTAGTTTTCTGGTTTCTGTGGTGGAGGGGAACCTTCAGAGATTTCCCTGGTTTGTGATGAAACGGTGTGATACCTCAGTAAGAGGATCACCCCGTATCATGATGCCTCCACCGCCGTGCCTTGGTTCTGCTGGTCTCAGTCGGAGCAGATTGTCGTCTCGGTTTGAGTCAGGGTCACCCACAGTGAGACGGTTTCAAAATGTGAACTTTTTCCCCAGTTTTTGTTTATTTTCTCTAACTTCCTGTGAAGCGTGTTGACGTCCTGCTGACCTGAGGATGAAACTGTTCCAAAGCCAGAGGGCCAGTTTCAGGGTTTTTGTTTATCTATGCAAGCATTTAAAAAAACAAAACATCCACAAATTAACACAATTTAAATTCTTAAATTTTCAAGTCAGGTTTTTTTTTTAACAGTCATTCCTGTATTGTAGATTTGTAATAGTACAATAACCCGTAATATTCAAACAAACTGTTATTTTAATGTTTAATGCATTCTGGTGTTGATAGTACTTGTTAGTTGTTCTCTCCCTGACGCCGGATTAATCCCTGAACTCCTGATTTCACAGACGCAGCCACAGGGTTTCTCCATCTGCCTTAAAAACAGCCAATGAGTTTTGTTGGGAATATTTCTCCTGACCTCTCAGTTTTATATGAACAAATATATCCTGTTTTTATTGCGTTTTAAATATTAAAAACACCAACGCTGTATTGATCGATTTCTTCCCCTGTCTTGAGTTTACAGTCTTTTTCATTGAGTCTTTGAGCAAAATGTAAAAAGAGCTATTTTGTACACTACAATAGAACTGTGTTTTATTACAATGAAAATCACAGCCAGTCTGTAAAACACTGCATATACTGTATTAATAAATAAATATCTGAAATATTTCTGACTTGGTCGTCCATTCTTACGAGGCCTCCTGGAATCTTGCTTTATCAGAGACGGAAGAGTACAAAAATAATGCAATCAGGTAAAAGTACAATTACTTTGATCATATTTGACCCCTCAGCCCATCTACTTTCACATAGTTTAGTTACATACACAGTGGTGGCATTGAGCCTATCTATGTGGCTGGCACAGAGCATCCCGATCAGTTGCCTCAAAACAACCATACAGTTCTTCATGTCCCTGTGACTGTCATCTCACAGATTGTTTTATACTCATCTGAACAAATCCAAGATGAGAAAAACAAGATTGCTCGTCTTCTTCTTTTTTTTGGAAACGTACATTTGCATTAACAAAAAATATCTTCTCCGCAGCACCTGGATTACGCCTCTTTTTTTCCACAAGCACTGCTAATCCACCTCCTTTGCTTTTGCCATTCCTTTTTAAATCTCTTTGGTTAATGTCACAAAGCGATAGTGGAATAAACTCATCTGTAAGATGAACAATATAACACTGATTTCTAAAGGAATTGTTTTTTAAAATAAGTTCAGAATTAATTAAGCAAAGAAAGTCAAACCAGCCACGCAATTATAGAAAAAAACCCTCGCACTTTAACACATTTTTAACCTGTTTAGATAAATGTAGGGTAAATAAAATATTTGAGTGGATTTTGTAGCTTCGCGGGAGGCGTGGATGCTGCTGCCGCTGCGTGGATTTCCCGGATGGAGCTGCGGCGCCATCTTCACGCCTCTGCTCACCGGCGAGTCTTCGGCTCAGCGGAGCGACAGAGCTGTTGCTGATCCACCGCCAGGACTCTCCGAGCAGCCCGATTATCGTCCCCTATTTCCCCACCGGGACGCTGAACGCAGCCCTCCCCGCTACCGGAGCACCATGGCGGACAGAGAGAACCTGGTGTACCAAGCCAAACTGGCCGAGCAAGCGGAGAGATACGATGGTAAGGCTGCGGACACACAGATCATAACGGTCACTGCGGAGTGCTGCGGCCCCCGCTCCGCCGCCTGCCTGTCTCCCTGCGCAGCGCAGGGGGCTCGGAGCCGCAGGTACAGGCGCTCACATGAATCTGGGGGCTGAGAGGACACAAAATGGCGGAGGCTTTCTCTGCCTTATAAAGGGAAAATCTGCGCCTTGTGAAAACCGGTCCCAGTCCCAACAGAAAGCGGGGTCCGTTGGCGAGCGCGAGCCCCGGTTTGTGCTTCGCCAACCGGGGAACGTTTACGTTAATGCAGCTAAGCTAGCCTCCTGCTAGCGCTAGTTAGCTGCTAACTAGCTGGTTAGCCTTTCTTTACTGCTCAGTCCTCTAGCTCAAGCTTAAACCAGTTTACTTTCCACCAGTCGTGGCAATAAAGTATCGCTTAGTGTCTAAAATGCCGCAGTAGTTCATTTGAACGAATCATCCCCACCAAACTGATTTAAAACACATGACTAGCCCTTTAATTCAGGTGTTCATGTCCTCTACTGCAGGTGGAGATGAGGAACAGACATGCTAGCAAACATTTACAGAGCAATTCAGGCCCTAATCAAACTACTTCATCAGGATGAGAAATGAATTTACTGTCACTAGTAAGAAATGAAAACAGCTCCACTGTTTTAAAGCTAAACTTTCCTGATTCATGTGCGTCAGTTTGAATTAATACCAGTTAGATGTTGTGAATCAAAAATAAATGAAAAAATGCCTAATTTAAATTTTTAAACATTGCCCCTGAAGGAATGTGTTCATGAATAACCTTCCTTTTTTTAACTTTTATTAATAATTATCAGTTAATTGACCATTAGCTGATAATCATTCAGAAGTTCACATTTTACTGGATAATTACTGTAGAACAGCAACCAGCCGTATTCTGCAGGCAAACTAAAACATTTAGTTTGCATTGCTTTTCAAAGCGAGCGCTGGAGCTAGATCCAGTTTCAAGATGAAAACAGTCTATAGTTTTTCATTGAAACTAGACCTGCTTTTGTTTATGAAATTAACCAACTTTTTTTGTTTTGGGTTGGAGCAAAAAAAAAAAAAACTCTTCAAGTTTTATTGACGTTTTAAGAGAAACAAAAATACATCCTCTAAAGAGACTGGAGCAGCTCTTGTTCTTCTCGCTGAGCAGAGTTTATTTTTGCTCATCCTCATCAGCCTGACTTTCCGATTTTGATTTAGTCCAAATAATGAGACGAATGAACCAATTTATGAACTAACTAATAACTAATATACCAGTTAATACTCGGGCTTCTTTTTGCTGCTGTAAGTTATTTGACTTTTACGTTGTCTATTCTCGAGCTTTCTTGCAGCAGTGTGTGAAAACAGACGACTATTGAAAAAAACATTAACAATGTCTGACCTCATTTCCTGTCCTGGTGTCTAAATCATCCGTCCAGACTCTGAGGCGACGCGTTCTGGACGCTCCGCGCCTCTTTCTGTTCGATGCCAGTTCCCAGTGCTGGTTGGCATTTATTGTTTATCATTTTGTTGGAATCATTTTGATTTATTGTTGCCACAATGAATGTTTAACCCCCCAAAACCAGTCCTTGGTGTCACGATTGATAGTTGCATTATCAGTTAGCAGTGATGATGATGATGATGATGAGTTTGCAGTGAAGGGTCAGAGGTCAGTTCTGCTGCTGCTGCTGATCTTCTGGCGTTCAGAAACATAAACACTGATATCCATAACAGTAATAATAATAATACTCAACCCAAACAAAACATTTTCCCACAACGAGACGTTTTTATTTTGCACACTTTGCAGAGCAGCTGCAGCTGATTGGAGGACTGCTGTGTTCAGCAGCAGGTTCAGATCAGATACTGATGAAACGATCAATATCGACAGCTGAAGTGACTCATGGCTGCAGATGAATGTAACGGATATGGTTTGTAAAAGTGATCATGTTGCTTCAGTTTCCAGGAACTCCTGAGCATCGATCAGCTTCCTGCTGCCGGCGTGCCTCTGAGCAAGGCACTTGACGTCACATTACAGAAACGCATTCCATGTTAGGGCTCCAACTACGAATTAATCTAATAATCAATTATTCTGACAATTACTCAGCTAGCCCTTTATATGCAGACTTTATAATGAATATAATTTGTTATGTTTATTGATTATGAATATTAAAATGTCTTCCAGTCCCGGTGTTAAAGGTTCGTTAGAATTTAAATGTTTAATGGCGATAACGAAAAGGGGTTTCAAAGTGTTTGTTGTGATGTTGCGTCTCAGAAATGGTGGAGTCGATGAAGAAGGTGGCCAGCATGGACGTGGAGCTGACGGTGGAGGAGAGGAACCTTCTGTCCGTCGCCTACAAGAACGTGATCGGCGCGCGGCGAGCGTCCTGGAGGATCATCAGCAGCCTGGAGCAGAAGGAGGAGAACAAGGGCGGCGAGGACAAGCTGAAGATGATCCGGGAATACCGGAAAACGGTCGGCTCCGCTCCGCACCGCCCCGCCGGGAACGCCGGCTCACCCAGCCGGCCTGAAGCCGGTCTGACCAATCACAGTGTGTTTTACTGTCCAGGTGGAGAAAGAGCTGAAATCAATCTGCAACGACATCCTGGACGTTCTGGACAAACACCTCATCTTAGCAGCAACCACCGGAGAATCCAAGGTTTTCTACTACAAAATGTGCGTATACACACATACACACACACACACACACACACACACACACACACACACACACACTCACACACACATTTCCAAAAATGAAGTCTTCAGAAAACCAAAAACAGAAAACTTTAAGTTCACAATCATGTTTTCCCTCCGAGTCGGTTTCTGTTGGCGCCGCTGACCTGCTGTCTGTCCCGGTCCAGGAAGGGAGACTACCACCGGTACCTGGCGGAGTTCGCCACGGGCAACGACAGGAAGGAGGCGGCGGAGAACAGCCTGGTGGCGTACAAGGCGGCCAGTGACATCGCCATGATCGAACTTCCTCCAACGCACCCCATCCGCCTCGGCCTGGCACTCAACTTCTCTGTTTTCTACTATGAAATCCTGAACTCGCCGGACCGGGCCTGCAGGTACGCGGCCGGGCCGCAGGGCGGGACGGACCGGGCTCAGAGGTGTGACGTGGCGTAACCAGGTATTTTGGCTCCGGCAGGTTGGCGAAGGAAGCGTTCGACAACGCCATCGCGGAGCTGGACACGCTGAGCGAGGAAAGCTACAAAGACTCCACACTTATCATGCAGTTGCTACGGGACAACTTGACGCTATGGACCTCAGACGTTCAGGGAGACGGTGAGACGCCATGCTGTCCACAGTAGACTTCTCAATTCCCTCCTGAGTTCTTCCTTCCACTAACTCTTCATCTGTTCCTCATCCTCCTCAGACTGTTGAGGAGCCTCCTCTTCCTCCCCTCCTCTCCGTTAGAACAGTGTGTTTAGTAAGTCATTCCTCCACTCTGGCTCCACCCTCACTGCTGCCCCGCCCTCACCTCTGAGCTGCTTCCTGTTTCCTGACTACTTCCTGGGTTCAGAGGCCGTCTGTCCGTCCATCCATCCATCCATCCATCCATCCATCCATCCATCCATCCATCCATCCATCCATCCATCCATCCATCCATCCATCCATCCATCATCCATCATCCATCATCATCCATCCATCCATCATCCATCCATCCATCATCCATCCATCCATCCATCATCCATCCATCCATCATCCATCCATCATCCATCCATCCATCCATCATCCATCCATCCATCATCCATCCATCATCCATCCATCCATCATCATCCATCCATCATCCATCCATCCATCCATCCATCCATCATCCATCCATCATCCATCCATCATCCATCCATCCATCCATCATCCATCCATCCATCATCCATCCATCCATCATCCATCCATCCATCCATCCGTCATCCATCCATCCATCATCCATCCATCATCCATCCATCCATCCATCATCCATCCATCCATCCATCCATCCATGATCAATAACTGAACTTTTTTTGATCAGTGAAAATGGCTCATTGAGTTTAGATTCATTATTAATGATATTCATGACTGTGAGGTCACATGACCTCAATGCTTGACCCCTGTCACATGACCCCACAGGTCGCTCCTTCATCACTGCCTGTTTAAATCCAGTTGTCTTCCTTACACAGGTTGCTTTGTTGTCGTCATGGTAACCCCCCTAAGCTACCACTGTTTCTGTCTCATGTCTTTGCCCTCCTACTAACGTCACCAGCACTCTGTCAGCCCCTCCTAGCATGGAGCCACGCTGCCAGCGGCAGGTTAGCCTCTGAAGCTAACATGCTGCTTGTGTCACTGGAGCGCTTGATGTGAAGTTTTCCATCACTACTAACGGGGAAAATGTGTTTTCTTAAAGGGACAGTTCACTTATTTTTCAGATGCTCTGATCAGGAGCATCTTCAGTTTGTCATCAGCAAACACTCTGCTACATTATGGCTGTTTAATTATAAATGATGGTATACGTTAGCCTGGCTACCAGTATACTATACCTGTACTATGTGATCACTATATATGCTCTCCTATGTTAGTATGTGTCAGGGTATGTTAGCATATAGCATGTCTATCTGCATGTCCATTCCTATATTAGGAACATTTATACTAAATTAACATATGCTGTTAGCATGTACCTATACTATGTTATGCTAGGTTCCTGCTGTTGTAGGCATTATGATCTGTTTTGTTGCTCTGCTCCTCACTGAACTGTTAGCTTTAAAACTGAGGATGCTGAAAAAATATTCTGGTTTAATCAGAGCTTCACAAACCCTGACGTAATGTGACGGAGGAACATTTCCACCCAACTCTGGAACCACTCCAGCAGTTTGACGCGTTAGCCTCGCGAATCCTCGCTAATCACGCTCTCCCTCTTCATTTCAGGCGAAGAACAGAACAAAGAAGCGCCGCAAGACGCGGAGGAAGAAGCCCAGTGAGACTGAACAACTCAAGACAAACCCTCCTCTTCCTCTTCTCTCTCCATTTTTTCTTTCTCGTCCCAGAACCAGCTCTGGTTCCGGCCGGGTTCAGCCCACCATCTTCCTCTTACCCTGACATGCACGTCTCCTGTCTGTCCCCTGAGGGTCCTCCCCGGCCACTAGGGGGTGTCCTACCCTTCTTCTCTCTCCGTTAATCATCCTCTGCGACTTTTTTCTATTTTTATTTCGCTTTCTTTGCTGCATCATCTGTTGCCAAGTCCGCTCGCCTGTATTTGTACCACATCTGCAAGGCTTTATTTAAAGATGAAACTCGTTTTTGTTCCTGTGTGTGTTCATGATGCGCGTCGTCTCCATGCTGTCGGTTTGAAACTCTTCAGTCCTCATGATTAGAGACTCCAGCTGAGTCTTCAGGGTTCCCTCATCTCATCCTGTCTCTTCCTCCTCTTCTTCCTCCTCCTGTTGGGTATGTGTAACGTGAATCTGATTTGTACTACTGGATATTCTCACCGGAGCCACAAGTACCATCTGTATTCTTTCTGAAACGCAGCATGGAAAACATTAAACTTCAAACTGAAAACTTCAACCTGTGTCCTGTCTAGAACTCACCACTAGAGGGCAGTCACGTCTTTTCAAAGGCTTCAGTCTTCTGAAGTGTTAAAAATATATTAAAACAATTTCATTTATTTCTGTACTTATATTAAGAAATAAAAAAGACAAGTTGCAACGTATCACTATTGTTGGTTTTAGCTGTCAGGTCAACATAAGACGCTTGATCTTAAATGTATGCATCATATACAATAGAAAAAATGATGCAGTTCTTTGCTAATTGTCAGCACTGGGACAACTAAAGACAGAAGGAAAACTTTTTAATTAAATAGTGAGACAGAGGGAAAGTTATGCTAGCTTGACTTTGAACCTTTGCTGCATCATACATTAACCTGTAGATGTGCTGTGGAGTTCGGTGTGTTTCAGAGAAGTGTGCAAAGTGTTTTCAAAGTTAGCAGAAGCACAAAGCTAAAAATTTGGTCCACTTATTACTGGACCTCGTAGAAGCACAGTGAAAATTATGTGGAGAAATTTACTTGGAAGCTAACTATGCTGAGCTTGGGCTCTTTGGACGTACAGCGCTGACGTCACATCCGCGAAATGCGGCTTTCCTGTTTCCGCTTTGAGTTACCATTGAGTTACTAGAAAAGACAAAGTCTTATTAGATGCAAATAAACAACACAATGAACATTGTCTTAGTGTTCGTGTCCCCATCACTTAAAAAAATGACACCACATTTTAAGTTGAAATGATTTTTTTCCTTTACTTAAAAAAGATCAAAATAAAGACATACGATTAAATCAAAAGACGCCCATGTGACGCGTCCGGTCTGGAGACGGATGGCAGGACAGGAATGCAGACCTGGACCGGTGCAGCTGGTTTCTTCCCTTTTCGTAAACATGTATGAGGACGGGCCGGATGATGAAACGTCTAACAGCGCCTCTGGGCGTCTCGTGTCCTCCCGCAGACTGTCCGACTGGACGTCTCTTCTATAGCATGTTGAGCCTCCCAGAGGATCCACAGTGATTCAGCTAGGACTGGCCCGAATCCCAGTTCAACACACAACATAGTGGGAGAGATGGCGTCGTTCCATTGATGGCGGTAAAGTACTACCCTGATAGTACTGACTCAAGTCACTTTTTTTTTTTTTAAGTTCTCAGCATAAAAAAATAGATCAAAGAATGGGGAAAAAAAACTAAATAATCAGAGAGCAGGAAGTTGGTTCCTAGAGCCGCTCTCTGGATCTACATCTGCACAGTGAGGACTGTCACCGAACCGTCTGCTCCAGGACCACGATCCGGACCAAGCGCTCAACCACGCATGCGCTGAAGAAATACTCCCAGATTATTCCTAAAACATATATCAACAAAGTGTAATATAGTTGTTTGTATTCATAATGCTTACTTTTAAGATGAGCTATTTTCTAGACAATGAATAATAAATCTCATACAAGATTTGACTATGGTAAAAATAAAGGTCTTTTTTGTCCACCAGAGGGCTCCTTGACAGTAGCTACTAGCTAACAGTCCAGTGAGTCCCAAACATATTATTATTTTTTAATTAAACTAGAAGGTGTAACAGTTCCTGTGACAATACAGGGTGAATGTTGTAAGCTCAGTAGTTCTTGTGGAAATTACAGAAGCATTTGAAGTCAACTGCTGAAGGCCAAATAGAAGATTAAATTCAGGAGCGAAAACTTTCAGTGAATGCAAAAATCACAGCCAGAGGCTTTTGGAAAGTGATGCATTCAAAGCTAAACTGTAAGGTCACAGCAGTTTATAAGGTAAACTATGTAGACTATGACATTGGCCTACTGCAACATTCATTCCATGCAATGTAAAAAACAAAAAAACACCTAAAAGCTCAAATTAATTGAAAAGCTAAAGCTCGATGACATCCTAAAAATAGCATGTAGGCTATCACTAGCATGTTTACTTAGAATAACAGTGTGAAAAAAAACCCATAAACTAGCAGCATTTAGCTAAACTGCTAAACTTAGCCAAAATGTCACAAACTACAGCAGTCACACCAATTATTCACTCAAATTATAACACTGTTTATGAAAATACACCTTCTTATAACAAGTAGTATTGTAATTTATATAAATGTAAATGTTACACTTTGTTGAGCTACGTTTTAAGAAGAACCCGGAAATGTTTCTTCAGCGCATGCGTATTTCAGCTGACGGTTCAGACTGCGCTTCTAGAAGCGACGTTCCGTGACAAAGACTACGCGGGTCGGGCCTACAGGTGGAGCTAGTAACATTCATCCTGGAATATACTTCAGAAACTTTACTGCAACAGGTATCAGAGTATTTGGGCAGTGGATACCCTTCACATTGAGTTTGGATGCTCCTATATTAATAGAATAAACACAAAGTTCGTCCGGTCGTCGTCCGCTTCGTTACTGCGACGAATAAAATCTCCAGAGATGGTTTAGAAAAGACAGAGTCTTCACTACGGCGTCCGCTATGTACACGAGTTTAAAAAGCAAGCACAGCCGTGGGGATGAACAGCTGGAGTTCCTCCTCGGAATATACATATTTACTAATCTTCACAGTATCCTAGATTTGCTCATATATTCAGTATCGGTAAATTAAAATTTCCGCTTTTATGAAGAGAAATATCTGCGCATGTTCCCGTCGATATCTGTCCGAGAGCGGTCAGCTCACAAAACACCAACTAGCTTCAAGTCTGCAGTTTTTTGTTTTTTTTCTTTGATATTATTTTTTGTCCTCCGGTTGGAATTTAAAAGAAGTTCTGGTTCGTCCCCCGCGGCCTGGCAGCGACCCGCCGGCCCGGTGAGTCTGCCTCCTGGTGGTTCCGGTCGGTTGGTGTTGCATTAAGGCACTTGAGAGGTTTTTGGTTTTCAAGGAAGCTCGGAGGAGACCAGGGCCAGGCCGGAGCTCTGGCGGACGGGCGGCCCGGTGTGGACAGCCTTGGGGCAGTCAGGTGTCAGAACCCGGCCGTTCTCCCCGACGCTGCCGGTGATGGACAGCCGAGCCTTGTTCCTCATGGCTTCTGTGAAGGTCAGCTGCAGAGGACAGACACAAACAAGAGGCGTGTTTCACTCCGAGGTCCTGGTTCTGGACGTCTGGACAGACGGCTGCAGACTGGAGTTACAGGTCGACACCAAAGGAGAAGAATCAGGAATAGCCGAAAATCTGCCCTCTTATGGGTTTATTATCCACAAATGAATTTAAAGGTGACCTAGTATGCTTCTTTCAAGGGGATAGGATTCAAAACGTGATGATTGCATCTTTTGCACAAAATCATTCTTAGACAAGATTTTATTCTCTGCATTTTGAGCTGTTTTTGGGCCTCTGTCACTTTAAATCCAAATAAGCTGCTGCTGGCCATGCCCCCCCACTCAACTGTTCACACTCCTAGGTGAAAATGGCCACAAAAAGATGCACAATTATACAACTTTATGTCTTTGAAAAGCAGAAGTGGAGCCTCCTGCACGACCAACCAGAATGCAGGAAGTGGTTTCTGGTTGGTAAGTCAACAACAAAACACTTGTCTTTTACAGCAGTCATTGTTCAGCGCAGACAGCTATAAAACCAGTGGTGCTTGGGTTGTGAGGTAACGGGTGGAGCTCCACTGGAGTTATGTAACTTGTTGTGACTTGATCAGTCGGTTCATTTTCCAGGCAAGACAAACCATTACCTTATTGCCAAAAACCGGGTGGGTGTTTTTTATGTTGCTCTGGAGTGAAGCAACACTCCACTGGAGTTGTTTGGCAACAACACAGTTGTTTTTAGAAGCAGTTGAGACTCAAATTGTCACTTTCCTAAAATAATGGCCTCTATCTTTTTTTTTTGCCAAACATAATAAACGTAATTTTTAGTTGCCTAAAACATCTTTTGGAAAGAAAGAAGTGGTGATTTTTTTATATTTAACCAAGAAACTTAAAAACTCCAATCTGCAAAACCGATGAAAGCATGAGACGGACAGCAGCGCCTCCAAAGAGCCAGAGCTTCCTGTGAAGAGGTCTTCATCAGTCCAGGCATTTCTGTTTGGACTTAGGCTGCATCTCATGAAACCGATGACCTTTGACCCACTTAGATATCAAACTCAACAGATGAATCAATGGCGTTTCTGTCCAGATATCAAACAGCATCTTCAGGCACTAAATATACAGAGTTAGTTTCAAAGATGCTAATTCTTTAGCTGGATCCATAAGAATACCAAAGATGTTGCGTATTTGACCGATGGAGAATTTGAATCCTAATGGAGACGTATCGAGATCAGAGTCAGCGGAGATTTACCTTTACCTAACCTGTACATTAATTTGTCAGTCAGAAACTCAAAAAGTCAACCCACATTACCGTCTGGGTGTTTCAACAACAACCCTCTTCGATATACATGTCATTACTGAGTGACTGTTTTCAGCGTCACAAAACTACATTTTCCACACGCTTGGAGATGTCTGTGGATCTTTATGGCTGCAACAGAGTGAGAGAGAGCAAGACTTTCAGCAGATAAAAGCTGAGCAGATGACAGAACAGTGGCTGTTTTATGTATTTGGAGGATTCAACGTCTGTCATGGACCACGCTGGAACTGGTCAACTCAGGAGCTACATGTTCTAGGAAAAGTAGCCGCACTTGGTGTTATAAAATAGATTCTGTTCTACTGGAACCAAAACTTCCAAGCTTTGTTCCATCTCCAGCTGCTGTGGTTCTCTTTCTCTCTGCTCTGAGCCAAACCCTTTGAGCAACCTGTTCCCTTCCTCACCTTCCCTTCTTGGACGCTGCACCAAGAAACACCAAAGGAAACAAACAAAAACCTCCGAAGAAGATGCTGAGCGCAACTTCTGTCTTCACCAATTGCAAACAGAAATGAATGCGTCAGATTTCAGCAGTTGGAGGATTTCTCCATGAGCCATTTACCCAGAATGCCGTGCACTGTAGTCCACTTTTGTTTATTTGGTTAGATTACGTGTTCACATGAACCGATGAGGTGTGAATGTCCACATGAACTGGACTTTATAGGCAAACGAACTTACGTTGAATCAAACATATCAAATGGGGTCCTTGGTTCAGGTCTTTGCTAGATGTTTTGCTTTTTTAGATTTTCTCGGTTTGCTGGCACTTCTTACGTCCAAAACCCAATTCTAGTCACATTACAAGGTTCTGCTGGAAGATTTATCCAAAACAACCCAAGTCCAAAGAAAAACTTTGAAGATGCCCAGACATTCTGGAGTGCTAAAAGTCTGACTCCTTGGAGGGAAAACATGAAAGTGGTTCTGCTCAGTTCTGTAGACATTTATATGCAGCCACTTATCTCTGTATAAACCCATTTCCAACAGAATGACTTCACAGTGATAGGTGCAGGGAAGACAGGGAAGCTGACTGAGCAACGGTGAAGCTAATGAAGAGTTTATGCTGATGGGGGACACAACATTGGACAGATATAGACTGGGGACAGAGATCTGGAAGTCAACAACAGAAAAGGTAAAGTTCTTGGACTCGTCTGGAGGATTCTGTTCCTGACAATGAATTTGATAAATGTTGGGATCTTCTAGGGACAGACTTAAGACAGTGTCTCTTACCTGCGACCTTTAGAAGGACACAGATATTTTCCTATAGGACTTAAAGTTTGAAGACAACATAAAATGAACAAAAGCTCTACAATTTGATTTCCTCACAGCTGTAAATGTGAGACATTGATCCTCATTTATATGGTCTTTCCTCAAGCCTGAGAAAAAAAGCATTACCTCAGGGGTGACACTGGAAAATAAAGAAACCTATGTCCAGCAAGCTAAGAACTTATTGGTACTCCTGCTTGAATCCCTAAACCCATTGGCACCCCAGCAACCCATGTTAAATATGTTTAATTATTTTGAGGTGATCAGAGTGTTTAGGAGCTTCTAACAGCTGATGGACGTTCCCACTTCAGCTAGAGGACTACTAGTAAAATTACAGACAAAGAGATACCAGACCAAGCTAACCTGGAGGCTAACTCTGTAACCAGTTAGCCGATACCGGAGTTACTGGCTCTGGTTCCTTCATGAGCAAAGAAGAAAAATGTTCTCAGGATTCTGGTCACAAACAAACTAATTGGGATTAACATTAGCATGAAGGATCTCACATAGCATATGTTTTGCATAGTCTTACCAAGGTACCAGAATCAGTTCTCATTGTCACATTTACGTGACAAAAATTGCGTCATTTTGTTGATGATGTCTTTAGACCTCGTCACCCTCTACTCCTCTGCCTGGACATGTTAGGGGTAGATCCGCTTTGAGTACACCTCAATTACACGCTTGTGAAAACTGACCTTTGCATGGATGTGTCCAGCGAACGTCCATTTTGAGTACGCCTCAAGAAAAATTAATCTTTGCATGGACATATCTGGCAGATGACAATGTAAACGACGACTACCTTGACTACGCTTCAAGAACATGGTTGTAAAAATTGGCCTTGGTGAGCAGATGTCTGGCGGATGTCTGCTTCAACTAGACCTAAAGTACGCAGTTATAAAATTTGACCTTCCACTTGAGGTGTACTCAAAGCGGACGTCCGGTTCAGACGGACATCCGTTTTTACATTGGCTTGTCCAATGGATGTCTGCTTCGAGTGAAGAACGCCAGCCTATATGGGAGCCTAGCCAATAGCTAGACGAGCTTCTGCAGCATTCAACACTGAATTAAAGGTTGGATGGGGTGCCAATTGTGGAAGGTACTGTAGGTTAAAAAATACTCCTGCACAGTATCTACAGTGGTTTCTGTGCTGAGAATTAGCAATGCCTGTTTTCTTTTGGTGGGAAGACGGTTTCTGTGTGATGAATGAGGTCCAGTCTCTGTAGCCACACAAACTGCGAAGCATTAGAGACGACATAAAGTCTGGGGATGACTCATCACTTCCTGTCACACCCAAGGGAAGTTCAAACGCAGACCAGGACGTCACAGCAGCACAAAGTGAGCAGCTAAGACAGGGAGGTGGGAAGCGCTTTGCCACTGGTCACCACAGTCACTCAGCATGGCGAAGCGAGCACAGGGAGGCGAGCCGACAGGTTTCACTTACAGTCTCTGGCAGGGAGCTAGTGAAGGGAGAGCAAAGGGTTGGGTGATGCTTCTAAGAAAACCACAGCTACATCTTAGCCTCCCCGTCGCTGCCATAACCATTGAAAACCTCACTAAACTCGGCTAAGTTGCGGATGCTGCTGCTGTGCTTGGGGCTCTGGCTAGGCTCGGGACTATGGCGGGGGCTGCCGGAGTGGCAGGGGTAGCAGCGGCGGTGGGAGTGGTGGGAATGGGGGTGTTGGGACGGGGTTGGGGACGGGGACTGGGCCTCCACCTTCATTCTTTTGGCCTCGTTGCGTGACTTGTAGCAGAATTCGATGAGGGCCACCAGCATTGCCAAACCCAGGCCCCCGACGAGGATGTAGAAGACCCCCGCCACGTTGCTCAGGCTGAGGGCCTGGGACGACTTGTCCTGTTTCCAGTGAGGACAGGAAAAACCCAAATCAGGACAAATTGGTACAGAGAGGTCAAAACTTCAATACATATACATCAGACAGAATAAAATTAAGAAAAATCTTTTCATCATTCACTCACAAACACACCAAACTCATCAACCTGCAACCATTTTCACATTGACCTAAACTACATTGACTCAATACTAATGAATCTGTTGAAATTTAAAAAAAAGATTTTCTCACTTACCCCAGTTTACTAGAACTGAGTTTTTACTGTTTTTAGATACAGTGAAGCTTGGTCTGTAAACACTATAAAAAACACACATTCATATTGTTTTCCTGAAATTATAACATTAAGGGGGCAATATGTGTTTTTCAGGGTACAAAGTCCCGTATTGTAGCATAATTAAGTAATTTCCCTTTAATATTTTAAGTAAATAAATGTAACTTAAAAGAAATTTAACTTCCTTATTTAACGCTTTGAAATTGGGCCTCTGACTCTTTAAGAACCTTCTCCTCTAAAGCTCCATCTTCAGGAAGTCATTCCAACATGGCTCCTGTATTAACCCTTCAATGCCTTTTTTTTTAACCAGTGTTGCTGTGAAAAGTAGCTCCTATAAAGAGCTCAGCTGGTGTTTGCTAATTGCTGCGGCCAGTCTGAAGGAGCTGAGTGAGGGAGGAGCTTCGTCCCAGAGGTGGGGCTTGGTCCACCTCGGTGTTTTGCACAGCTGCCATGGAGCTCAAAGGGTTTATCAAACATTCATGAAAGAATCAAGGCAACACTCCAGGTGTGTCTTTGGGGAAAACTTTAAAATGAACGCTCAAAAATTCGATTTTACGCAATTCTGCCTGTTATAATTCAACTGAACTTTTCCTGTTTAGATCAGCAAACATTGATTTTTTACTAAATGTCAGAATATTTAGACACTTTTCAGAAGCTACTATCCATCTCAGAAAGTCTTCAGACTTTGGTCAAGCATTCTCGTTTTCCTTCTTCAGGATTTTCACCATAGATTAATGAGGTTTTGGTCCATTTTTCCCCACACAGAACTGGTGTCACTGGGTCACCTTTTCAGTTCTGAAACCTTCAGTGCTGACCTTTCTGTGAGATCAGAAACTTCTATTCAGATGCTTCAAAACATTGACTTTGTTCCTTGAACAACCGGTTTGTGGGGGGGGGCGATTAGATGGGTTTAGACATTTATACCATTAATTAATTAAATTCAAATTTTAAAAGAGCCATGTTTATTTACTAAGACAATATATTTCTGGTGTTTCACTGTCTGAATAATTTACGTTTGACAAAATAAATAAAACTAAAAAAATCGTTTGCAGTTTAGCTGAGGTTTAACCACTGACTTCCTGTTAGTTTTACTTGTCTTTACACCCTGAGGTAAGTGAGAAAATCTGCTTACATGTTTTATGTGAACTGCTCCATTAATTCCTCCCTTTAAAACAGATCCTGGTTTTCATTTGCGACCTTTGAACCCTGATTTTGTTCAACCAGATGCAGCCGATCTGAGCTCACATCCTTCAGGCACATTCAACACCCGACCTGTTGGCACCAAACGGCTGCCTGTCATGCTTAATCTCGTCTAGCTGATGGTGTGTGTGTGTGTAGCGCACTGTGCTGCATGGGTCTGATTGGAAATGTGGAGTTTGCATGCAGCTTTCCTAGATGAAGCCTCTTCCGTGCTGCAGAGCATCAGCAGAGTGGATCAGTCGAAGGTTCTGGTCATGTCTGAACATGCCTTCTGACCACTTGTGGTGGTAAACAAAGTGTTTCTGCAGCTGTGACACATTCAGACGTGGCCAAATGTTTTTACAGTGACACAAACGTCGTCTGTTTATTTCAAGTTTTTATTGGTTGTTGAAGCAACATGGTGCTGAGAATAGCACGGTTTCAGCACCAAATTAAGACGAGCGCATTTTCACTGGTGGCTAATTACGTGTAGCAGGAGGCAAATCCATTGCTACTGATTTGATTAATTAGCAATCTGCACTGGAAAATGAGAAGGAGGCTACTCATTAGCGATAGCTTTCAATTGGCTAGCTGCTAGCATACCTAGACATTCACAACCCATATTTTCTTCTTCAAAGGAAATGTATGGAGACCAATGGAAACCTTTTAGCATCGTTAATTACCTCTTGTTTAAAACCCAAAATGGTCAGACTCTTCAAACATGGACAAAATTTGAGATGAATCTATTCTAAAATGTTTGAAGCCTTTGAAAGCTCTTTAATTGAACTTTCATGGATATCACCATCTAAGATGTTAGAAAAAACATTGTGGCAGAAGCACTTTACATTGGTCAATATTGATAATTATTGCTGAGAAGGAAAGGTCAAGATTTGTGACCTTTCCTGTTTAATCCAGCCTTCCCTCTATGCTGTTTTTTATTTTTAAGTATTTATAAATCACAGTACTGATGCACAAGTTACTCAGCAGGTTGTTGCTAGGTAGCCAAAGAGTGACTAAGTTGATGTCACCAACCTAGCTTAGCTAGCGGTGAGAGGCTGAGTGGCTATAGTCTTTCTTCTTCCTACATTCACATTTGCTGCCATCTAGTGGTTGGGGTTATATTTATGCCTAATTTTCTAATTTATAACTTTATATCCAACATGTACATTAAGGAAACAAACCATCTCTACTTAAAACCGCATTTCTTCATATAATTCAGGCATACCGTGTGGAACAGAACGAAGCTAACATGGGTTAGCTTGCATGTGGTAAGAAGCAGTTTGTGTCACTGCAGAAGCAGAGGCCCCAGCTGCTGTGCGTGGTGCTCATGCCTCGTGTTGGTCATGCTGTGTCCGCCATCTTAAGCTTCTACCTGCATGTCTGTCATTGGCTGCACTGCCAACAGGACAAAAAGAGTGCAAAGACACACAGAGAGGAGGGGGGGCACCCAGGCTGGTGGGACTGACCTTACTTCCAGAGTCCTTGGGTCCACACTCCCCTTTATCGTACCACCATTTGTTTTTCAGTTTGTCTAAGACTCCTGCTTCACTCAGTTTCAATACGGCAAGGTTTACGGGCGTTCTTCAAATCACGGGGGTCAGGGAAGGGCGGGGTGGGGAAATAACATAAATAACATCATAGGACATGTTATTTTATGTTATTCAGTCAGAAGAAGCCCAACAAGAGCAGCTCAGTACTCTTCACAAAGTGACGGAGCCAGTGAGGGCCCCACGGACGCTACATGTCTCTTTGCTCTACGGTCACGTGACCCCAGGTGGGTTTGGGTAAGGGGGCGGAGCTAACAGACATATACAGGTGGGGCCCCGGCTGCGTCGCTTTCCTGGAACGGGCGCATTCTGCCGGGACCTTTCTGAGCTCAACGGCCCGCGCTGCTGGACCAGAACCACCGGCTCCGCTCTGCGTCCAGAGCAGCGAGTGTTTCTCCTTCAACAGAGCTCCTCTTCCTCCTCACGGGGTCGACCCGGCAGATGCTCCCGTTCCCAACAAACATTTCTCTCCTACCCACATCAACGTCAGAGCGACATCGCCGCTAACCTTCTCGCCTCCGCCTCCGCTGCCACACTCTCCTTTGTCGTACCACCACTTGTTTTTCAATTTGTCCAACAGGCCCTGCTCATTGAGCTTTAACACGGCCAGGTTAACGGCACTTCTTGAAAACGATAAAGCATATTTGGTGAGAGGGTGAGTATGCTGTCCAATTTGGGAGGGGAGGAAGAAAGGGGGGAGAGGGAGGAGAAGTCAAAGACAAGGTTGGAAAAAAGTTAATCCCAGTTAAAAGACCTGAAGCTCCCTGAGCCAAACCTCTGCTGACAGAGCAGCAGCTTAAAGCTGGAAACAAACAGTAGGATCTTTTTAGTTCCCTTTAGCCACTGGGATTTCAGCATGACAGCCATTTTTCAAGATGGCTGCCGTTTTTGAACTTTTCGAACCAAATGTTGGCCACAAGATGATTCCCATTTTCATTACGTGGATGAAGTTTGTCATTTGTTTTTAACTTTTGTCATCCTATTTATACAACTTTTACAATATGCAGTAAAATCAGAAAGTGAGGGCGTTGCTGTTCGCGAGATTCAAACCGGTCGTCATCAGGAAGGAAGTGAAGATATGAGATACAGACTGAGAGACAGTCATCCTAATGGTTAGTATTAGCATTTTTTTCATGGATTTCATTTGTACTGCTCAAGATTTTAGAATAAATTGGAACAAAAATGATTCTTTGCTTTAACAATAGAATGAATGACAAATATTTTATTTCTGCACATTTTTCCTGGATTTTGTAAATCAATGCATTTATTTAAATAAATATACATGCATTTATTTAATTAAAGTATTTTAATTTTTTTAACTATTACATGTTGAATTACGTGTCTTCAGACACTCGTTTTAATCAGTAAAGCGATAATTTAACAGGTTTTCTAAAGCTTTTTAATCCTAGTTTTTCAATTTAAAACGGTACATACTTAATGGCTTTAAACTTACACCTTTATAACACAGTTAAAACTGTTGAATCAAACAAGTGAACATTGCTGCCACCTATGGGAGAGGATGCAAAGCTGCACCAACATTCACATTTCTGAGCTGAAATTTGAACGTTTGCTTTTTGGTTTTGTGAATCCAAACTGGTTTTGTTTATGCAGCTGAATCTACAATATAAATACAATTTAATCAATTACAGAAAGTTGTGATTATAGATCTCTGATTAGCTAGAGATTCAAAGGTCAGAGTGTGTTTTAAAGAGCTGATAAAGTTTTTACTCTGCTGCTATGACCTAACAAATAAAATACACTGACCTCCATTGCCAGGACAACTGCATAAATCAAATCAAGTACATCTCTAACTGTTTCCCTACTTCATTTCCTGAACCACAAACACATATACTTTTACACGAATCTGGTGGCTTCTGAAGGCAGATGATTTTATTTAGGGGTGTCGGTTATAATGAGCTTTAAATGTTCATTAGAATTTAAAGTTTATTCATCTTGGATCTCATCATTACCATTATTTTGATTGAAGAAGGTACAATATTATCATTTACAGCAATAAGTTCTGGAATACTTTTAATCATCCAGTGAGATTTATTAAGCTGACAGGCCTTGTTTGGATCGGTTCAATGAAATTATGAAGCATTTCTGAGCCAAATATCGGTGAAATTTTCTGTAAATCTAAAACAGGCTTCATGGTTTTTTCCTCTGCCAGCGGCTGTGCAAACCGTCAGGGTTCATCATTTAGTTGTGGCTCCTTGTTTGTCTAATTCAGTTTTTATTACGTTTATTTGCTAGTTATTATTAGTTAAACGTTTAGTTTGTATTAGTTACAGAAGTAGTTGTTTTTTCCTAACTTGGTAAAAGATCAACGTATTGTGATTATGTTTACACTACATTTACATTACGAATACTCAAATGGATTCAATTTGCAGACTAGCTTAGCATAGCCTGACCGCCAGGAGGAAAACGGAGAGCCATAATTCATCGACGGCTGATGTAAACTGCTTGTTTCATGTCAGTTTAAAAGGCTGATAAATAGGAATAAACATGAAAAATAACATATCAATTTCAGTATGTTGAAGTAATATTTTTCCCCATTAACATTTTTATTTTTATTGCTTAGCAAAATGTTTTCTTCAGTTCAGTTTTTGTAAATTTTTAACAAAAACATAATTTCATAATCTTGGGATTGTCTCCAGTGTCCAGAGGTTTGTCTCATCGTGGGTTCAGATCTTTTTCATTTCTTTACATCATTAACAAAATGAAACATTGGTTATGGCAGCAAATTGCAGACAGAAAGCAGCATGATGCTGAGTCAGAGGAGCGGTGTGAGCGTCCAGCCTGCTGCTGCTGATGGTTTCCCAGCGGGCAGAGCAGGAAGTGACAGGGTGATCCCGCCCCTTCCACAGGAAGCAGCCTGGAGGACCACCAGCACCTGTCACTGACTGCGTCTAGTCAAAGCAGGAACTCCAACCACAGCAGAACTGCACAGCCTCACAGATCCTTCACTACAGTTTACTGCAGTTTACTATAGTTTACTACAGTTTACTACACCTTAGTGTGGTTTACTGCAGTTTAATACAGCTTACTGTAGTTTACTACTACTACAGTACTGTAGTTTACTACAGGTACTACAGCTTACTACAGTTTACTATAGTTTACTCCAGCATACTGCAGTTTACTACACCTTAGCGTGGTTTGCTGTAGTTTAATGCAGCTTACTGTAGTTTACTACAACACAATTTACTGCAGCCTGGAGCTCAGAAAGAAACTAAAGAGAAATACAAGACTGCGGGATGGATGGATGATTTAATGGATTGATGATTTGTTGATTGGATGAAAGGTTGGATGGATGACTAGTTGGATGGATGGACAGACATGGATGGATGATTTAACAGATGGAAAAGTGGTTAATTGGATGAAAAAATCCAATGAAGAGTGTCTGGACCTCCAGGTATCTTGACAGGCAAGGTGTTCTCTAGCCATGAAGAAGGTAATGTGGGGTGGTTTAACACTTTTGCACAGGTCCATATCCTGGATAAAAGGACTCTGATGGAGACAGAGCTGGACCTTCACACGGCTCCTCAGAAGAAACACAAATCCTTTAGCTTCATGCAGCTCAACCACAGAGACTTACCTGAACTGCACACCTAGAAGAGACACAATAAGAGACAAATCCCGCCCACTTCTTGCATCATCACGCATGCAGCAACCCCCCCACCACAGAAAGGCAGCACGCCAGGGAAGGTGGAATACCATAACAACACGTCGGCCATATTGTTACACTATTCCACCCACCTTAACTGTGAACCCTTGGGCGTGGCGACGCCGTAACCCTTGGAGTCCAGGTTCCCGCCCACTTTCATGGTGTCGCAGGGCTTCCTCTGCTCCGTGTACTCGTTCATGGTGGACTCCAGCAGGAAGGCGTACTTTCCCTTCGACTTGCGGACCCGCGCCACACCCTCTGCCGTGGTCTTGGTGAACACCGTGGGCTCGGCCGACTTCATGTAGCCCCACATCTTCTCATAGACGGCGATCTTGGAGCGCTGCAGGGAGTCAGCAGAGTTCAGGAGAAACACAACTCCAGAAGTATTCACCCCCAGTGACACACACACACACACACACACACACACACACACACACACACACACACACACACACACACACACCTCCAGAAGTATTCTGTGTATGTGTTGGTTCCAACACATACACACACACACTTCTCCAGACCAACACAAAGCAGAAATATTCACTGCCATTATTGATTTGATAAAATAAAAAAATCCATCGTCTTTTGGCCTCCATCTTGTAATTACGTGAATGTTCAGACGTTGGCATGGAGACGGTACTGGAACGTATGCACACGCAAACCAAAATGAAAAAGCGATTCAGCCGGTCCAAACATCTGGACTCATTTTGGTTTCATCGATTCGTGGGCAGACTGAGCAGAACCATGAGCTTCAAGACCAACTCAAAGAAAATATGTGGACACTGACCAATGTGCGAGAGAAAAACACGTGAACAAAATGGCTGCTGTCTGGATCGACCCGAATGATACTGAGAATGGAAACATGTTAGAAGATGTAGATGAGCTACCTCTGATATACTACAATGTAGCTCACTAGTTAGTGAACAGGAAGAGTTTATACATCAAACACAATCAATGTTTAAACAAATTTGTAAAGGACGTATCAACTCTTCAGGTGGATAACGAGGTTCTGGTGACTGGCAGAGTGAGAACTTGTAGTAACAAACATAAAGGCTACATGGCCGTCTTAGCTAGCTGATGACATCTATATTAGCTGACCTAATTTTGCTAGTTCATCAGAAGGTACTACAGTGAATATCACTGCTATTTTATTATTACACTGAGGAGGGTAGAGCTCTTAAAAGTAAAATTAGTAACCGAGTATTGATTATAATGTTTATACGTTGAAAAGAAACAAGATGTTGATCTAAGCTTGTAGCTTGTTTTATTGTCATAGCAACTCCATAGCAACTGCCTGTCAAGATGACTGTCAACTACAAAGTTCATGAAACTGACATTACATGAAAACTACATTCTCTGCAAAATTCAGATTTTGCTTACAGCTCAGTTTGGTTTTCTCCCATTCACTTGGATTCCTCCAGTAGATTTTTGAGCAGGCCAATCAGCAATTAGAAGGAAAAGTCATAAACTATGACGTTGATTTTCTGCGATGTTTTAGAACTGAAGTCCACCTGCAATTTTAGCAATAGTAGTGGAGGAAGTGAACGTCCCTGTTTCCCACGCTTCCAAGTATTGGATTAGCATTAACAGCTGCCTTGTTTGGCACGGCTCTTCTGTGTTATTATTAATTTCTTTAAGTTTGAAACGCTAGCAGAAATGCTCTGCTTGCTGATGCCTCTCTTCTACTATGTAGTCTTTTGTATCTGCGGGCAACATGATTATCCGACATGGTGAGGAACTGTACATTTAAACGATTCTTCTCTGACTACAAAGGCTGTCAGATGGCTAAAACAACAATAATAAATGGAAATTAAAACATTTCCATCCACTGAAGAGGCTTTCTGCAGAGAGGTGGCGCTCTCTCTGTGCCTACCTGCCTGCCACACTTTTCAGATACTGTATCATTTCTTGCTGTTTGTGTTGGTCTGCCTCCCTTCTGGGTCACAAAGAGACAATGACTTCAAAGGCAAAAAAACAGAAAATCAGTTGGCAGAAGAAAGTCCTGATGTGTCCTCCTACCTTCCCTGGGGTTGACCTTTGACCTTTACTCACCCTGAAGAACTCCTTGGTGGATCCGGAGTCCAGCGTGCCGTAGGCGATGTCGGTCTGCTTGGCCAGATCCTCGGCGCTCTCGATGGGCGAAACCATGCGCTCCACGGTGAGGAAGGCCGCCAGGTTGGCCGTGTAGGACGAGATGATGATGAGGGTGAAGAACCACCAGACTCCACCCACGATCCGGCCAGACAGCGACCTGCAGGGTCACCGCAGAGGAAAACCAGAGGGCGAGACAGGAGAGAGACGAATAAGTCAGAACGGAGCGAGAATGAAAAATACGAAGATAAAAAAAAAAAACAATAAAATCTCAATAATATAATATTTACATTGAAGGATAATAAACAGATCAATTTTCAATCAAGCTCTGTGTTCAGCCCTCATCAGCGCATCAAACCCTCAATGTTCCCACTGATGGAGGCAATGCTGTTTCTGGCCAGAGGAAGAGCGCTGCAGCTCCTCTTCCTCAGAGCAGCGAGTGAGGAGAACGTCAAAACAGAAACCCAGCATGGAGGAGAACAAACAGCAGGGGGCGTTCACAGCACGCAGTTCAGGAAAACATCCCCCATTAAAGATCTGCTGCGGCTGCTGCATGTTGGGAACTTGAGCCTTGAAATGGACTTATTGATGTTTCAGCTCCAGACCTGAATACCGATGAGTCTCTGCTTCGTCTGTTTGCGGGGATTCCAGTCAGTTTTAGCAGGGAAATGTCAACAGAGAGGGAGGCGGTGCTGACAGGGTGCATTGTGGGAAAATCAGATTGAAATCATTAGAATGTGAATGCAGCCAGAGAGAGAGAGGCAATATTTAAAATCTGAGCTCAATGAACTGAATTAGACTTTAAAGCTGCAGAATGTAACTTTTATTAAAATATTTGCTAAAACAACCAATCAGAACCAGGAGGCGGGTCTTATCGCTGTCAATCAACATTGCTGCAGCGCTAAATGTGCGAATGGAGAAACAACTGACAGTTACAGAAAAACAGCTTGTCCGACTTCATCAGTGGCTATGGTAACTCACTGCAGGCTGTGCTAGCTGCAGCGTAGCAAAGAGCCCGGAGATGGAAGTGAGCAGTCAACTTGGAGTGTGATTGACAGCGCTAAGCCCCACCTCCTGGCACTGATTGGTTGTGTCCAGTTGGAACAGGGAGGAGGCAGAGATCAGTTTTTCACAGATCTGTCATAAACTGTCACAACATGGTAAATATGTAAAAAAAGAATGTTTTTATAAAGTTACACTGCAGTTTTAACTCTTTAGATGAAGCTCATTCACTGACATCATTCCTCTCCACTGTCGCTCCCCAGGATGTGGTTTTACTCTGCTGCAATCTGGATTGAACTAGGATGATTTCTCTGAATTTGACCTGAAGCTTCATTGTTTGACGAATTGGTGACATAAACAGAATCTGAACTGAATTAATTAGAAAGAGGAGAGTCGTCATGTTTTCTGTCTCTGCTGCTTTACTCAAACTGAACCAGAGGAGCAGAGTGTTTCCCATGATGCACTGCTGCATGTTGGCTGGCTGGTAGCTCTGACTGTGATCCGCAGTGACGCGCCACTGCGTCCCGATGCGCCTGAACTACACAGTCAGCGCAGGAAACCTCAGCGAGTTATTTCCAAGCTGCATCACTGCTTTGTTTCTTCATTTAACTGAAACTTTGTTCATTCCAAAAATTAATCTTCAAAAAATAGTGAAGAAATATTTTATCTTGAAATCAGATAAAAGATATACCTTAAAAATGAGTCTTTAGCCATCCCTCATTTTTTTAAATTTTACTTTCAAGCAGCCAAACTCTCTTTAGTCCTTTCAGACTGGTTTTATTTTTTTGTGACTTTCGGAGCTTCAACTCTTATTTTTGAGTCCACTAAGAGATTATTGTCTTTTCCAGCAGCCATTGTACAGCACATACAGTGGTAAAACCAGCTCACCAAACGTGCTGGAGCTCAGCTTGAGTTGCTAGGTAACGAGCAGAGTTCCACTGGGGTTGCTAGGTAACGGGCAGTGCCTGCTGATTTGTGACGTTACATTTAGGAAGATTTTGAAACGGCTCATTTTCCAGATACCAAAAACATATACTTGTTGACTTTTTAAAAGCGTGGACTGTTATTGGAAGCATAAAAATTTACAAATTGTGCACATTAGATCTGCTTTAAAGTATTTAAAAGGAGCAGAAAAAGTTGACATAATACTTTCAGTTTTTTGTAATAAAAGGTTTTCAGACATTTTACAAGCAGGTTCCCAGATATAGTTTCAGTGCAGAATGAAAGTCAGTTTTCAGGAAGCAGAAGAACGCTCCGTCTCTCTCTGATGCGGAGCTGAAACCTGAATGTCAGGATGTATGAAGCGAGTTTTCCCTGAGCGCCGGAAACAAGAAAACCCAGACAGAAGAGTATTAGATGAAATAAAGTGGAAACTAAACAGAAATTGGCTCCAGAGTTGCTGCACCGCAGCCCGCTGAGCCTCAGGGAGAACACAAAACTCAATATTGACAAAAAAAAGAGACACTTTCAGCAATTAGTCGGTGGTTTTCCACCATTAGTGGAAGTTAACTCGTTTGTATTCATTAAATAGGAGAGAAGTGCCGCTTTATACTCGGTTCCTCCACATTTTAAACGGCTAAATTCCAGATTTCACAGATATTTCTACTGCAGAGCTAAATGTTGACTTTGGTGAAAATATGACTTTGAAAAATTTGTTCCAGAGCTAAATAGGACAAAATATTGTTGTTAATTATTTTTACTTTACAAATGGCCCTGGTGCTAAATTGTGGCTGTTGGTGATTAACAATAAACCCAAATCAAATAAGAACCGTAATCAATAAACCTCAGAGTAGTTGTGATTGTCTACTGCCGCCACCTGCTGGTCAGGAGAACAATGACGTGACGCTCTGCTGGAACTCCTAAGACAGAAAATTTTTAAATCAATTACAAACTGAGCTCAATGCACTGATTGATAACTAGGATCAATTCAAATAAGTGGGATTGGATTGACTTTTTTAACAAATGTCATAGGATAAAGTGTTGAACTAAACTGGATTTAAATATTTGTGAAAATTCTTCTTTTAGTGGATTTATTACCTTCAAATAAATCAAAAATGAACAATAACAGAGAAACATTTACAATTGTTTTCAAACTGTAAATCAAGGACTTATAGTTTTAAATATGCAAATTCAGGACTACCAGAAAAAAAACCCTGCTAGTTCTGATGTTGGTAATGGAGTCAAACTGTGGAACATTTTAAAAATAAAAAATAAAACTGTTCAAATGATTGTATAACGACATAACTACTGCAGGATATAATAAGTAACAATATTATTCCATTATGGTTGGTGTTTCTGTTATTGGTGCTTGTTTTGTCTTTGATAAAATTTTTAAAAATAAGGATTGTTCCTCTACTGTAGATACAATTAAGTAAAAGCTATATTCATATGTTAACTAGTTGTAATATGCATGGATTGTACATGTCATAAATGTAAAAGTATGTAAAAATATCAGGAGCAGGAGTATTGATAAAGACTCCCTTAATATGTAAAACGTTTTGACATTTTTTGTACACATTAAAATAATATTTTAAGAAAAATGCAGTTTGGGAATCTGACATGGCAAGCTAGCTAGCTAGCTGACACGCTATTAGCTAGCTAATAGCGTGTCAGCTCCTGCATTAGCGCTAACCTGGTTTCCACTGAGCGTACTCATTCTTATCAAGGTATATTTGTGGTTTTGAATAACATAATAGGAAGTTTTAAGCATTTTAATGGGATTCTGACGTATTTTCTGGCAGCCTGGTGACTGAAGAGCCACAAACTGCTTTCTGAGAGCAAACATCCCAGCTTCAAAGATTATATGGCAAATAAAATGTCGTCTTCTTTCCATCTGCAGCCGAAAACACAAATCATATGAAAATAAGGAACTCCAGAGATAATCGGGATGAAAGCAAAACAAATCTCACCTCAGGATCATTAATGCGCCATAATCTGCTTTATTATCAGTGACTGGTTAGCACAACAACCTAGAGGGTATTTTATTTGGCTTTGCCATTTGATTGGTTATTAATACAGTCCGACTGGGGCGTGACTCCTGATTGGTGGAGAGAAGGGAAGGGTGGAGAGAGAAGGAGAGGAGTGAGGAGAAGAAAAATGGTGAATAGCGGAGGGTGAGGCGAACCGATCAGAAAGGAAGAAGAAAACAGATTTGAGCGAGAGAGAACGGGAGAAAAAAAACCACACTGGAGAAGACGAAGTTCGGAAGAAGTTTGAGGGACTTAGGTCGCCGCGAGAGGGACTGAACAAGAGGAGATAGACGGGAGTAGTCCGGACGAGTTCGGCTAAGCTAAAGGAGCTAGCCACTTCAAACTAAAGGAGCTAGCCGCTTTGGACAAGAGACTTCAATGCACTGAACACAGTCCAGTGGATTTGCAGCGCTCTCAATGTTTTTGTGAAGTGCAACGCTCTCAATGTTTTGGTTTTTTCTTCGGGACTTCAACTCTTTGTTTTTGTAACAGGCCTGCAACGTTTTTTCACACTCTCCTGGAGGTCGTGAGTAACCCAACTGCCAGGGTTACATTTGTTTAAGACTGTTGTTGTGTTCTGGTTCATTGGAATCAAAGGTGGACATTAATGTCTTCATGTTTTTTGCCTTATGTTTATATTTTGTAAATATTATTGAATGGTCGTTCAACTTTGAAGTTACAGGGGTGACTAACTAATAGGTTTTCTGTCACTTTAGTTTAATAAAGTTAGGCTGAACCATTTCGCCTAAAATTCTAAACTTTCTCTGGGTCATATTTGTCATAAATTAGGTAATCGGTGCCGCCCAACAATTGGGGTACGGGAGGTACATGGAACCCAGCACCCTCCATTTTAGTTTCTTTACATAGAATGGAAGAAGGTGCTACACCTGTTTTATCAAATACAACAACTTTGGGCTTCTTCACGGTCCAGATTATTAAATTATGATTACAATTATCATCTAATTCCATTTACAGTACAGATTTAACTCTAATCTTAATTTAACTGGAACCTGAAAAAGTCTAAACGTGTTAAATCACGTTTTTCATGTTTGGTATGAAAACTAGTGATGGTGAGATGAAGCCTCATGAGGCATTGAACCACTTGATCCAAATGGTTCGAGAAAGGGTTCATTTCTTGAAGCTTCATGTGCTCACACGAACCCCTACTGGCCAGGTGTATAATCACAGC